CTTGAATTGTACAGAAAGCTTGTAAGTTAACTTTTAGCTTTGTGGCTAATTAGGGCAACTTTCCTATTTTGGCTAGCTAACACCAGCTCATATAGCCACAGTGAGGTAGAACACTATAGAGAGGCAAAACAAGAAACCTATTTAACATTTCTTTTTTTATTGACATTACAGCATTCAGCATGGAGGACATGATTACACCACTGAAAGAAGGTAAACTGGTCTACAGGCACATGGAGAAGTTGTCAACAATGAGATTATTCACCAACTACACTGAGCAGAAATATAAATGAAGCATGCAAATGTCTTCTTTTCTGACTTGCAGAATTGGTTGAAAATGTAGTTTTAATTATGATGTTTAGAGAAGGATAAATTGAGTCAAATTCCCACAAAAAGCTGTACAACTAATAACAAATGTTCAACCATTGAGCTAATCTACATCCTGGTCAGGTGTGGCTTTAAAGAATGATTAGATAGCGTGACCAGAACCCAGACACTCCTCTGACCAGTGATTATAAAGGGCCACCTTACAATGCAGCTTTATTCAAATAACATAATGCCACAGATCACAAGAGAAAGACACAACATGTTGGCATGCTAATAGCCAGGCACTCCTATTTGCCGCCGAAGAAAATGGTTCAGACAGCATGGTTTAGCAGATAGTCACCCCACGATACTGTATATGATGATGCATGTGTCCGACAACTTGATCCTGTGCCCCAAAATGTCCACCAGCTTCACTAAGTCCCTCAAGAAGAATAGGGACAACTTTCCACAGGCAGCATCGACAACCTCATTGACTCTGTTTTGCTGAGGTGTGGCACTTTGAGATGCAAATGGAGGACACACTTTTTACTAACTTGTGATTTTTGGTCTGTGACCACACTCTTGATCTGCCCGTGATCATTTCTAACATACAAGTGTGTCCTTGTTTGTTTCATGACATGCATGTTGTTGTAGAAGTGCCGTGTGTTGGAACAACAAATACCTATTCTCCTATGTTAAAAAAATAAATAGAATTTAGTAAAATATTACAAGCTGCATTTATATTTTTGTTCAATATGTTTTTGTATTTGATTATTCAGTTTGATTAATAAGAAAAAAAGGGGGAAATTCTCAGATTTCAACTTCGTCAATATGAATACTGTTTGGTTTCTTTACTCCTGACAGTAAAAAGACAAAACAGACATTTTAGGACACTGATCAGCATGTTTCACCATTTTACTCACCAAACAACGAACCGATTAATCAACAATGAAAATTACTTTTAGTTGCTGCAAGTGAAACACATGTTCACAAACTTCATGGCTGATAATATTTTCATGCGCTGCTCTGTCAGGTGGAGAAATGCAGGAGCCCAAAGTTGAGCAGCTGATGGGAAAACTCAGGAGGCTGCAACAAGGTACAGTTTGACTGATCTGACGTATGGCATTTTTAACTGCTGCTAAAGTTGTATGACTTGAGAGAAAAATTTGTTGACATTTAAGACTGTGTGAAGCTGTTTTAGACTCAATAGTCTACATACAAACAGGAGATGAGTTAGGCTTTATTCTGTATGTTTTATTATTCTACACACTTTGTTTTAAGAGTCCACAGCTGAGTTGAGCTTCGCTTGTCTGAAATATTGTTCATTTATAAATTAATTGGAACATTTGGTAAATCAACCCACATTATCTTTCCTTAACCAGATGCACTTATTTTTTTAAAGTTTTTTCAAGCATCGTTCATGTGCTTTTGTATTACTTTCACGTTTCAAGCTTCAGCAGTGTTTAGGTTGAACAAAGAGTACAGAAGATGGAGAGAAGTCCGTGTTGCGTGTTTCCTGTCATGCTGAATTGTGCTTGTGATGCGCATGCGTGCCGCTGCAGCCTGGTAGTTGCTGGATTCATCGACTATTACGGTGTTATTTGCGAATCATGTTAAGGGATAAATCACCTGATCAACTGGAAATCAGTCACTTCTTGTCACGTAGCACCAGTTTAGTTCAAACTAGCGCGAGTTTCAGTCATTACTGGTAGCGTAGCGGCATCCTGATGTGACGTAATTATCTTGACGCGACTTTTCGTCTTTGTGAAGCGACGCTTCCTGTTTCCGCTTGTAAATGTCGCCGGATTTTTCTCCTTAGCTGTAGTAAAACCTGCAAAAAAAGGAACACGTGAACCACGCTCCTGGTGTCCTAATGCGATAAACTACTTGTACATTTTTAAAAATCTGAGCACAGAGGTCTCAGTTTGATAAAAACAAATCTTTGGTGATCTGCACCAATCAGAATTCAGGGGCTGGTGACGATATGCTAAAAACACGCGTTTCATTTTAGGTTTAACAGAAAGAATAGGAAATAGAGCTGAGTCCTTCGCAATTTAACATTAAACGGACCCGAATTCAGACAACAAATCGTTTAAATACATGTATGGCATATAAAACGTTATGGGGAACGTAAAACCGTGAGTCAGGGAGCTAGAGCCATCGGTCATACCAGTTCTGATGCCGCTTAGTCAGTATCTTCAGTGAGGTACATCCTTACCTGTTACTCCATCCGTGGAGTTGCAGAACATGATGAATGGAGAATTATGAGATATGATTAATATCTCCATCTTTTGGGGAACAGCAACACCCCTTAAGACCCATTCTGATCATTGCTGTGAATAAAAACTAAATGTTGTAGAAAGGAAGTAGTATAGATTCAACAAAGTACTTACCGTTTAACTACAGTGTAGTTGGTTTTATTGATTTTCTAACTGGTAGAAATCTAAATGTTTTAGCAGCATCCAAAAATATAGAAAAGGAAATAAAAATAAATAATAAAATATGTGTGCACAAGATGTCAAAATGTGCTGTTGAAATAAAGTATATAGACAATATTTACTCTAACAAACAAACAGATTGTGCAAAAATGAATTATGACCATGTGTTAATTTTGTCCGTTTGGTTAACATCAACCAGTGATGCTGATGTTGTTGATGCAGTCTTATTGCAGTTATGAGGAATGACCTGTGACCTTCTGACAGGGTGTATCAGCAGTAACACAATGTCATCTTACTTATCCACAATTCTGATTTTAGGTAAACATATCGTCATTCTTCCCTGGCAGATTGTGCCACTTGTTCTATGTGGTGTTTTTTTCAAGTATCTACACTTCAGTCGCAGATATGCTCAGTTCACATTGTCAAGTGCAGCTGAATTATTTGCTGACCGACGTCCGGTGGGAAGCTTTGCATTAGCAGCGTCATGTGTGACAATTTGCACTGCCTACAGTGACATTTGAGATATGTGCAACTATTAATTTGACTGGTCACTAGCTGTTGTTTTGACTTAATGATAGCTATCTTAAATACACACCAGTCACAGTGTAGCTACGACTTGTAATTTTAAATCTGAATAGTCAAAACTCAGCTATTAAATGTGAAAAAGCTTGGTGTGTTTCAGTTTTCACTGTCTTTTATTCAAGGTGAGAAATCCCTGGAAGAAGAAATCAAAAAGCTAAACTCTGTCAGTGGGTCGCTGCAGAAGGAGCTGGAAACCTGTAAGACACAGAATCATCATTTGTAATTTTATTTATTCCATGTGTCGTATGTACAGCTAATAAAAGTGTATTGTTGCTGTATTTGCCATCATTTGGGCAATCATTTAAGCTATGCATTATATTCCATATATGTTTTGTAGTTGTATATTAGCATTGTTGCCTTTGTTTTTGCAGTACAAACGGAAGCTTACCAAATAGAGGGAATCCTTAAAGAAAAAGAAGGTACACACGTACTGATAACAAACAGTTGGAGAGTTGTTAGTGTAAAGATTTAGTTTGATTTGGTGGCATGTAGTGCTAATGTTTTGGTTAGTAAACATATTTGCCATCTTTAGTAAATGCAAAGACAGTAAATTAACAATACACTGATGACCACAGTTCCTTTATTTCAGATGTGTGCAGCAAGTTGCAGTTCCAGTTGGAAGAGTTTGAGCAGGACTCGGCCAGGTAAGCTGCACCATGAGCCCCTGAAGAGAATTATTGAATGTCTTCAGCCTGACTTCTCCATGTGCTGGATACTGTCAACTGTGTGTTTGTGATGTGTACCACTAGATGGCAGCAACTTGTTGTGAAATCATCCTGGAGAAGTCTTTCTGTGATAAACAGTCTGGGGTCAAACTGTATTTTTTATATCTATTGTTTGATATTCGATTTCTGTTCCTGATGCTGGCTGTATAAGGTTTTACTATTTATTCAGTTTTCCCCATTCTGTCTTGAGGTTTAAGCTTTTAATAAGTTTTTAGGTGTGCTTACTTTTATTGTTATGTGTTATCTGTTTCCGCTGTCCAAGCTTTTTATCCATAAAGCACATTTTAATGTATGTAGTCATAATAGAATCTATTTAATCTCTTCTATATTGTATTATACGCTATGTTCTTACACAATATGTGGTTCCAGTCTGTTAAAGGTCCATTGTGTAGGATATGAGGTGATTTCTTGGCAAAAAAACAACAGAATATTCATAATTATGTTTTCATCAGAGTAAAATCCAGCTCTAGAGAAAACCTTTTTATGTTTTTAGCCTCCACCATAAGTTCTCCTACATGCTTAGAAGAGGAGGGTGAGGTGTGTTTTATTGGCTGCAGTCTGTAAGTCGAACACTAGATGCTGCCAAATCCTGCACACTGCATCTTTAGTATCATGTGTTGTTAGACGATGTATCCACCGTGACACACTGTAGGTTTGCATTAATAACCTTCAGTAATAGCACTCATTGTTTATCGTCTGTACGGTCAAATAATATAATTTGAGCTACCAGAATCTGTTATAAACATCAAACACTAAAGTTGTAACATCAGGATCATATATATTAAATGAAAAGCTTTTTTTTACCCTGCAAGAAGTCTGTTTTTCACACTGTAAGGCATATATAACTCAGGGAATATGAGTTTTTGGGTTTCTTCTTCTTTTTTTCTTTTTTTTACATATGTTTATGTCTTGTACTGAGTGATGATCTGTGTGTTTTGCAGACGGTTACTGCAGAACAAGAAAAGTGAGGAACAGCTGGAACAGTATCGATGTGAAATCCAGGAACTGAAGCTGAAGCACCGGAAGCAGCGGTATCTATTATTAGTGCAATGATTTATTACTTTTGAAAAAACTTAAATGTCATTTACTTTAAAAAAAAGTCTGCCTCCGTTCAACAGGATAAGATTTGAAAACCAACTCCATCAACTGATCGAGCTGCACAAGAATCTGCACTCTGTCTTTGTGAGTTTCTTTGTTTGATACAAAAATAAATGGGGCTCATTTTCCATATTTGTTTTGCTCAGATCTCTAAAACAGAATGATGAAAAATTTGCTGATGGTGTCAGTGACTGTTGTCTTTAAAATGATTACTCAGACTCCTGAGAGACTCCCAGGCGAAATAGAAAGTGCTAGGAATACCAAAAGTCAGCTGTTATCAGCTGGTAAGTATCTTCTCATGATTTGCTCGTGTTTGTTTGCAAGCACACATATGATCAAACTTTTACACAGTTTTCCCTTTCCATTGCAATTTGTTCGGCCTCGTTCTGTGATTCTGACAGAACAGCTGAAGTTGGTTCAGCTGCGAAACCTCGATGAGGAGCTAGAAGAGGTGAAGAGACAGAAGCAGGTGGAGATGGTAGCTACAGAGACTGAGGAGATGTAAAACTGTCTTCTCACTGCTAGTTTTAAAGAATCAGAGGTAATAGTTTTTTTTTTTCCAGCTATTTGAACTTTGACTACTTCTTCTTGTCACATGAAAATAATAAATCTTCCAAATGTCAGCCTCTAGCTTTCATCAGCCTGAGGCTTGCAGAATGCTCACGCAGTCACAGCCTGCCTGTTTGTACAACTAACACCCAACGAATGTTTGAATACCAAAATGTTAAGTCCTCTGTCTGTGGCTGTTTTTTTCCTTAGTTTTTTTTTTATATAACCTGTTCTGTAACGCATCAGTTTGTTTTTATAATCTAGTTTGTTCCTGGAATTTCTGCAGTTAATTTAGGCTTGAAACCTGAACTGTTTTCCATTCTCTGATTGGTGAGTGGTGTTTTTATGCCAGTAGTAGTCTCCTGTATGGTACTATTTACATAATATCGTGTATTCATATAAATGCGTTCATTTCTTTAAAAGTTTAAAGCTTTTTAGTTGTTGTGACGTTGTTGTCATCTTTTTATATAACCTTAAACCTGCTCCTGTGTCTCTTTCTTCTGGCAGTAAGTTATTACACTCACATTATTGATTCTTGCTGAAGAGGTATGTCATCGCTGTCGTTTATTTCTTTTTTAGAGTGTAATCCTACCCCTGAATGTTGACTTTCTTTTTTTAATTTGGAACACCAGAGCCTTTTCATTGATGCTCTTTAGGTTTTTCCACCGTAGGCTCTAGAATGCTCCTAGTCGCAGTAGCCTACTTCCTCTCTGGCTGTACGGTTGCTCCCATCTTAAGCTCTGGCAAACCAGTCATTATTGTTGACGTCAATCACAACGCAACTGGTGTGCCAGTACAGGAATGTCACCACAGAAACCAGTTTTAAAACTCTGGTTAATGCAGAGATTTACCTGATGGGCTTAATCAGCATTGTGTGAACTTGTTGGGTGAGGGCTTGAATATAACAGACGTTCGTTTACACGTAAAAGTCCCACAGTCAAGCTGTATAAAAGCCTACTAATAGAAACAGTAAAACCAGTCACTGTAATATATGCACACAGCCACAATCACATTCAGTTTTAAAGAGATTTAATAAAAGACTTTTTTTTTTGCAGTATTTCAAATATAATGTAACACTATCTGAGGTTTAGAAAAAGACAGAACACACTGACCCTGTGTAGCTGATTTCCCTAATTAATGCCAATTAGTTTTTACAGCTAATACCACATACTCACATATTAATTAAAAAATAAACACAAGGCACTTTTATGGCGCAACGAGGGAGATCACCATCTAATTTGTTACTTAAAATATCAACAAGCCCCATTTTATATAAATATATACAATCCTGTATAGAAAACAGTGTAAACCCTGAAGTGTCCAAAAAGAAATAGTTTATCCAATCTCTCGACATACTCAACAAAAACACACTGAAGACTAAATGGTTTGATGCCCAGCCGAGCTGTCAAGCAGCATGGATCTGAGTCGTACAACTGAGTCTTTGGTTTAATTGTGTTTACAGACCAACAAAGGAGTTTGGAGTCCTGCGCAGGGCGTAGGTCTTTCAAGTTAAGTGACTTATGTAAGGAGGCATGGCGCTGCTCCAGTACTGCATTAAATACCCATCCTTTTTTCTGCTGCTTTCTTTTAGTGGTAACGCCAGGTTTTAAAGGTCAGGATGGAAAGAGAAACTATTTTTACAGTGACTCGGGGCAGCTGTCAATGCTTTACATTTTTATTTACATTACATAAAACAAAGACTCGCACACATTGTTAACTCCACTCCCCTGGCCATGAACGCTCTTAGGGCCCCTCTCTGAATGGTTGTTTGACATCTTCAACCCAGAGAAGTGGCTCCACACCTTGATGGGAAGGTACATTATTACACTCCCTCGAGAGAGTAAAGTTCACTACAGCCTCTACTTTGTATTACAACTGCACTGCTGCAAAATTACCATTACATATAAAAGAACACATTTCTCGCTTTCAGATTCCTTTGTCCTCACTTCTTCATTCACTATAGTCTCACAAACCTGCAGTTCATTTATCACCCTTCATAATCTAATCATCTCATTTTATTCCTCTACATGTCCTCATTAATGCCTGTTGGTTTGGGATAACAATAAACTTCTAGCCTTGATGGGCCATTGGCACATGGTTGGATCCACAATGACGCTTTCTCCCATTTATATCGGACAAGTCACAGCTACACAGAAACAAACAACACCGGTACTTTACATGTGCAGTCGTATGCCGACGTGGTTTTTTTTGAGCGGTGTGCATCTGTTGCCTCTCTTCTGTGCAGTCTTTCTCCTCTGTGTCCCTCAGTCACATTCATACTAGCTCAGTTGTGAGTAAATTACCCTACCTTCTTTCTGTTTGGTGAAACATTAGCCCATGCAGCCAGTATGCAAGTAGAGTCCCTCCTGTTTCTCTCAGTCACCATATAAGGAAAAAGTAGTACCATGTCTTGGCAAACAGGCATATTCCAAACTCTTTACTTTGTTTTCAGCATTTTTATACATAGTCATTTCAAGTTTTATAACTTCTTGTGAAAATCCAGAAAAGGCTGCCGCGTCGGGCCCCAGAGGTACTTTGATAGTGTCGTTGGCACATGTGGGTGTTTTTGATCATGTTGCATAAATAGTTTCCTTGTTGAAGGCCGCTGGTCCGTCTTTGGTTATCCCAGGTTATTCCCCATCTGTTAACAGAATAGAAGGGAAAACATGAAGTATGTTGGTCCTTTAATTCCTCCTTATACTGTGAGGCTTAGCTGAGTGATGCTTTCATTTGCTCAGTGTAATTAATTAGAACTGCGTTTAAATTTAAAATGCTATAATAATCCATAATAATGTTTACCATACTGTAGTTGTACTATACTTCTACTGTATATATGACGCAATCAACATTAGCTGCTCCCCCAAAATTTATTTTCACAGCTTAAAAGTTCATCTGCCATTTTTTTGGGATGAAAAAGTTCTTTCAATTATATAAACATCATTATTTCTGTAATTATCCCGGCTATATATATAAATAAATGGCAATGAAAGCTGAACCAAACACATATTTGTTTATGTAAATACCTATTTCTGTTTTCAAACTGATCAAATAAATTCCCTATTCAAAATAAAATAGAAATATACTTCCTAAACACGGTTAAAATATATTTGTTTTCATGATTGATTAAGTTGTTCTTTCACATTTTACTTGTATGTAGTGTATTACACACTACTCTAACAAGTGTACTGGATACTACTGCATCTTATCAACTTTAACAATCCTTGCTTTTACTACTTTGATACCTAAGTTTGTTTTTTTGCTCATATCTCTTTCCCATCGCCCCTGCAGTGACAGACTACCTCAAAGCGGCTGTAGACCTTCTTCTCCTTCCTCATACTCTCTATCCTCTTCAGTAGTCCCTCCCGCTCCTGGCTGCTGCCCGGCGGCCGCAGAAATCGGTTCCTTTTCAGGGTGCTCTGGCCCTCCGTCGCCTTTTCTCCTGCATCGCCACCTCTGTCCCCTCCCGTTTCTTCTCGTTCCTGACGGTTTTTCTGGCTGTTGGCGGAGATTTGCTCCAGAATAACTTTGGTGTCGTCTCGTAGGTTGCTACTGAACAAAACAGAGCTGCCCTGGGGCTGGTATCGGGACGTGACGGATGTCCCCCCGGCTGACGTCTTGTGGTTGCTTGTGGTTTGGTCAGCAGCGGTAGATGTTGTATCTTTAGTTAACGAGCTTTGCCTTTTGCTTGAGTCATCAGTGACCTCTCTGACCGTGCTCATGCTCCTATCATCACCTGAGGTTTTCTTATCTTTATCTTTGGGTCCCAGGAATCCCTTTAGCCTCTGAGTCTGCTTCTTTAGGAAGTCGAGTGTCTTGCCCTCACCCTTTCCCTCGCCAATTGTGTTGATCGACGTATTAGATCCCATAATCTTTCTCAGTCCTTCCTTAGATTCCTCATGTGTCAGAGTTGAAGAACTGTGAGAGCGGCTCTTTTTCATTTCAGTCTTCTCTGCGTCTGTAGCATCTCCGGTCAGAATCTCCTCATCACAGGAGATGCGACGAGGATTCAGCCCCTTAAGCTTCAGCGGATCCCTCTTAAAGATCTTAGGTGAAGGGAGAGGCTTCAGAGACTTGAATATATCTTTCTTTTGACCTTCTGATGCATTGTCCTCTTTATGAGGCTGCAACGACTCTGAAGTCTTCGTAGAGCTCGTAAAAGGCTTGGCAGTGATTATTGATGGTTTTGAAGAACTAAATGAAGACCTGCGGGTGAGCTCTGCCAGTTTTGCAGAGATGTCTGGCTTTTTTGGTTGTGGTTCTGCTGAACTGTTGGAGCCACTTGGGGGCTTTGAAATTGTTGCAGTGTTGAGAGGAGGTTTCTCAGAAAGATCTGGCTTCTTTTCAGCAGGCTCGGGGGCTTTTAGCGTTGTCTCTGTCTCCATTTTTGAGGCTTTTCTTTTGGCAGCCAGATCTTTGAAATACTGCAGTCGACTGGCTGGGTCATTCATGTTCAAAGATGACGATGTTGTGACTTCAGGTTTTTCCGCAGCTGGTGTTATCTTTACTTCTATGGCAGTTTTCACAGGTTCTTCTTTAATCTCATCTTTCAATCGCATCTCCCGTTCCTCTTTCTGTTGCTGTTGGTCCGTCACCTCTTCTTCTTTCTCCATCTCCTTTTCTTTCTCCTTGTCTTTTTCTTCAGCTTTCTTTCGCCAATCAAAAGGTTCACGAGAATAAGACCTCCTCTTTTCTAGGATCTGGGCCACAATTGAGGTGGTGCGTCCTGAGTCCAACTCCTCGTCTTCCTCTGTGGCTGGTTTTAAACCTAAGCTACCACTGTGTATCTCTGCCTTGGAAGATGAGAATATAAGCGAGGACCGCAGACGAGAGCTACGTTGAAGGAGTGGGTTAATTCGTGACCGGAATGATTCGTGTTTGGACAGAAAGAGATCTGGAGTCTCTTTCATCTCCGTATCAGCAGCCCCTTCCTTTGCTGCACCCTGGTCTTTCTCCTTTTCCTTTTCTCTCTCCACCTCTCTGTCTTTTTTCTCCAGTAGAGATGTTCTCAAATCAATGCGTGAGGGAAGTAGATCCTTGGACGATGGCAGGGCCGAGTCTTTATTACTGCTCTCAGGTAATACCGGCTTTCCAAAGCGTGGTCTCAAGATATCTGGCCTGGGCTTGGAGGGAACATTCGGTGGCTCCTTTATTCCAAAGCGTGGAGCTGAACTTTCAGTTGCTGTTGGTTGCTGAGGTTGTGGAGGCTCTTCAAACGCATCAGGCCCCATAGGTTGAGACAGGCCTTCTTCTCCACCATCCTCATAAGTACTAAGGTAAGAGTTGATTCTCCAACTCCTCAGGCCTTGCTTTACGCTTGCATCTTGATCGCATTCTTGATCAGATGGTTTGTGGTATTGCTTCTTCTCTGGTGGATGAGGCTGCGTAGGTGAGCTCTGACAGGCATACGCCTGACCTATGGTTGGCCTCTTATTAGCGGATCCTCCTCCATACCTCCCAGCTAGCGGAGGGGCTGGGTGCCCCTCAGGTCCTCCCAGGTCCTCAGATGAAAAGTAGTCTCTGCCGTAGTTCCCAGGTGGAATCTCGAGATCTGAGCGATGGCTTGAGTCTGAATACTGGTCGATGGAGAGGTGTGGAGGACGGCCTCGAAGTCTGTCGTAGTGTCCGTGACCAGAATCAAGCCCAGGCTCGTCAGTGTAGTAATGACTACTGTGAGTCTGTTCCCTGTAAAGAGAACACAGTTTTTCTTATTTGCTTCATTTTAAATTCATAGTTATGTGTAATAGTTACATATAAAGACATAGATAGACATGTAACGACATAATAATTTGTGAATCATTCTGATTCCAGACAGCAGGTATTAAAGGATTAACTACCTGTGGAAGTCAGTCTCATCCAAGTTGTTCATGACTCTGTGCTTCATGTATTGCCTTGAAGATGTATAGTTTTCCTGGGTTCCTTCTGCATAGCTATGCCTCTTGTAGGCACTGCTACTCATCTCCATCTGCCTGGACACTATGGACCGTCCCTGCTCTAGGAACGATTGCTGCAGACGAAACTGTTGCTGTGAATACTTCCCAATTGTAATTCCTGCCCCAGGTTCCATTGAATGACGATACGGGTCATTCCTCCGGAAGCCAATTGCAGGGTTACGATCAGAGTCCCCATAGGGGAAGGCAGAGGGAATCTCAGGCTGCCTTCGGTAGCCTAAAGGGTTACGCAAAGACTGGGTCCTCTTCAAACCGAACTGGCTGCTCATGTAACTGCTGGTGCTGCTGGTGTCAGAGAGAGCAAGTGCTCCATTGGATGGGTCAATGACTAGAGGCTCTGACTGAGCAAAGAGGATGCGAAACTCTTCATCAAAGGTGGCAACCAGCTCCCCGAGGAAGAGGTGGGCAACGCAGCGGTGGATCTTCTCATAGGACCACATGAAACTAGAAGAACATAAAAAAGAACAATGGATGCAGAAATTAATTGCAAAGATTTACAGATTAGATGGCATTATTAAGTGAAATTGTACTTAACGCGATTAAATGACTCACCTGTAGTTCCCACTGAGCACCGCCCTGCAGTCAGCCAATAAGAAACGATCTTTCACCTGCCCCTTAAAGGACTGCCCCGTCCGGGAGTAGTAGGTTATTCCTGCCACAGTCCTGACACGCATCATCTATAAAACCAAAATTTCAACTTTGTTATGGACGTACACAAGCATTAGTGGCAATAAGTAACATAACAGATGCCACATGAGGACAATCTGTGAGTCCGGTCTATATTGAGGAAATATAAAGAAATGGCAAACTCACAGGAATTAATTCCAAGTTGACTTTGCAGTTGATGACCATAGAGACAAAATGGTGACATTCATGCTCATCCAGTAAAATGTAAACGGGAACGTGGCGTGCTGCTGCATCCAAGAGGTCAGAAAAAATGTCAACGTCTGTGAACATGTCCATCACCACAGCAATAACCTGGAGCACAAGAGCAAACACAAGAAGTTAGGTTGGTTCAGTATAATTGCAGTTTTGTTACTCTAATTTTATTCATATTTTGTAGACTTGTTGCTGCTGGTTAACTTAATGTGCACTTAAAGTGCTACCCCATGCACATTTACATAACTGGAAGGAACTCTGGCAGCTGTTCATTTTGTTTATCAGCAGTAGAAGATAGAAGCATAGAACATTATGTTTTTGTGCAGGTTTATGGTCCTTTTGAGTGGATTGTGTCAAGGTTTCTCCTAAAAATGTGCACAAATTCACATCTTAAGACACAACTGAAGAGAAGTTTTTGTCCCTCACACAGCTGCACTTATTCAGCAAAAGAATCAAGTCTATTTCAGGTTTTAAAATAAACACATGTACAATAACACCTCTTAACAAAATAGCAGACAAAATGAGCTTTTACCGGCACTCATTATATCAGCAGAACAGTGTGGGTGGATCTCCACTAAATTTACATAACAAACATATAAAGAGATTAACGACTTGTGTCTCTTTAAACCTATCTGTCCTTCATGTGCATGTTACAACATTTACTTTATGCCTGAACGCAGGAGAGACGCTTTCGTCTCTCAGTTTTGTCAGCGTGAAAGAGGCAGTCGTGTTGTCTCTGAACACACAGGGAGTAACGTAGCACAGATAAAGTCATAACCCACCACACGGACAGGTTTGACAGCTCGTCACATCTGGCATCAACGCGTCTTCTAATCATATTTTTAACTTAGCTAAAGGCCAGCCATGCAGAAATGAATCTAACAGGGAGTGGTGGCAAAGTTGACGGAGGCAGATAAAAAGTGAGATTAAACTAACAACGTGATAACATAACCAATTATAACCCTTTATCTCACCTTTTTCCCCCCTTCTGAGGAAATAACAACTTGTACAACACATATTGATAAGACAGCGAGAGGACACTGGTGTGTTCTTACATCACAGGTGCTCCCACCCACATGTAAACAGAGAAGGAAGTGTATGCGCGTCCAAACAAATACATATTTAGCATATTTGTAGGTGCATGAACAGCTTTGATCCCTTCCCCGCCCAAATACCTGTGAGAATCAAATCAGACGTGCTCATTTTAACACATTTATCTGTTTCCCATCTTCACTTATACTCACTTGTCGTGCATTCTTGATGAGTCTCCTGGCCTGCTCCTTGATGCTCGGCATGTCTGGGTCCGACGGGTTGACCAGAGTGGTGACTTCCGTCGGCCCGACAAAGCTGTGCTGCGGCAGCGGCCAGCCCAGGTCCAGCCCCGGGGCGGCCGTGTCCGACTGCATTGGCCAGTAGGTATCGGAGGAGCCTTCTTCCTCTTGACCTCCCTCGTGGTACGTCAGCTCAGGAATGCCGGAGGTCTGGTTGGGCACCTGGATTGTGGACTTAATGTATTCGATTTCCGGCTGTGCCAGGAAACCAACCACTTCAGCGTGCTGGAGGAATTCATAGTAGCCCTGGTGTGATGGGAGACACAGAAGGTTAGTAGATCGTAAAACCGGTGTGTATGCCTTTTATACATCAGATTAGCACATAAGAACATAGAGAACAGCAGTGTTACCTTTATGTCACTTTCTATCAGAGCATCAATGGCCAGACGATACTCCTCCCGGTAGTGTGGGGGCAGGTAGTTCGGGTCGAGGGGGTTCTCCCCAATCGATGAACTCTGAGACCGGTGAGCCATTGTTGGAGGAGAGTCGGGTCAAGGTTCAGGGGTGAGAGGAGGAAGGACGAATCTGAACCTATGATTAAAAGTGAAAAAATGTTACACGCAAAAAGCCAGCTTCTAAGAATCTCGAGCAAAAGGAGAAACATCCAGGCACACAATTACAGATGAAATGTTGTCCTTGTGGGCTCACTGTGGTGTTTTCTGATAGTATATAGACCAAACAACTAATTTGACTAATTGCGACAATAATCAACAGATTAATCGACAGTCACAATAATAATAACTTCAATTCAGGTTCCAGTCAGATTGCTTCTGAAATTGCAGAAACTGTTAACACACGGCACTCCCGCGTCCGTGGTACACAATAGTTATAATTCAACTAAATATCCCTTTGGGTGGTGAGAGCAGAACCTCTTTGTGTCGGGATACACAAGCAGACAGATTACCTATAACTACTCACACAAAGCGTCTTTTGTTGCCGAGTCAAATCCAGCGTGGTGAGTTTAACAGGTACATCTTTTATATTATCCCAGCAGACGTTGTGAAAGATACTGACCGAAAACCAGTCGCAGATTCATATGAATCACGAAATATTAACTAGGTTATTAGTATTAATAATAGAAGGTCATGTTATATAAGTGTCCTATTTATTCTCTAATATCCAGTCAGTCTGACACTTTAATTAAACGAAAAACGTTTCTTGCCATGATGTTGAATTTAATGTTTAGATGAGAGTAATACAGCGCAGACACAATGTCAGACTTTATTTTTGTTTGTACGTTGCATCATTTGGTATTTTGTGTAACGTCAGTGCGACCTTTGTGTAGTGATATCTTTTGGAAGTTTTTCTGAAGCTCACTTCCAGGATTCAGAGTTAACTCGACGGAGCTCTCGCTGCTTAATTGCCTCTTTGATGAAACTCTAGAGCTGGAATCAGCAATGAATTTTCAAGTAATAACACCAATGATTAACTGAAATTCCACCTGGCTCGTGCATAAAAGTAAGAACAACGAAAAGCAACAGGATACAGAACATACAATGGGAGGAAGAGAGAGAAGAAAATGGAGGTTGTAAGGGAGAGGTAGGAGAAGACATGAAGAGGCGTATAGACAGGTTCTTTCATATCTCGGCTCAATAAACTTGTCGTGCTGGTGCGTCATGTTTCATGTAGCTACTCAGACCTCAGCGTGAAAAATCTGGCAGCAGATTGATTTAGAAAGGGCCTGCTGAGTGTGCTGTTAGCTGTGCTGCGACTTGAACAGACTTCATTTATGGAACATTGTTGCGTAACGTCCTGCGAGTGCACGTTGCTCAAATGAGAAATTTAGGATCGACTTTGCAAATATCCAGAGCTAAGGTCAACTCTTAAGGTCTTACTTAGACATTTTCGGGACACCTCACGAGGTTTTGGCTACCATTAGAGGAAAATTATCAGTGTGAAAATGATTTTTTAAACCGGTTTTGCTCATTTTAATTTCATGTACTTGTTTTTCACTTTAATTTTGTTCATCAAATGGTCAGAAATAATGAAAAAATGCATTGATTTCTCCTAAATAAGGATTATTGCTGTTAATGTACGTGGACCGATCTTCGTATTGTGCGGAGTCACCCCACAAAAGGCAAATTCTGAGCAAGGAAAAACCCTGTATGTGGACGAATACATTCTTTAGAAGCAACAGTCGTCACTCCAGACTCAAAAGACACAATAAGCCACAATCAGATAGAAAGCAAAGATACCAGACAATCAATAAATGAATCTTTTGGTCTGTAAAATAAACCTTAAAGCTGATGCCATCAAAGCACTAGCTTTGCCCCACAAACACTCTTAACTTTGCTGTCATAGAACAAAATATAAAGCTTTGTACTATCACGGCTGAGAGGAGACGTCACGTTAACTTAGACAATTATCCAAAACATTTCAAATAGACTTTAAATGTACATTTGGCCAGCGTTGTGTGGAATTATTTGGTTGACTGCTTCCACATGTTTGAGTAAATCGCTGCCATCATTTACAAGATGTTGTTTGGCATTTGATAAAGGAAGGAGGAAAGAGGATGAACACCAGTGACAAATGGCTCGGGCTTGACTCCAACCCACGACACAGTTATGAAGAGTCTGCTGAGCCAACCAGGACACCCCCTCATTGATATTTAATGTGCTTCTGACAGCTGCACACTGAGCGGGTCACCTGATGGCAGAGATGGCAGTTAACAGACACTAAACTACTGAAGTATTTAAAGTAAGCTGGTTTAACACTTGGTAAATCTCAGGGGAATATACACGGGTTCCTTTTGGACATGAGGTCTAAACAGAAAATATGGATGGAGCAGCGTGAAGAACTATGACTGACTGTCAGTGAGAGGAAATGATCAGGGTGTGTGTAACCAGGAATCTGGGTGGGTAGGTGATTTATAAAATCGTACCTGCTTCACAAGTGTTTGCTTTCTGTAAACTTCCAGGCGCACTTGAGAGATCAGTGCAGCTGATAGCGAAGGGGCCAAGCGGTAACCCACAATCACTGGGAGAGCCCGACTTACTCAGCGACCCAGTGACTCATCGAGTCGCCTGGTCTGGCGTAGCCTGAGGATAACTTGCAACAGACTGCTGTGTGGTGATTCATCTGCCAGCAAAATGGCCGACATCCTGTTTCCTTACTGGTTTTGAGCCATAGAAATTGGGCCTTCGTGGCGTGCTGTTCTCTTTCCATCGTGGGCAGGGAGGTATGCTGGACCACAAGCTGGTTCCATGGAACCAGTTTCCTCCCGCTTAGTTTATAAACTGGAAAAGTCACAAGTACTTTGATGGGTTTCATGTTTGTTCTTATGTTAAAGTACTTTGTTGTAGCCGAGTTGGGGTTAATTTGCATAAAGGCAAACTGTGCATACCTGAGGAGTGACAACAACAGCCACAAATTGAAAGATGTGCACCTGTTTTCACTGCTCATGAAACCTCAGAAAAGACAATGTGTGGCATCACAACAGCAGCCACAAACCCAGCGTGGGCGCCATTTAAATGATGGAATAAACAGTACTGCTGTTCTTTCCATTATCAATCAATAGGCAGTTACAATCTTGACGTATCTCAAATAAAAGAAAGCTCATCACAGTTTCCCAGAATTCAAGGTGATGTCTTTAGGTTGTGATTGCAGGGAAGGAAAGCAGCGACACTGAGTACTGGGAACTGTTGGTGGTAATGTAAAACCCCTTAAACAAACAATTTATCATCAGAATGTTGGCAAGTTATCATCTAAGCAGAAGACAGTGAGGCAATGCTGATTGACCCTGAGGTGATAATGAGTAAAGCGGATGAGTCAAGAGTACAGTGACACTAAACTGAGCCTGGAGGTTTCTTATTCACCCTCCTTCTCCTCTTCCCTTCTGGGTCACTGCAGAATGAGGCAGCAGAGGAACAACAGCATGTAAGAAGCATGACAGACTCTCCTCCCCTCACCTGTCTGACTGGCAGGATATTTAAACAAATACCGCTGCTTTGTTTGTTGTTATAGCAACTGCAGCGGGCATCAAACTGTAGAAAGTGACACATGACGATCGGGATCACTTGCTCGTTCCTCCCTTTGGCTGTAAAGCTCTCCGTTGCCCACACAAGTACGAGGCTGCCCTAAATGGCACCATAAACAAAGGCGCTCTGAAACACTAAACCAGCACAGGACGGGCAGGCGGGCGGCAGCTTCTCAAGGCCGACGAATCCCAATATCGAGATGAGCCCAATGTTTGCTCACTAAGCGTGTAAATGGCTCATTCTCGGCATTCCTGTATGAACAACGACACGAGAGGCGGTTGGGAAACGGTGAGCGAGGAGCCGAGGGAGGGAAAAATCCATCTGTCTCGACATGCGAATCAGACAAATAAGCCCGAGGACACACAAACTACTAAGAACAAACTCCTAAAAAAAAAAAATCTTCTGCCTCTCTGCTCTCCCTCATGTGAACACGCCTCACTAAACAAACACCATGATTGATCCGGCACGGCTCTCTCGGTCGATTCATTTTTGGTGTTACAACCCAGAAGAATAGCTGAGAACTGGTTTGGAGGGATGAGCCGCTAATCTCCTGATGCCGCCGTCAGGACCTTTCACTGCCACTTTCTGTCAGAGAGGTGCAAACACAAGAGCGCGACTTGTCTCTGCGTATATCATCACACCTCAGCGCGACTGTTGAATGCCGCACAAAAGACGGCTCAAGGTCAGATGAATGCGTACAGTATGCGAGAACACATCCTCCCTCTTTCTGCTTTTTTTTTTTTACACAGCGGCACTGCTTGAAAAACAGGTCCACTGAGGTCCCCGTCATCTGTTCCAACTGCCTCGGGGCCCTGCGGTCATCTTGAGTGGAAAACTCAGCAGCTTAGGCACGAAAATATTCCCACTTTAATTCCTCTTTTCTCTCTCTCAAAAAAAAAAGCACAATATTTTTCTCACATTTTCTGCACAGACAGACTTTGCAGCATATGCAGCTCATGAATGAGCCTCGGACATATGGCTCGTGTGACAAGATCGAATTTAGAATAAGAAGAAGCACACAGGCACCACAATAAAAAGAAAAGAGCTGGCACTACAAAGTTTTTCCCCCTCAAATTATAACCACATGGCGGAGTATTCCTGCGCAGTGACTCACTTTGAATGGAGGTGAAGCTGCTTGTTTGGCTAAATGAAATTGTTATGTGTCATAAAAGACACATTTAGAGCCTATAAACCAGAGTTAGGAGCAGACATCTTACTTGCTCAACATGATTGGAGGGCAGGGGGATGTGCAGTGTTAGAGGCATCTCAGTGACAGTGACTGGCATTGTGCAGCCAAGATGCTTGTAAAAGTGTCTGCCTCCTTTTTTTTTAAATTTATTACCTGCAGTTCCCTAATAATAGCTACAGCACAGCCATGTTATTTCCCTCAAGTGTCTGTATTTTTTCTCTCTCTCTCTCTTTCATGAATGTCTTCAAAGGGCTGGAGAGAGAAGCAGTTTGAATGCAGCTTGTGTGCTGTAATAACAATACAGTTCAGGTTTTGCAACGCACAGCAGCTACCAGGTGACTTAATCCTCCACCAAGTGCTGCTGAGGAAAGCAGCATTTCACTGTTTTAAATGAATGAAGAAATGAATAGACAATAATAGATGAGAAGAGATTAGAAGACAGGGTATGATGAGGGTTGAGTTAGGAGAGGATAAAACAGGACACAGCAGAAGTCCACATAGTTGTGTTGCCCCAAAATGTCACACCGGCTCTGTTCTTCCCACTTCGTACCTCCACACTTTGCAGCTCAGCTTCTCTTCTCCTTGTACCGTCGCTTGTTGTCTTCTTCCAGTCGCTAAAAAAAACCCAACGTTACATTCCTCGGACCGGACCGGAGCTCCACCCAAACCCCCCCACCCCCTCCGGTGTGCAGCCTCCACGGGCACCGACCAGCAGAGCAGAGGCGAGCCGACGCGGACACTCCGGGGCCCCGGGCTGAGCGCTCCAGTCGGCGGTTGTGTGCGTGTGAGAAGCTCCGGGGAGCCGCCGACCGATGAGTCGAAGCGAGCGAAGCGCGGTGGTGAAGGAGGAAGGATCAGGGCGACTCCTGTCGAGGCAGGGCTTTCCCACCGGTGAGACTCCTCCCAGACCCAGTAGATCAGTGGGAACACACGATCATTGGAGGCTCCGGCTCTGTGGCACGTTTCAAAAGTGGCCTTGATGCCTCACTGCTGCTAATTGGAGTTTTATGTTGCCTTCAAGACACAGAAAGTTGATCCAAACTTCAAGCAAAACTTTCACAACTGAGTTTTATGTGCCAAGAGACAGCTTTTCTAAAAAAAATAAAATAATAAGAGTCTTTTTAATCCTCACTGCTGTATTTGCATTATCCACATTTACCTGCCAACTTTATATATTAAGTTTAAAACACTACAGTTACAGTAATTATGGAAATCTGCTTCATTATTTTAAGTATTGAGGTTAAAACCCTGGAATATTACTACATTATATGACTATTAATACAAATCAACCTGACTTAAAGGTTAAGGTTCAAAACCAATACAGTATAATGTATAATACAAGTTAACCTGACTGATTTAAGCATTAAAGTTAAAACATTACAATATTATTAGTTTAATTTCACCTTAAATATCAATGCAAAGACTCTACAATTTAATTCATCATGTGACTTTACCTAACAAGTTTAAATATTACAGTTAAGGCACCACAATGTTGTTAATTGTGCAGATTTTCCTAGGTGTTAAGGTTAAGACCATACAATTACATATAAGTACATATAAGTTAACCTGGCTGATTTAAATACTAAAATTAAAACCCTATAATAGTAATAATTATGCAAATTTACATGAGTGATACAAATCTTACACTGATATTTGTTCTGTAATTGACTAAACATTAAAGATAAGATCACCCCAATATTGTAAGATACCATTAAGAAGTAGTTTGAGTCGAAGGTGAGCTGGTGTGCTCGAGCTGCGGTCAGTGTAGAGAGGCAAGAACTTTATAGATCTGCACATTCTGGAAGAAGTAAAAGTGTAGAGTTGCATATTTTAAGGCAGAAGGGATTATTTTAATGGAAAAACGTCTGAATTTATAACTTTAATACACAGAGATGAGAGTTCGGGGCCTTAATCAAGAACCAGAGAGGGGCTGGTAGTAGTCAGGAAACTATTTCTGAGCGAGTTACTAACTTTCTGATCGCTCTGTAGTTAAGAATTTGACCACAATTGCCTAAACTTGCCGTCAGTGGAACTTTTCGGCAAATAGCTAATTTCACAACGAATGTGGTTTCTTCGAAGGTCATGTTCCTGCCTGAACCTCTGTGTAAAATGAGTCACGTATTTTGTTTTTCTCCATGGCAAGAACTCTTGCACTGACTCAGCAGACTCCCGCAGTTCCCCTTTCTATACGAATCCTCTGTGAAACCTGCCTCGCCGCTGCAGGCTGTACCCCTCACTTCCTCCTCCTCAGACGTGAACTGGATCTGTCAATTCTGTTTTGCTAAAGGGCTGCACGGCTCAATCAATCAGATCCAGGGTCGCCGTTTAACCGCCACGTGTAGCTGATGCAGGGTTTTTGCCGTTTTTTTTCTCACACTCGGTGCCAAAACCTGACTGTTATGTTAGTTAGTTTGCATATTATGAACCTCATGACCAAAGTTCCAGTCCTTTATGTTTCGCTCTGTTGCTTTTTGTCCGTCGTTATTTGCTTTCGCTTCTTTTCTTTTTTTTTTTATTAGAATTATTGTTCTCAGACCTGCACACAAGTAAAGCAGCTGTAGTGACATTAAACAAGGTGTAGTACAGATAAAAGAAGTTTTATGGGATGTCCTTTGTCCCGAAACGTGTCTATCACACAGAACACACCTTGTTTGATAGGCCTCTGATAACACACACATGCATTTAGTGCTCTGCAGGGCGTGCCTCATGTTTGAGCGTCCATGTCCTAGTCTGCTGCTCACACACACACACACACACACACACACACTGCAGAGGCCATGTTTCTGAGCTCCAGCTTCTTTTCCGATTAAATGTGCAACACTCAGCTCAACAGAGATGTGAAATGAGAGTGTTAGCAACTGTGTGAGAGGCAGAAACCCAACACACTGAATGCGGTGAAGGGATAAACAATGACAGGAGAAAGTTGTACGAGTGTTTGCTGCTCTGATAACAAACAGCAGCAGGTAGAGAGACGCTGAAACGCAGGGCGCGGCCGCTGCGAGGAATGCGCTCATGGCATCTTACCACACCCAAACCTCCCTCACCCTGCCTCCCCCCCCCCCCCTCTCTCTCTCTCTCTCTCTCTCTCTCTCACACACACACTCTCTCTCTCTCTCTCACACACACACCCTCTCTCTCTCTCTCTCTCTCTCTCTCTCTCTCTCTCACACACACACTCTCTGTTGTCCTCTCGCCCACTCTCTCTCTCCCTGTTCTCCTCCCTCTCTGAGTCACCTGGCGGCCTTTTGAGCAGGTATGCAGGTCCGGGCAGGAGCTAAATCCTGGCATGCATCTCGGCATACCTGGCAGAGGAGCCAGAGACTGTTTGAATTCAAACAAGCTTTATTGAGAAGGAAGTTGGAGTTCAGTGTTGACAGTTGCGGTTCCGGTGACCTTATTTAATCCGATTTATGCCAATTATCTGTATATACAGAGCCCTGTAGTCATACACCGGATCAGGTTCTGCAATGTGACGAGGCTGGGCAGTTTGGCAATTAAAGGATTTACATAAATAGAGTGGACTGAAAACTATGAACAAACAGAAACTTTTTATTAAATTATATTATATTATTGTATTATCTCACAGTATGACCAAGTTTCAATTTCCAAACCACAGGAGCTACAACTTTTTAGTAAAGTGAAATGAAGTTACTATTATTTATTTATCACTGAAGAAGCCGTTTACGTAATAACTTATTAAGTTATTGGCTGGTTATTACATTTACAAAGATTTATTTTTAGCAGACTAGTCACATAATAACGTATTACCTTATCAACCAAAAGATATAACGTTATCAGTTCAGGACTTTTATTACGTTATTGGCCTATTTCATTTTAAAAAGTGCTCATTTATCATGTTATCAGCAGTTGTTACGTGATCGACTGTTATTACATCATTGATTTCTACAAGCACATTTAAAGCAGCCAAAATACTTTCTAGGAGAAAAATACGATGTTATTAATTAACCTAAAGACCACATATTGAGGTTAAGTTTTGGTTTTTTTTGTTTGTTTTTTATTACCATGTTGTTTATGGTGAGAATTTACTTGAGTAAATTAAATATTAGAGATTAAAAACCCACAAACGAATCTAGAATACAGCTTTACCCGACTATAATAGATATAAAGACCCTACATTATTATTAATTATGGCGATTAACTCGACTAATTTAACACTAAAGTTATGAAAATAATCAACTTTAGCTACATGAACCTAATACACAGAAGTGTATTGTGATAGATTTCTTTCTTTCTTTCTTTCTTTGGACGGGACAGTGCATATTTATGAACATACAGTCTCAATAGTTTACACAAGGTTGCAGCAAATACGCTGAATTTAGCACAGTTTCCATCTGTTGTCCCACACAAAAAAACAACAATATAGTAAAACAAGACAATGATGATAAATGAATTCTGACTGGGTTAAACCTACCCTGAAGTGCCATTATCTCAGTGAAGTGCTTTCTAGACATAGCCTGTCATAAAGTGTAGTTATGGTGCCAGCTTTTCTGAGTGTTCACATGTTTGATTGTTAATCATCCATGTCTTATACTGTCTCTTAAAACTGACAAAGGTGGAGCTTTCTCTGACAGCTATAGGTAAAATATTCCAGTTTGTGTAACCTTTAATAGAAAATACATTCTGTGCAAAGGAGGACTGTCTAAATTATACTTCACAGTCTTGCCTGCTGGCCGATCTTGTACTAATAGTCACTCTGGAATTTAGTGCTTCAGAGATTAAATTAACATCTTTATGTCCGTTTTGAAAGGGACAAAAGTCAGATGAGAGACATGAGACCAAAGCAGAGTCACACTTATTTCAGAACGCTTTTAACTCCACCTGCTGCTGCGCGTCTATAACCGACGTCGCTTTTGTTGCAGGTTAGATTTAATCTGCATTTTCGGGCCTCAACGGAAAATGTTCTTTAGCAAAGTAGAGCAGCGATACAAAGAGGTCACTCTGCGCTCTTGTCTTGTCTCTCTCTCTCTTTGTCCGTCTCTAAGCCTGCATCTCTGTGGCCCTGTGAGCTTTCCCAGCATGCTTTTCTCACGCTGTAATGTCACACCTGAGTATAAGGTGACTCTCTGGAGCCCGAGGCTTCGAGGTCATCTTTACACCACTGTGCCGAGAGGAAAGGTGTACGCGGTACAGTATAGGTGGTTGTGTAAGCGGTGGATGTGGTACGCCGTGTGTCTGTTGAGTCTCATACCAGCGACACTGCATTCCCATTACCACCCACTTTATAATGAAATGTAGCCCTTCGGTCTGTTTTTTTCCACAGAAGAAGATAATTAGCAAGAGAGTAAAACATGATCCTGTAAAGTAAAACAGTGCTGTCAGAATGTGTCTCTGTGTGTAACCGAGACACACTTTATTGTTCCAACAAAAAAAATACCTGAATAATCACTGTCAAGTATTTCTAAGTGAGTTTTTGCCTCATGAGGCTGCGCGTATGTGTTCCTTTCTGCTTCAGCCAAACGGGAGACTATGACAAATGTTAAAATCAGTTTTTAGTACCGGGTGGAGCCTTATTATGACCAGTAAACAGCTTAAGTAGAAGGAAAGTCCCCACAGTGTGTGCAAAGGTGTTTCATTTACAGTAGGTAAGTATGCATGGTGTTTGTGTGTTTAAGAGAGGCAGAAAAAACATCCAACCAGTGTCACTGCATGCCTTGGACAGGTGTTGTCAGCTCGTTGCTATCATTACTGCAGTCGTGAAAATGATAATAATGATTATTTAGGGAACATCACTCATAATGTAACTGACAGGATACAAAGTCCAAGTAAAGCAGGAGCTGTTTTATCAAAGTCTGACACCATCGTCCTGCCGTAACACTCCTGCTTATATTTTTTTTTAATAATCATGACATTTGAAACAGAAAACAACAGAAGAATACAGCAGCAATTTTTGCAAACTAAGAGAAGACTTCCCATTTAGACAATCTTGTTTTATTGTTATACGTCAGCAAACGCGTCAAACATTAAGCGCCAGCGAGGGCTCGGTCTTTACCTTTGGACTTTATTTTAAACTCCCCCAGACAGGATGGCTGCACTCGACAACCTGAGGGAGCACTCCTGGCTCCGACATAAATATTAATAATGCGCTTGAGGTTAAACGACACATACTCGGGTCCTAAAACAAGTTTAAGCACGAGAGAAGTGCTTTTCAAAACACCCCGAGAGATTCTATAGTTTTACGCTCCTTCAAAGTGGAGCAGCGACACAGATGTGCAGCGTTTGAACCAATAACTTGTTAATTTTCCACAACTGTCATATGTGATCTGCTGCAGACAGACAGATGGGCTGATAGAGGTGGAAAAAAAAGCAGTGATTGATGTCTGACAGAGCAGTTTAGACTCAGACTGATAAAGGGAGCCGGTTTTAGATGTGATATCTAATCGTGATCGTGTTTCATTTCTAAAGATAGACTTTTTTTTCACCCAGCTGTTGTCATTTTCTCTTTCCTTTCCACTCACCTTCACTTATCACAGGTGTCCTCTCTGCTTCTGCTCGAGGTCTCTTCCCGGTAAAAGGGCGTTTTGTTTTCCTACCAAGCGCTTCCTCGAAATGAATCATCGGATTTGTTGGGTTTCTCTCTGTAATGAAATTCTGTAGAGTCTTGACTTTACTATGTGAAGCTAAATAAACTACACTTACACATTATTTATTCTTACATTAAAGCTATAGGGACAAATTAAAGAACATGTTTTACTTGTGTTCAGTCGAGCTCCTGCATTACTTCACCTACTGTATGTAAAAGAAAAAAACAGGATTCATTTTCATCCGTGAAAACGTTGCGACTTTGTTTCGGCAGATTACTTTCATCGTGGTCATTCTGGAAGCTCCTCAGCTCATCAGGATGACCCTCGATGGTTTGCCATTAACTCTCCAGTTTCCAGCACTCAGACATCATATGTAAGTACTTGTTGGAATGGAAAGCACATTCTACTTATTGGAAATGATCTTGTGGCAGCATTCTTTAAAATACTTGCTTCCACTGTGCACCAAAAGATGCCGCTCTTGTTTTCAGCTGCACTGCAACTGCAGAAACATGGACGCATAAGCCAGCTGTGTTCTGCTGCCCTCTGCTGAACTCAGCTTCACTGTGCTCTTGCTTGAAGTTTGGAAGAAAAATAGACAAGATGTGAGGAAACAAAACCAAAACTCAGTCAGTATAGATGTTCGAAAATAAAACCAAAACTCAATCAGTCAGTACAAACAGCTGACACAGAAGACCTAAGGCCATTCCACTATTGCATAATAAAAACGCAAATGTGGCGAAGAAAATGAAAAAAATATTACATGGGGAAAATATGAAACCTATCTATGTGTCTGGTATCCAAATATAAGGATGATTATAGTCAACACAGTGGAAAATATCAATAAATAGAAGTTTAAAAACAGAAAATGAGCTCGAGAAAGAGAAACAGAAGAATAAACTACTTGTAACAACTGATTGAAGGGGGAAAAAATCAAATTTTTTTCACCTACCGGCTGATCAGAGGTTAAAGGTGAAAAATAAAGCTGCTCTACATGTCTTTTAACACTTGAACTGATACTGTAGAAGTATATATGTATTTGTATGTATGAAACCAGAAGTTTACATACACTGTATAAAAAGTCATATATCCTTTTTTTTCTCACTGTGTGACATTAAGTCAGACAAAACGTTTCCTGTTTTAGGTCAGTTAGGATTACCAACATTATTTCTATTTGCTGAACACCAGAATAATGAGAGAGAGAATTTTATGGAGAATTTTTTATTATTTTCTTCAGAGTCAGACGGTTACATACATTTCTTTAATATTTGGTAGTGTTGCCTTTAAACTGTATGACTTGGGTCAAATGTTTTGGGTTTCCTTCCACAAGCTTCTCACAATAGTTTGATGAATTCTGGCCCATTCATCCTGACAGAACTGGTGGAACTGAGTCAGCTTTGTTGGCCACGTGCCTTTTCCAGCTCTGACCACAAATTTTCTCCAGGATTGAGATCAGGGCTTTGTGATGGCCGCTCCAACACACTGACTTTGTTGTCCTGAAGCCTCTTTGTGACTAACTTGGTGGTATGTTTAGGGTCATTGTCCATCTGGAAGACCCATTTGAGCCCAAACTTTAACTTCCTGGCTGATGTCTTGAGATCCATCCATCCATTATCTATACACCGCTTAATCCTCACTAGGGTCGCGGGGGGCTGGAGTCTATCCCAGCTGACTCAGGATGAAGGCAGGAGACACCCTGGACAGGTCACCAGTCTATCACAGGGCTACACTTAGAGACAGACAACCAAGCACACTCACATTCACACCTACGGACAATTTAGAATCACCAATTAACATCAACATGTTTTTGGACTGTGTGGGAGGAAGCCGGAGAACCCGGAGAGAACCCACGCTGCACGGGGAGAACATGCAAACTCCACGCAGAAAGATTCCGGTGCCCCCACCAGGAAGCGAACCGGCAACCTTCTTGCTGTGAGGAAACAGTGCAAACCAACCGCGCCACCTTGCAGCCATGTCCTGACATGTTGCTTCAATATTTCCACATAATGTTCTTTCCTCATGATTCCATCTATTTAGTGAAGTGCACCAGTCCCTGCTGCAGCAAAACACCCCCACAACATGATGCTGATATCTGGAAATTGTACCCAAGGATGAAGCAGACTTGTGGACGTCCACAATTCTCTTCCTGATATCTTGAATGATTTCTTTAGTTTTTCCTACAATTTGTCACAAAAGGAAGCAGCATGTTTGAGGTGTGCCTCCAGTTAACGCAAATGTTGTCAATGAACCTATCAAAAGCTTCCAAAGCCATGACATCATCATCTGGGCTTCCCCAAATAGTTGTATAGTAATAATAGTAATCTTAGTTAAACATTCTTTATTGTCATTGCACAAAAACACAATGTAAACTTAAAGGTTTAGTCTGATTTAAAGTGAGATAGTGAGGAAAAAAAGGTTGTATGTCTGCTCATACAGTGTATAGAAACTTCTGGTTTCAAATGTATTAGATTAAATTATATTAGATTATTATATTTAATTACTAAATCTATCATCTAACTATAGTTTGAGGCATATTTTTTCTGCCTTGTGTCCATGTTGGGGTCCCATACATGATGCTTGCTTTTTCGCCCACATAGATAAAAAAAAAAGATTAAACTCATAAATTACATCTGTGTTCAGAACAACAAGACGTCACACAACTTGTTGATTCAGGTGAGCGACGCTTTATCAGTGTTGTTGAATCATGTGCTGCGACAAGAAGGAAAACGAAACTGATGTTAGGTTTCGTTTCTCTGAGCGGCCGCAGCTCCCAATAAAAACAGGAGCAGCAGCACAGCGACGCTCACAAGACAGACGGAGATCACATCAGTGCGTCCTGCCAAGAGCTCTGCAAATACCGGATTATCAAACAACATGTCTACAGGTAAAGTTCAACACTTTTTATGGAAATCTTGTGTGTTTTAGTTTATTGCATTAATTTATTTAATTTTATTTTGTTATTTAGACCTGTCATTGTTTCAGCATAAACATTTCCAACCTTCATAGTTGCACTTGCAGCTTTTCTTGCATTTGCATATTTTGTTAATTTAGATGTCCTAATTGATAGAGAATGGTGTGGCGCCTAATTTACATAAAATAAACTGAAATCTTCCTTGTACTTGTTTGTGTTTGTTAAGGTTTTGATTTTTTTTTTTTTTTTTCATAGGAAGTTTTGGATCTGTCTTTATAGATTTCTGAGCTGCTACTGATTCTGCGTGTTTCTGGTCTATCAAACTTCTAATTTAACCCTTAATGTAACCAAGTGTAACTGGACGTTGCGCATATGTTGTTGCGCACTACAAACAGCGACGTAGGTTTCGTTTCAGGCTTTTCTTTGCATCTCTGCTCAGTTTATCACATCGTGAAAATTGCAAGATAAAAATGTCTGCAGCAGCGGTAGACAAACAGAGAGCTCTGTAACCACACAAACCAACTGTCGCGTTTGTTGCTCACAACTGGTTATGCGTCAGATTCTTTCCTTTGACTTCAACGTGAATACGGCATCAAATAGCAGCAGAAATATGGCCTAAATTCGTCTTTAAGTTGAGAGTGACGTGCGCAATTACGCACAGAAGCGGTAACTTCTGTGCGTAAGTGCGCACACAAGGTACTGCTTCATTGACACTGGATATGACTGTCAGAAATTTCAGGTTTAATAGGTGTGGTTGTTTCTGATGAAGCTTTTCTGAGTCAATCTTGGGCTCCCTCCCAGCTGTCCAAACATTTTTAATCAGATAAATCTGCCATTAGGCACAAAATATTGTTTTAATGTAATGATACTGGAGTTGTGGAGGTGAACTCTACCTTACTGCTCAGGGTTTATTTCACTCCTTTTTCTCCTCCAATGCCCTCTACTAGTTTCTGTCCATTCAAAAAGTCTCTGTCTCTCTCTATGACTTTTCTATCCAAAATGTGACGACCCCACAACCCTAGAATCCAACTGGGCCTCCTGCAATGTCTGGAGTTTTTGTCGTCTCAGGCCGCACCTTGACTTACTTTTTTTTCCACTCCTACAGACTGGGTTCCTTCCTTGTGGATGGAAACCTTTGATGAACTGCTGAACGATGACGAGCTGGACTATGGAGACTCATGGACCCTCAACTTCAACTACGGCCTGACAGACGAGGTCACCGTGGATGAGAGGAAGAGAGGCTGGAAGGTCTTCAGCCACTGCGCCTTTGGAAAGTATGTATCCTTGTATATTCTCAAGCATTTGTAAAGAGGACAAAAAGTTGAGATTGTGTTGATATGCGTTCTCAGACTCCACTTACTTCCTCTTGGCATGACTGTGGAGACCATGTGATGAAATAATTGTATGACAGGGAACAAGTACAGTGATAAAGCTGCGTGACTGGCCTTGTCAGGAAGGATAATGGCACAAGTTATCCAGTGTTATGGCTTTATGGATATGATAAGTTATGGATAGACTGACCCCTTTGAATTGAAATGGCAAAAAAAAAAAAAAGTTCCTCTGACTCTCATTATCTAACATCTCATGTCCCCACAGATTCCAATGTCCATCCTGCCAAAACATCTGGCCTTCAGCACGTATAGTGGTGCTGTTCCGTTACCGGCTGAGGAGCAACCGGGGGACGGTGCTCATGAGACCCTTTGGGCAGGCCTGTCGACGCTGCCATAACGATGAGTTTGAGCTGCCTGGTTTTTCCGAGGACGCGGTGGAACGGGCTTTGCTCAGGCTGTTTTCCAAAATCCGGAAGAACTGCTACAACGAGGAGGACGACAGCGACGGGGGCTCAGCAGGCTCTCGCAAAAAGTTCACCAAACCCCATGAGAAGAGCCTGTGTGAGGGCTGCCAGATGGGCATTTGCTGTGAGGACGAGGATTAGAAATGCGTGTGTGTGTTTTTGTGTGTGTGCGTTTGTGTTTGTGTCAGAGTGAGATGCAAAGATTGACAGACTGATAGGTTGTGTGCTGCTCAATTGACTGCGATCTTCTTTTCCTAGTTTGCACATGACATTTTCCTCAGCATTGTAAAGTTTGCTATTTATGTTGTTATGTTGCTCAATCATGTGTTCTAAATGTAATTCCCTTTTGGAGCCTTTAATAAGGTTCTAAACCTTTTGTACAATATCTTTTTTTGTATATATATTTTGTGACTGCAAATAAGTCTGACCAAGTTATACCGCTTTATTGCTGCTCCTACAGTTGATTCTTCCCGCAACTTTTATTTAATCGCTAGATAAAAATAATAGAAATTTGCATGTGAAGACTGAAATATGGGAGATATTGATTAAAATGATCTCTGCCTTGACCACAGACAACACTGAAATGCTGGTTTTATCATCTGTACTAACAGTCCAGTGATATAACAGTGGTTTCCTAGCTCGGCATCAGGCTTGATCGAGGCAAATATTGATTTGATGTCGTTTTACTGCACTTTGTATAAAGCAATAAATCAACAAGGTACTTAGAACAAGACATGCCCAAATATTTGAGCATGTTACAATTTCAGTTTAGTTTGTCTTTTTCTTTTTTAAGTGCAATAAATAGAAGATAGCAGTGCATTAACGTTGAAGTAAAGCCTATTTTTATAGTCTCTTTGCTGCCTTTGTTGTGTTCAGATCTTTCCTTTCTTAAAATAAGCAATCAACAAAATATGATTTGTGCACAGCTGCCTAAACTGTTGAACACAACTGTTGCCTGTATTCTGTATATGTTTTTACCAGCTATTTACCGTTGTTGTTGATGGCAGTCTACTGCTTATGAAGAACTTTTAATAAACAAATAAATGCATACATTTTACATTTTGTCTTGTTATTCATTTCCCACATTAAGTTCATATTAGGGCAGAATAATATGCACGAAAAAAGAATCCTGAGTGATTTCAATAGATGTTGTGATTGCAATATAAGTCTTTTTTTTTAGTAGGAATGGTCATTTTTACTGACTCATTGTTTGACAGATTTTTGTTCAGTTTCAGTCAGTTTATATAATTGTTTTTTCAACTGTCATTCATCCATTCAGCCTTGATTTAAACTCAGAATACTCTGTAGTATGGAGACCTCAGTTATGATGTAGCAGAGTAAGAAAATAAAAGATGCTTTGGCAATATTGTTAACCTGATATCCATGCCAGTAAAGGATATTGAATGGAAAAGATGCAAGAATTTAAATAAGAAACCTGGAACAATAAATATTTAAGGTATGATAAGACAAGATAAACTTTATTGATAACACACGAGGGAAATTCACACATTACAGCAGCTGGATACAAACAAAGCAAGAGGAGGAGAAGCATAACAAAGAATATAAAAGTACAATAAAGATAAAAGATATATTACAGACTATGTACACCCTTTACATGCATAGATGTTGCATGATATACTGAATTGTGCAGAAATTTATAGAGTAATAGCACTACGTTTACGTTATTGCATCTGAAAAGTGCACAAAAGGCAAATTTCCCATCTTATATCTGCTATTTATACTGTTTATGCTGTTCAATCTGTATATATGTATTTCATATTTCTCATATTGTCCGTCGTGTTTACACTGTTTATACAGTTCATGCTTAGTTAATTTGTTTATTTTTAAGAAGCAGCACACAATTAAAAGTAACCGCCCCAGAGTTAGCAGGCAGCTAATTTGCATGTGTTGTCCCTGGGCAAGTACAGAAAAATAGAACAACCACAGAGCAATAAATACACCACATAAAACAATACAGTGCGTCAGTGTGAGATTAAAAAAATAAAGTCAGTAAAAGCAATAAATAAAATGTAATAATTGATGATGAAAGTTTTGTCACAGCTGGTGTTAAAGAAAACAAAGCTTCCTGAATCTCTCTATTGTTTGTGTGGATGGAATTCCACTTCTTCACTGCTTTAGCTGAGAAAGCAGATGTCTTGCTGAACCGTGGCACCCAATCACCTGCAGTAGATGCTCCACCAGGGGTGTCCAATCCTAGTCCTCGAGGGCCACAATCCTGCATGTTTTAGATGTTTCCCTCTTCCAACACAGCTGATTCAGATGATCAGCTCATCATCAAGCTCTGCAGAAGCCTGATAATGATCCTGATCATTTGAATCAGGTGTTTTGGAAGAGGGAAACATCTAAAACATGCAGGACTGTGGCCCTCGAGGACCAGGTTTGGAGACCCCTGCTCTAGTCCTACCTACACTGTCTGCTGCCTGGGTGCAGCAGGCATCCTCTAAGATAAATGTGCACGATTTGGAATCATTTTAAACATCTGGTTGCATCATAGTAGAAGAGGAACTTGTCTAAACTGAGGAAACTGTGTTATTTTTAGTGGAGTGATGGTAATCTCTTGGATTTTTTTTTTAATGCAATACTTTAAGGATTTGTTTATAGAGTGAACACACAGGTTTGAGAGTAATCACGTCTACTTGTGACCAGGCTGTAATGCAGTAACACAAATTAGTATTATATTTAGATACACAGTGTTTTCCTACCACTCTGTTCATTCTGTAACACTGTACAGTCAAATTTATTCATACCCTTCCATTAAAGAAAAGGCAAAATTCACAATAGTCACTCAAATAGCTAGAAACTGAAAAAAGTAAAAATAAATAAAAATTTGCTAAAATATTATTTGGTGAAGTAAGACATTGCTTTTGAATTGTGGTTGAAAAGAGTAATTAAAAAAAAACTATCCTGGACAAATTAGAGCACTTTGCTGATGAGCAGTGAAATCCAAACACCTGTCAACAGGTGCAGAAATCTGATTGAGAGTTACAGAAAACACTTGATTGCAGTGACTGGCTCAAAGGGTTGTTCAACAAAATATTAGTTTATGAGTCCCATCATGCTTGTTTTCTTGTTTTGTTCTGTTTTTTTTTTTTTTTTTAGTAAAAAAAAAAATTTCTCTTGAATCACAGTTCAAAAGCAATGTCATGATTTTCATTTTTCATTTATTAATTATTATTCTTATTGTTATTATTGTAAATTTCAACTTATTTCAGTGACAGCTGTTTCTTTCCTTCCTTAATGGGAGGGTATGAATACATTTGAGGATGCACTTTGCTGCTTCTTTTACACTGCTGGCTAGATACCAAAACTGCATTTTGTTGTCTTGGCAGTAGAGTTCCAATCTAATCTAAAACAATGAAGTGGAACATTTTAAATGTAAAGAAACAAACAAATGGACCAAAACGAGACCAGCTGGAGGTAAAGTGAGATGAAATTAGAAACCTGGATTGAATGAACTCACTGGATGTTGGAACACTAAAGGCCACGCGGCCGACCAATCAGGAGAGAGCTCTTCGTGTGACAGTTGGTTCCGAGCATGCGCAGTCGGCCCCTTCTCTCTGGCAGCAACAACAACACTCGGAAAAGCGAAGCAGTCAGTCTCGCCCCTCCGCTGTCAGCAGCATCATCATCATCGTCCCCGCCGGCTCCGGTGGCAGAGAGGATGGTCCAGCCGAACGGCAGCGGCGGATGCGAATGACAGCCACGAGATAATGGCCCTGGATGTACGCGAGTTTCCGAATGTGCGACCAGTGACCAAGTGAGAGGACCGTGTAAGTAGCGGCGGCGGAGATTTGATGTTGCCCTGCTGGAGGGGAGGTAGTTGAGGCTAACACAACGCGCTAACCTGAGAGAGGGAGAGGGAGGGAGACGGCCAGCTAGCTTCGCAGAAAAGGTAGGCTTTGGGTGTTAACGTTTCCCACACGGCGCCCCGTCACAACCCGGTAGAGCGTTAACACCAAACAGGAGAGCGTTTCGGTTTTTTTTGCTTCTTTTTTTTCTCTCCCCCCCCTCGACCGACTGCTCGCGCTCCCCGGCTCGGGTTAGTAATTCACACGGACTGTCAGTGTGTTGAACAAAGGAGCTTTAACCGAGGGGCCGCATGGACAGAAAACACGCACAGAGAAGTCGGCTTGCTGTTTGTTTTGTGCTCCATTTCATGCTGACACACTTGAGCGGTAACCACACGAGGTCTGACCTGGATATTTAGCCGATACACGGTGACCTAGCTAATTTTGGCGAAGTGCTATTGAAGCAAGTCGCCGCTGTATATCATTAGCCGTTGACTCATAAGTTTGAATGTGTCTTTTGACAAGCAGACTTTGTCCCGCAGCAGTTTGTGTGCAGCGACGATCCACCCAGACTTCCACTGATGTGTCTCAGCTGACAGACAAGTTGTGATAACTGCAGTGGCTGCTCTTTTGTTCTGCACACACGTTATCGGTGACCCAGTGGGAACTTTAGATTGTACTTTGAAGGGCAGGTTGGACTGAAATGTTTGCAGCTGAAGTTATTTTAATGCCTTGATATGAGAGACTAAAACCCTAGTAGGACTGCAGTTAATGACTGTCCTCATTAGATCTTAAAAGATTAGCAGAAACTGATGAGTTATCAATCAGAAATGCCACCCTCCATCCTCCCAAAGCCTCAGGTTCTTTCTCTTCCTTTTTTTTTTTTCTTTGTAAACTGCTTGATCAGACAGAAAGGGGCTTTTCAAGACATAGTTTTCAATTTTAAGACCAAAGATTAGTTTCCCTTTCTTTAATTATGAGCTACAAACATAATCTGGCTGAATCTTGATGAATGAACTCATCAGTTGGTGTGTGAAGCTCATAAGCTGTTTGGTGTTTCCCTTGAAAAGTTACTTAAAAGTAGGGAAGCACTTTACTTAATGACTTCTAATTGTATGTTAAAAACCTACTCACATATTGGCTTTAGAACATTGTGGTGTTTTCACTTTTAAGGGGGTGTGTATCGCTGACTAGGTTTTTGAGAAGTGCTATGACCTCAGTTCTTGGTAGCGGGAATCATCAGACGAGACTCATGTGTTTGGGATTCTTCAGCTCATGTGTCATTAAGTCACAATTATTGCATTGCCTAAAATGGGGAAGACTGCATATCTTGGAGGCCTGTGTTGTGTAGCTCCGTGGCTCTATGAGTGCAGCTTAATACTGTTGATTTTCAAGCATAATTTGTAAACACGCTTCAGATCCTGCCTGGAGTTAGGACCAGCAGGTGGTAAGTGACGAAACACTTCTGATGCTTCAGCTCCGCCCGATCACCGTATGACGTGTAAGAGATTTCATAATAGTAGATAATTACGCTGCCTAGTGCAAACAGAACAACTTGTGATCCCAGGAATTCCAAAGTTCCCTCATGTTCCGACTTCCTGTCCTTATTTAGTATGAGAGACAGAGGGAGACTGGCGGAGATATGCAGAGAAGTGAAGTGAACTGGAAGTAAACCAGTGTGCACAAAACAGAGAGCCAAGCAGACAGACTGACCTATTAACTATAGTAACCCCCCCCTCCCTCCTCACCACTACCCTGCCTCCAGATATATACAAACATACGCAAGTGCCGGTCTGCTGCATGCATCACAAGAGCACAACTTAGAAAATGTTGGCTATTATTCGCCAGTGGTAGCAGCTTCTGTGCGGCCCTTATGTCTCCGTCTGTCAGTGTGTATTTTCCCTGTCTGTGTCCCTGTCTGTCACCGCATAGAAATGGGAGGCAGAAGAGGGGAGGCAGCCAGCCACGTTATTCAAATGTTCCAGAGCCCGGCCAGCCAGCGGCCAACTGTAGCCGGGCTAAAAGAGGCTCTTTGTGAAGGCCAGACAGATGGCCATAGAATGAAGACTGTAATGATACCCTCAACAGCCCAATACACACACAGACACATGCACTCATTACGGGATGTAATGCTGTGTGTGTGTGTGTGTGTGTGTGTGTTAAAAGACAGACCAAACTGTCTATGTGTTTGCGAGTTACAAAGAAAAAAGAACGGTGGGGAAGACGACGAAGGAAATGAAGCAGAACACATTGGTAAAGACAGTGATTATGTACAATGTATGACAAGAAAGAGTGTGCTGCTTTGTTTCCAATATCTGACACCTTTCTTCACACTGTTATTATTATTTTTTTTGTATTAAAAATGCTTCTTCTGCCAATTGGAAAGGATGGGAAGATAAAAAAATGTGAGATTGCAGTAGGTTTCTAAGCCGTTGCTGGGAGAGTAAACTCTGCTGTAGGTGCCATAGTTGTGATTCTTGTGATTCTTTAGTTTTGTGCCCGAGAGGCAAAGTAGAACTGGTTTTAGCCCGGCGTGTTTGTGCTGCAAGGTTTAACACACTCTCAGACTCTCAGTAGCAGAAAAGCATGTAAACATTGTAATGGATGCAAATTCTTTACAAGTGCAACCTAACTGAACTCACAGTGGCCAGCTGTGGTAATATTGACTGTGCCTTTCATCAACTGACTAACAAATCGATGGCTTGGATATCATTAACCTTCCCCTCTCGCCTGCTCTCTTTATAATTATCTCTGTTTTTCGAGCTTCTTTCTTCTGTCCCTCTGTTTTCCCGTCTATTTCCGGTAAGATAACATCCTCGCTGTGCAGCTGCACATCAGCTGATCGATGAACGGATTGATTGAGGCTCTCTCTCCTTCCATCTTTCTCCCTACTTCTTTACTTTCCGACTTTTGCCTTTTTCCTACCTTCACCGGTCTTTTCTTTCCACTTATTCTAATGCTTTCCTTCTTCTCTTGTCCCTCTTTCCACCGTCGTTTTCTTCCAATCAATCTCTCTCTTTCCTGTTTGCAGGGAAGGAAAACGCTGAACCATGTTGCTCTAAGTTGTGACCTGTGGTGAACGGGGGAGGAGGAAGAGGAGGAGAAGGAGGAGGACGAGAGAGAGAGAGAGAGAGAGAGCGAGAGAGAGGCGTAGGCAAGCAGACGGGCATCTGCCACAGCTCCCTTTAGGTGGCCCTTGGCAAGCGTGAAGCAATGGGCAACACAGCCACCAAGTTCCGCAAGGCCCTCGTGAGCGGTGATGAGGCCCTGGCCTGGCAGCTGTACGAGGGCAATCCTCAGTTCAGGGACGGCCTGGACCCGAACGCATCATATGGAGAGCAGTACCAGCACAACACACCCCTGCACTACGTATGTCGCCACGCCATGACACGTCTGCTCAGGTAAAACACAGGTTTTATGGTCTGGATTCGTTTGATAACGTGATTACGTTTGACAGTCATTTTTGAGCCTCCGGTTTGTAATGTAGTTAAGCAGTTATCCAATACAGTTACAAAGGCAGTGAGTCATATTAAATTGAATAACAATTAGCAGTATGTCATGAGATTTAAATGATTTCTGAGAATCACCATTTATATAATTGTGTTTTAAGGCAAGCCAGGCAACTCGGTGGAGGTCCAAAGAGACCTGTCGCATATACTGTCATATTATGTAAATTATGTTACAGGGCACGGGGAAAGTGCATTAGCCATTAGGAACCGTGGAGATCAAATGCAATTAAACCCTCAACAGCGTTGGCTTTGGAGGATATGAAACTGCAAGCTAAAATTTATAAAATGACAGGTGGCTTGAATGTGCACTTACTGGTCTTGTTAAAGGGGGAGATTTTTACACATGAGGTTTCAAGTACTTGAGGATCACTACTCGGCCTCTGACAACAGTTGTTTCATGCTTTTCTGTGGTTCTGGAGTAGAGCTCAACTGATTCTATTGGTCAGCCGATATTATCAGCCAGTATTGGCCCATCATAGATGCACTGATATCAGCGTATATGTTGCCCCGTATGAAAACTTAGAAAATAAAATAGCTGCAAAAAAGATGCTTAAAGTAATTCAGGGATGGTTTTGATTGGGTTGTAATAATCTCAGCACTGTCTGCAGCACATGTAGCAGAGTATGGATTCAAGCTGAGCAGATGGTGGTGCAGAGTCAAACGGTGTCTTCACAGTAATATGCTAACTAGTTTGTGGAATACATTGCTTGGCTGTTGATAAACAATGACGATCATTTTCCCTTTTTCACATTACTTTAATATACTCTGATATGCATATATGTGAAGAACATTTGCCGATATATCAGCGTTAGATATTTGTTTTACTCCCTATCCGCCGAGCTCTAGTCTGGAGGAAGCTGTTTCCAGTCTACATAAATCAATACGGGGCGACTCATATTGGCCTTCCGATTTAAAAAATTTCCATCGAAAGCATGTTTCAAACTTGGAAAGTGAAGAAAGAGTTGGGCATTTAGGAGATAGAGAAAGCCTAACGAAAGGCAAAAATTTGCATTCTGGGAATAGTACAATCCAGCATTTGCGGGCTTGTCTCTTTTAGGTTTTAACCATTCTTTTAAATCCCATTCTTGTGAGTCCCTCTGCTTAATGAAAGTGCAGTGCTAAATCACTGCAGTGCCTCTTTAAGAGTATTAACAGATTTGAATTCACTGCTTCACTATTGTGCTGTTCAGAGTTTCACTGCATGCACACTTGCTTTAAACAGGTGCACACGGACACACACACACACCCTGACTCGGACAGTTAACAAACACTGACAGACAAAAGCCATAAAGGAGAGTCTCTAAGTCTAACACAACCTGAAAGATGGGGGTCAAACTGAAAACATTTGGCCAGTCAGACACCAGTGTGTCTTTTTTTACCTCCTGCAGAGATAATCGGGCTGCCGGCCATGACCAAGACACAGCTGATTCAGTGACTCAACAGCCATCCTCGTCTCCTCCTCCTCACACTCTTCCTCTCTCTTACCCATTCTTTCCGTGATTACTGGGAGGGGGGGGGGGGTCAGAGGAAGCTGTTTGAAAAGGCCAGTCAATTATCTGTGCATCTGCATGTGTGCACACGGGCGTGTGTGTTTTGAGGGGGGAAAAACTGTGACTCCACAACTGCTTAATGTGTCTGAGTCTGAGAATATAACACAGTGAATCAATTAGTGTGCTATTTGTGTTCCTTCCTACTAACCTATAATGGGCCGGGGAGGCGTGCTGAACGCAGCGCTGTGCTCCTGATAAGTATCAGAGGAAATGCTTCTTTGTTCCAGCAGTTCAGTTGGACAGAGGCGAGCAGATAGACGACCGAGAAATCTCAGACAAAATAAAGACTTGGAGAGGACACGCGTGGGCTGGTCGATGCAGAGTCTGTGTTTTTTTTAGATTATTTTTAACGTGCAACTGCTTCATGTTTGTTCGCTCTCCGCTAGTCGTCTCCGTGGGCTGGATTGGCTAGTAATCCCAGGAGATGTGCAAACTGGAAAATCACAAGTAGACCTATTACTGGAAAATGGGTGTAGTTCAGGAAGTGTAACCCTTCCTCCACAACAACTGAGATGGTCTCAGAAATATGTAAATAATAACTCTGACTTTGGTTGCTCATTGTGAAGAATTTATTTTCCATTGTTTGAAGAAGCAAATCCACGAGGGATGTTTTGTCAACATACAGCGACTTCCTTCTCTATATTTCTCTTTGAGCCATTGAGTGTCTTCAAGCTAATTCTCTTTCTAGCTCAACACAGCAACTTAAATTTAGAATTTCAGAGTCAATTGTACAGGTTTAAACCCGCTCTGAGGTTTCCTGCCTTCGTCAGTACGATCTCCACAGCTCTGGTGATTCATGACAACAACAAATCATGTGACCTGCCTCCGCCTGTTGTTTCTAGTGGACTGATATTAGGACCATTCATCTTGAACGTGGGCCTTTGTGCATGTATGTGTGTGTGTGTGTGTGTGTGTGTGTGTGTGTGTGGATGGGGGGGTGTATTGGGTTCAGAGGGAATAATTAGTGATTATTGCCTTGCTGGTAAATTGGCAGTGTGCTGTCATTAGAGGGAAGCTGCAGGGGCTTGTGGCAGACCGGATAAGAGGGTCAAAAGTGGAGAACCAGGGCAGCGGTAGAAGAAAAGACTCAAGTGCTGCACACTAAGAAAACACTGAAACACTAATTCAATAGTGGCTAGTGACTGTGTCCAAAAGGAATTAGAGAGGGAGAGGTTTCACGGCAGTTTTTCAGTCAGTGTTCCAACCATTGTAAATCCTGTGACACCCTATTATTTTCTGCTTTTATTGAATTTGCATTAGAGAGAATGTCATTTCATATACACCCCTGTTCGTGTTGTGCCGTTAATCAAAAAGAATCTTTTCTTTCTCTCTCTCTCTCTCTCTCTCTCTTCAGCTTTACAATCTGCAATATGAGGGTGTAAAAAAAAAAAAGTGATGGTGGTTTTGTAAAATGATAGAAATGAAACTTAAAAAGCGGAAAAACAGAATATGCGGAGCCAAATTAAAGAGTGGAATGGTAATCAGTAAATGGAGGTTTTGACAGACAAACAGCAGAGAGAAACTATTTACTAAACAGAACTGCAACCACAGCCTTGTTCCCAGTGCAACTGGCACATCCATCACCCGCTGTGTGTATGTGTGTGCGCGCACACCCGTCAGCCAGCATGTCCATTATCTCAGAGATGTTAAACAGAAATAGTCAATACTCTGCCATCTTGCTTCTCTTCCGTCTCTCTGCTGTTCTTCCTACCTACCAACACTCATTTCACTTCCATACTTTACCCTCCTGTCATCTCCACTCATCCCTTTATCTGCTTCTTACTTTCATCTGCCTCTTTCTTAAGTATACTTCACTTTCTCCCCCCACCATCCCTGTCACCGTGTTTAGAACCTTGTTTCTGTCAGTTCCTTATTCTCTTTTTCACATCTTGTTTGAATTCTTCTAAACTGGTTTTGTGCTTATAGCCTATGTTTCATTCAATCCTTTCTTCCTTGCCTGCGTTGTATAGGTCCTTCCTGTTCAGCAAAGAGGGAAACCCCAACAAGCGTAATGTGCACAATGAGACATGCCTCCATGTGCTGTGCCAAGGCCCGCAAATCCTGCTGCTGCCAGAGGGAGCGCTGTCACCACGACTGGCCCGACCACAGAGGGACGAGCAGCGCCGTGCGGACTGCCTGCAGGTACGAACACACGAGCAGGAACAAAAATAGCGCGGTGTACGCACTTATGTGGCGGTGCATTAAAAATGTGCCGTATGAAGTCATTGCTCTAAACAAAGTTGACATACAAATAGCGTTGTGTGTTTATTTGTGTTTTCCCTCCGTTGCCAGATGATCCTGAGCTGGACCGGCGCCAGGCTGGAGGGAGGCCAGTACGAGAAGGCCAATGTTAACGCCACCGACAACCACCACAGCACCTGTCTGCACTACGCTGCCGCTGCAGGCATGAAGAGCTGTGTGGAGGTGAGACAAAGTCTGTGGGCCCCCTGACTCACACAGCAGATAAACTACATGTTCTGTGTGTAGATCTGTGTGATCTCAGCTAATTGGATTTGTCAAAAGATTTTACAGCTAGTAAAATAAGTAAACAACATCATGGCAATTCTTGCATCATGAGTGTCTGCTTTGTGTTTCGTCAGATCCAAGTGGTGCTTCCTTCCTGGTTTGCAAAGATTTTACAGCTTTTATGGAATTAGACTGAAAATTTGTTTTCTGAATCGAAAGAAAATTAAGCGGTACTCTGATATGGGCAGCCTCAGGAAGAGTAACCCGAATAAGATGAAGATGAAAAGTTTGAACACATTCCCTTTCACTTCTATATTCACTCTTCTCAGTTATTATTCACCACTTCATAAATGTCATGTTCATGCTTCTTTCTTGATGTGTACTTATTACTGTTTCTCCATTTTACAAAACTGCCCTTTGGCTCCTGCTGAAGTTGATCCCTTTTGCTTTACATGTCACTACCTCGCTGTCACATACTGTTTTTTTTGTTGTTTTTTTTTACCATCACCGTGTTGGTTTCTCTCCTCTTTCTGTGTCCTCTTTGTCTCCTCCCCTCTTGCTTCCTTTGTTGTCTGTTATTGTAAATCTCTTTTCTTGCTCCTCTGCGTTATCAATTTATCTCCTCTTTCTTGTTTTGTTTTGTTCTCCCTTCTTGTCCCTCTAGCTGCTGATCCAAAGCGAGGCGGACCTTTTTGTAGAGGATGAGGACAAGTTGACGCCATGTGATCACGCCGAGCGGCACCACCACACCGAGCTGGCCCTCAGCCTGGAATCGCAGATGGTTTTCTCCTCCTCTTCAGCTCAGCAGTCAAACACAGATGCACATGGTGAAACCAACCTGCTTCAATACAAAGAGGTGAGGCCATGGTTACGAGATCTGGGGGTTTCCTGCTGGCCTGAGTTATTTTTAAGCTTTCTCGTTGCTGTTGCATCTTTGAAACGTTCATTTCACATAGAATGTCCTCAGAGTAGTGTCATCATCATGCCTGGTAAACAGTCTTGTGTTTGTTCATTTGGTTTAATGATTTAGCTTTGCTGCCTGTTTTGGAATGATTTGTATAATGAACATTTAGGTATTAAATGTTCAGATACGTTGGTGTTATACTGTCACCTTGTCGTGCAGACTCCCACATCTTTACTCTTCCCATGAGGTGACTGAAATTGTGTCATCCTTGACTTTTTTTTTTTTTTTTTAGTTGTGTTAATTTTCTCCTCTCATAATGCTGAATAAAACTGAACACCAGGGCCAAATTCATGCAAAAGCCAGCCAGGATTTTTTCAAATTAGTTGAATTTAAAGTTTAAACTTTTATGGCAATGGAAGTTAATCCTCTTACATTGTCAAGGACAAGTCATGTGTGCAGCACATCAGCTTGCATTTACAGAGGGGATGATGATAAAGGCACGCCAGTGACACATTTAACAAGTGATTTTTCTTGTGCATAAGAAAAATCACAGGAAAGTATAAAAGTAGATGGTAGTGCTTCCACTCAGTGGTTTTAAGGCTGCGTCCACACGAACACAGTTTTGTTTTAGAGGATCCTTTTGAAAGGAGAACATCCTTTGTCCCGACAAGCGTTTCAGCACCATTTCTGTGCCTTCTAATAAAAGGCATCTTCCATGACCAGTCACTTGCACTGGGAATACAGGTGCTAGCAGTGGGTTGGTTGTTGATTTGTACATGATACGGTGGAGGGAGAATGACAATGGTGAAAAGTAAGACTTCAGACATCTTTAAATGCACAACAGCTGCAAGAAGATACACGGCCAGAAACACCTGCAGCCCAATTCATTATCTGTACCGAGGTTATCACTTGTAGTCAAGGCTGATGTCTTTGTCTTCTTCCAGATAACAGTCATGTGATAAGAATCTTCCGAATCATAGTAACAGCAAGGCCCAATCAGAAAGTGACCACAGAGATTTTCATTTCCACAAGTCTTCTTTTCTACAATAGAACACCACAGTTTTCAAACTAAAACCGGTCAGCAGTGTTTCCAAAAGTCTCTGATTTAAGGCTCCTAAAACTCTGGAGTATTGTTCACAAGGCGTAATGTAGAAGTTATGCTTTTCAACCCTCTAAACCCTAAGCAGTTTCAGGGATTTTTTTTATTTCTATCACATTTTTATGTACTGTAGGCTCATTTTTCTCTCAAACATGATGTCCTACACCTCTGTGGAGCAGCACGACCACAACTAGAAGTAGAGAGAACTCAAAATTGTCTTGTGCAGTATGATAAAGGCATCATTTCAATTTACCAATTATACAAAAAGATAAAACAAAAAGCTGAATTTCTTTGAAAACATCTGAAATGATTATGCACAGAATTTTTTTTTTTTACTTCCCCTTGGTGTTACGAAATCCTGGAAAGAAAAAAACGGTGCCTCTACATTCCATTAATGTTCACTGCTGTATTACTGAGTTTTTGTTTATTTCCTCCATACTTGTCAGCCATCCAGTCTGTGTAAACACAAGCTTTCAGTTCAGCTGAAAAGTCCCCAAATTTTTCTCATGAATGACTTCCTGTTGCACCGAGGAGGAAAGTTTTTTTTATTTTTTATTTTTTTTACATGATCCGATTAGAGCAAATGGTTTGTCTTTGGCCGATTCTTAAATGAGACAGAAAAAAGTAATTTTATTTTTGTTGGAAAATAGAAAATCTGACAATATTTTGTTTGTTTTAGCAGTTTCTGGCTGTGATAAATGGTCTAATCTTGGCATGTTATTTAATGATTACATGCATTTTAAGCCCACTGGTGGGTTTTGGGGTTCAGAAGATTAAAATAAAAACTTTCTAGCATGAATGTAGTCTTAAGATTTGTCAAGGATTTGAGATCATAGCAGTCCAGTTGTGCTGTCAGGATTCTGAAGATGTTGTGTAATATCTTTCAAGTTCACCCAGTATGGGATTGAATACAGCTAAACAATGTTGACCAATACGTTGCCCTAAAAAGCAGCTAGTTCAGACTTTCTGTGTTTTGTATGCCTCCTAATGTCAGGCTCTGTGAGCAAAATGAGCGGATTAAATTCCTCACCCCTCTGCACAGAGTGACTTCCCTACCTCTTATATTCTTCTGGAGGTTTCTTCCTGTTGAAAGGGAGTTTTTTTTTCTTTCCACTGTCACCAAATACTTGCTAAAAGGGGAACGTTGCATTTGTTGGGTTGCTCTCTGTAATATTGTCAGCTTTTGACCTTATTATGTTTAGTGTCCTCAGATGACTCATGTTGTGAATTGTCGCTATATAAATAACATTTAATTGAATTTAGAAGAGAACTGTAAATAGTAAGCCCTACTCACTTTCAGATGTCATATTTTGTCATCAGAATGTCCTGTGTTTACATATTCTCTCTTCACAAGGAACAACTCACCGTGGTTCCTGCTAGTGTAGTTATATGTGTGCACACAAACACGCACGTCGCCTCATGTTTCTCAGGGTCCTAGTTAAACAGAGGGCACCGCCACAGTTGTATAGCAGCGGCTGCTGCCAACTGATAGCGGTTTGATCTTCCTTCCTGCAGCCAAATCCATGCTAATACTTAATCTCCCTTTCCCACCACCACCCCCCACCCTCACTGCCCCACATCCCGGTTCTCACATTATCATTGTCACTTCCTTCAACAATTTCAATCTCATTCTTATTTGTGTTTGATACAGATTTCTTAGTTTTATCTCTTTCTCACAATTCATGTCCTCTCCTTCCCTCTGACCCAGTTTTCTCCTCTCCGTAACCGTACCCTCCTAATGTTTGTCCTTCTCTGTCCTTTCAGCCTTATGAAGGGCTGAAGATTCAGGATCTGCGCAGGCTGAAGGACATGCTGATCGTAGAAACTGCAGACATGCTGCAAGCCCCCCTCTTCACTGCTGAGGCCCTGCTTCGAGCGCACGGTGCGTGTTTGTCTTTTAGAGACGGCTGGTTTTCATTCATGACCTTTCCTAACCTTCACAGCCCTGTCATTACGAAGCCAGTATTCAAGAAAAAATGCATATGTATAGAACTTGTCTCTGAATTATACGTCTCACTTCCTCCTTCACTCAGACTGGGACAGAGAAAAGCTTCTGGAAGCCTGGATGTCCGACGCTGAGGGCTGCTGCCAGCGCTCAGGCGTCGCCATGCCCACACCACCGCCCAGCGGCTACAACGCCTGGGACACCCTGCCCTCCCCCCGCACTCCCAGGACCCCGCGCTCACCCCTCACACTCACCCTGACTTCCCCCACCGACAGCTGCCTCACACCTGGAGAGGAGGGCCTGGCCACGGTGAGCAGTAGAAGTATTTAGATCCTTATATGTACAAGTCCTTCATTCATAAGCCCAAGTAAAAGACTGTAATCAGCAAAATGTATGTAGAAAGCCACATGTAGTAAATAGTGCAGCTGTCAACGTCCTCTTTACTTTAGTAGAATGAATGAATTGAATTTGTGTCAAGTGTCTTGTTTGTTTGATAGTAGAAGGTTAATATCTAATCCTCATAGAGCAAACGGGGTCATAGGCCATTTTCCTTGTAATAATTCTTCTTTCTGCACTTTGTACTTGAGCATCAGCATGAGCCTCTGGGCCACTGTTGGTCTTGAGGAACTTGTTTACCTGCAAGTCCTGGCTGAGGTTAAAACTTTTAGGACTCCTGCGTGAAGACTTGCATGTACAAGATAAAGGATGTTTTAGAGCATGGATGGAATTTAATGCAGCAAAATAAGTGGATAAAATCCCTGGCAGTGTAAAACAATTGAATTAGAATACACAACAACGTATCCTCAAGAAGTACAATGGAATTTACCAAATGCTCACTTGCACAATCTGAGAAAAATCTAAACCAGTTCACAACAGAATATATTGTAGATTTTGCTGCTATTTTGTCTCTCCACTGTGTACAAAAATTTCAATTACTTTGCAAATACTAAAAAAAAAAAAACAGCTAGTAAATGGAATATAGCAATTCTATAGGCATTGTTAGACAATGAAAATCACATTATTTACCTCTTGTGTCTCCGTGCAGTGCGGCATCTGTCTCTGCTCCATCTCAGTCTTTGAGGACCCGGTGGACATGTCCTGTGGCCACGAGTTCTGCAGAGCCTGCTGGGAGGGGTAAGAATCAGAACTTGTGTTGTGTAAATGTTGCTGTTTGTGATGACGCAGATCTGTTTTAGTTCTCCTCCGTTTTTCTGTTTCTCAGGTTCCTCAATGTAAAGATTCAGGAGGGGGATGCTCACAATATCTTCTGTCCGGCATATGAGTGCTACCAGCTGGTGCCGGTGCATGTGATAGAGAGTGTGGTTTCCAGAGAGATGGACCAGAGATATCTGCAGTTTGACATCAAGGTAGAAATAAAACAAGCACTTAAAAGCAGAAATTGGTTTGCATCTTCTTATTGAGGCATCATATATATATATATAAATCCTTTCAGTGCCCCTTGTTTTCCTTCTTTTTGTTTTTCTGGAATCACTTCTGCTCTTTAAAGCCCCTGTGTGTTCTCTGACATTTACCTTTGTCCTGTCCTCCTCTCTATTGCAGGCATTTGTGGAGAACAATCCAGCCATCCGTTGGTGTCCTGCAGCTCGTTGTGAGCGGGCGGTGAGGCTCACCCGACCAGGCCCCGGGGACAGTGACCCTCACAGCTTCCCCCTGCTGCCCTCCCCAGCTGTGGATTGTGGCAAGGGCCACCTCTTCTGCTGGTAAACTCCACGACCTATTATTAAAGGCAGCAATCCGCCTCACACAGTTATCTCTACATATATAACGGAACACAACATTTACTTGCATGTAAATTAGCAAATTCAGACACATGTCTTCTGTTCAAGTACAGGCCAGTGTAATATTTAAGTCACACACTTTGCCTTTCATTCATTTTGTCCTCACACACAGCTGGAAGAGGGCTACTGTGTAAACAGTGTTGCTACTATTGTACGCCCACGTTCTGACGGCATTAGCAAACCTTGATTTTTTTATTTATTTATTTTTTTTAAATCAATACTTCATTCTTAGTGTATGTTTTCATCTTGTACACCTTTCGCTTTTGCCTGTACTTTTATCTTTACGGGGGAAAAGTCGTTACGCTGCTTTAGTCTTAGTGCATTGTATTCTTCTGTTCCCACGTATTCTATTGTACGATATCAACATCTCTGTTTGTCATCCTCCCCGTCTGCAGGGAGTGCCTTGGTGAGGCCCACGAGCCATGTGATTGTCAGATGTGGAGGAACTGGCTGCAGAAAGTCACAGAGATGAAGCCTGAGGAGTGTAAGATTGTCTTGTTTGTGTCTTTTCAGTTTTTACCAGGGATGCACCTCGGTAAGCTAGCGCCACGATAAGGCTGTTAACAGCAGCTGTCAGAGCTCCCTACCAGGATGTCTGTAATATATTTTTATAGCGTACTGGCAGGTGTTTAGGTCATTGATATTTGCCAAATGTGTGAGCTGGAGTGTGTCTGCAGGGCAGGTGTTAGACAGTAGAGATGTTTCTAATGTGCGTGTGTGTGTGTGTGTGTGTGTGTGTGTGTGTGTGTTCTCTCCACAGTGGCAGGGGTGAGCGAGGCCTATGAGGATGCTGCTAACTGCCTATGGCTGTTAACCAACTCCAAACCGTGTGCCAACTGCAAGTCTCCCATTCAGAAGAATGAGGGCTGCAACCACATGCAGTGTGCCAAGGTTTATACACTAATGTCTCCCTCAGCTGTGTGCCATTATTTGTAAAAATAAAAAATAAAAATTATGTTAGAAGGCAAGAATTTTGATCACTAAATGTCATCAGTTCTGTGTTTGATGATGAAATGAACTTTGCTCTCTCTCTGTAGTGTAAGTATGACTTCTGTTGGATCTGTCTGGAGGAGTGGAAGAAACACAGCTCATCAACAGGAGGCTACTATCGCTGCACTCGCTACGAGGTCATCCAACAGCTAGAAGAGCAATCCAAAGAGATGACTGTAGAGGTATAAACACTCTTGCAGAAAACAAATACACGCTCATCTGATAACATACAGGTGCTCACTGATCTAAAGCATATTCTGACAAATATACATTTACCTGCTCGCATTTATAGAGCGACTCCATCACCAGCCACATAATACACCATTGAAGCACACGCTCAGATGCCCTGCAGCTTTTAACGCTCTCACACGCACTGAAACGTACACCACCCGTTTGAATGAAATAGAGTTTCATCTTGTTACAGGCAGAAAAGAAGCACAAAAGTTTTCAGGAGCTGGACCGTTTCATGCACTATTACACTCGCTTCAAGAACCACGAACACAGTTACAAGGTAATTAACACACATTTACAAGAATGCAAAGCAAATTTTGAAATGCTTCTTTTGGCATTCACTGCAGTCTGACGGTCACGACATACATGCTGAGTCTGTGTATTCTCTCTTTTCAGTTGGAGCAGAAGCTGCTCAAAACAGCAAAAGAGAAGATGGAGCAGCTGAGCAGAGCCTTCATTAGCCGTAAGTGTCTTGCTCTGATCTCAGCCTGTTTAAAGGCCTAAATGGAGTTCCAGTAAGCTGCTAGTCAGCTGCAAGTCATTTGCCTAAGAACAGTGCACTTGTTGAAATTTCTAAGACACAAATAGATCATGTCTTCTGAACCTCAAGCCTAAGCTTTGGCGTGCTTTTGTCATAATACATTAATCCTATTCCCTACTTTAATGCTGCCTAGCTAAAAGTGTGCCTGTGCATCTTCCCTGCTGCAGGTGAAGGCACTCCTCCAGACACACGTTTTATTGAGGACGGTGTGTCTGAGCTGCTGAAGACGCGGCGCGTGCTGAAGTGCTCTTATCCATACGGCTTCTTCCTGCAGCAAGGCAGCACCCAGAAAGAGATATTTGAGCTCATGCAGGTAATCTAATACAAAGCTGTCAAGTACACATTCTCTGTAAGAACAAGTCTAAGTTTAAAGCGCCTCCAGTGATTATTATGATATATCATGTTTAAAAAGGCTTGGAGTTTGACAAATTACTGTATGTGATATAGAACATGCAACAGTAAAAAAAATTTTTAAAAATATATATATATATATGCAAAAGTGTAAGCTGCTTAACATGCAAAAATACTTGAAAATTCTTTGGCTGGTAGTTTTTGTATTTTGTGTTTTTTTGTTTTTTGTGGGGGTTTTTTTGGCCTGGATGGCTGGATGGCTGGATGGATGGATGGATGGATAGATAGATAGATAGATAGATAGATAGATAGATAGATAGATAGATAGATAGATAGATAGGTGGATTGATAGCTAGACTTTGTCTGTCCCAAATAGTGACAGAAATCCTCCTTTGACGAGGCTCCAACAATAAAAATACAACACATATGAAAACACACTTAAGACACAAGCTCGTCTAAAAGAATTGTTAAAAAGACACAGCAGCCGATAAAATGTCCTGTTCAGTGTCTTATTTCATTTTGTTCAGGGTGGTTGTTGCAGTGGGAATAAAGGATTTTTATAGATATTTTTGCAGCCCAGTGGGACGTTGTAACGTCTTTGTAACGTGATGCCTGATAGACGACATGTGATGATGAAGGGGAGGTGTCATACTCGAACCTCGAATATCCATGGAAATATTCTTGGAAGTTATTGAGATACTGTATTGTCAGCTGTGGGAAAGTGGGATATAGGTGACTTGAACAGTATGACTTTTTTTATTCATGTACTCTATATGGATAAAAGGTGAAGTCAGCAATTCTAGCCCAAAGCACTTGTTGTCAATTCAGTGGATATCTCTTCACAGTACTTTGACTGTCTGCAACGTGTGTGCGCTGAAAAAAGATCAAGTGTTCAACATAAAACATTTCCAATGTTAATATTTAACCTCAAGTGTTGGCGCAGCTTTTAATTTGGGTTTTCGATACTTTGATATGACTGTTTCAAGAATTACAAATCAAGTTAATTGCTTTTGTTTAGCTATTTATCCATCCATCATCTATACACCGCTTAATCCTCACTAGGGTGGCGGGGGGCTGGAGTCTATCCCAGCTGACTCAGGGTGAAGGCAGGGGACACCCTGGACAGGTCACCAGTCTGTCACAGGGCTACACTTAGAGACAGACAACCAAGTGCACTCACATTCACAACTACGGACAATTTAGAATCACCAATTAACCTCAACATGTTTTTGGACTGTGGGAGGAAGCCGGAGAACCCGGAGAGAACCCACGCTGCACAGGGAGAACATGCAAACTCCACCCTAGATCCTGGGTGTCCTTGGCTAATGTTTTCTATATTCAAATTACTAATATAATTTTGAACAGTGGTAAAGAAACATTAGCCCATGTGTTCTTATTTTAGCGACAAGAGGATTGTAGTGTAATGTTTTTTTGGGCACACAAAATATTCCGATTGTAGAAATTAATTCAAGCTGTAATATAGAGGTTTGCAAAAACATTTGAAGTTGAGTCCATTTCATCTTTTTTCAGACACTCGAGTCTCCTGGGAGATAAAAAATATTCTAAATTTACTCAGCTTATTTGTTATCTGCAGTTTAAGTTGAACACAATATGCAAATCCCTTTTAAAATTTTAGTGTAATTCGTCAGCATCTGAGCAGTCCTTCTTGACTTTTCGTCTTCTCAGACCGACCTGGAGATGGTCGTGGAGGATCTGGCCCAGAAGGTCAACCGGCCGTACCTGAGGACGCCGTGCCACAAGATAATCAGCGCAGCCCGTCTGGTGCAGCAGAAGAGGCAGGAGTTCCTGGCATCGGTGGCCCGTGGCGTCGCTCCCAATGACTCTCCTGAGCCTCCCCGCAGGAAGTAAGAATAAGCCCACACAGACACACACATATAGAAAATGTGGTTTACTGCATAGAGACACTGACAGGGAGACAATGTGTGAGCATAAATACGTGGTTTCTTGGTTTGTCGCTGTCAGAAAACATTCTCGTGTGGGTGTTTGTTTCAGTTACCCTGGAGGATCGTGGGACTGGGAGTACCTTGGCTTTGCCTCCCCTGAGGTAAACAGAAAAACCCCTTTAGTCTCACCACACAGTGAAACACTAACTTTTGTATGTTTTGCTAACCTTTGGGTTCATGCTCAGCCCGTGCTACTTCCTAAACCTGTGCTGAGGTCCTATTAATGCATGAGCGTGGCAGCGGCTGACATAGTTTGCTTATTTGTGTTAAGATGGGAAGTCGTCACTCTGTACTGGGAGCAGGAGAGCAAAGAGAGAGACAGTCACAGGTAATGCACCATGGTTTCTTGGCTTTTGTGCCAACGCATGAGCTCAATTCTGTTTTCTTTGCTTAAGATTATGACGCTGCTCGATACTAAATAGTCTTACAAGACAGCTGCATAGAGTTAGTTTTGCAATAACCTAACTTGAATGGGTCTTTGCAGGATTATGCTGACATCCAGTACCGTCGCAGACACAGGCCACGGCGCAGAGGAGACATGCTGAGTCTGCACAACCTTAGAAGCAGCAGCAACACACCAGAGACCAGCAGGAGGAGTGACAACTCAGGTCTGGCAAACATCTTAACATTCTGTATAAGAGCCTCATAGAAAGTCTTACACAACAAAAAGGATTGTCTAAAAGGCAGAAAGGTGTTTACAGTATTGGCCATGTTGGACTGTAGAAATCTACTTTTCACTTGTGTATGAAACTGTATTCAACAGAAAACAGATTTATGATGACACATTTACACAAACTCTGGAACCCTAATCCAGCTCCATTTCTTGGCTCCATTTATAAATTTTGACTTGTCACTTCACCGGACAACCAGTAAATGGGATTTTACTTTATTGCTTCATCAATCTGGTTCACTCGAAGCACACGGAGGCATCGATCACTGGGATCAATTTGTAATCAAGCCACACAAAGCGGTCCTTGTGTTAATGTTACGTTTTTGTGTTTCAGAAGGCACAGAGAGGAGTGAGGGCCGCAGAAGAGCGCTGGGCTCACTGGATGAAGATGACCCCAACATCCTTCTAGCGATCCAGCTGTCGCTGCAGGAGTCCCGCAGAGAGCGAGGCCTGGAGGGGGGGCTGGAGGGGAGAGTGGAGCTGGAGAGAGGACTGGAAAGAGGACAGGAGAGGAGGACGGGTCCCACAGGAGACCTGGGTGATGTTGCTTTGCACTCTCTCGCCACCGAGGGGCCTCCTGGAGCCAGAGGCTCGTCCTTCCCCACTTCTCTCCTGGATCCTCCTCGCCCTCCCAACAGGACAGACTCCACCTCCCAGCCTTCCATATCTAACTCCCTCCCCCTCCCTCCCCCACCTCCCTCCCTCAGTGCAGAGCTGCTGGAGCTGGGAGACAGCCTTATGAAACTGGGGAACATAACCACTCCTTATGACCTGGACACACACACACAGGAGCAGCTCTGCTCACACCACACATACAGCCACAGTACACTCACTGCTTCATACACCACTGAACCCGCTTACAGCGACTGCAGCCATAGACAAGACCAGAATGCACTGACGACCCCATATGTGCTTGATCATATCACCATCACAGACCCTCGTTATGACAGCAAAGAGCAGAGTTACTGCCACTCCAGTGCTTATTTAGCTGAGGCTGAACACAGTGCCTCCTGCGCACTTGAACGCACTCAAAACCCCGCCCATCCTAGTTCGTATAACCGGGAACAAGCAGCCACGTATGACACCGCCCCAAAACCAGACAGCTCTTACAACCCCTGCCCAGAACACAGTAGCTCTTACACTGCGGAGCGTCCCGCCGCCTATGCTCTCGAGCGCCCCACTAAGTCCGATCCCCAGCCCCCCGCCCAGTTGTGCCTCCCATCTCCAGAGCTCGAGCCGGAGCTGCTGCTTTCGCCGGTGATTCCCCCTGGGGGCCCTTTCACCCCCAGCGACCCCCAGAGTCTGGAGGCTTTGGACCCCACAGCCAGTGCTCAGCTGCTGGACAACATCATGGCCTGGTTTAACAACAACATAAACCCCCAGAACAACCCCCAGAGCCTGGCTCTCATCCCCTCCCCACCCACCACAGAAACCGACTCCTCCCCTGACACTCACACTGAGACTGAGTCCGAGAGCCAGACCTCCAGGGAAGTGACCCCCGCCCTGATCTGGCAGCCCCTGGAGGGCGAGCCGGAGTTGGACAGAGGGTCGGCGGGTGTCCCACCGGGTGCTGCAGGCGTGGAGGGTCCGAAGACGGTGAGGCCCAGCACTCTGGAGCTGGAAAACAGAGACGCTGGAGACGAGGGCGTGGACGCAGGGTGTGTGGCTGACCTGTCGCTGGACGAAGCGCACACACACCCCTGCTCACACTCCCAACGTGGAAACAGTCCCGCACACACTGCCCCGGCCACAGAGAGAGACTTAGACCTCGTCCTTCAGTTAGAGGAGGACCGGTCACCTGAGGAGTGGGAGGAGCAAGAACACCTGGTGTGACAGCGGCAGAACAATGCAGAGAGGAGGGTCGAGCCAAGTGCAGGAAGAGAGAAGATCACGAGGATGGAGGTCAAAGACAAGAGAAATGAGAGTGGAGCACTGATAGAAAATAAAAGATTTAATGGCGATGCCTCTGTTAAAGATGCAGGTCTCTGGGGATGAGTGTTTACTGTCTGTATTATACTGTATCTAGAGAGGACATAAAGCTCTGCGGACTTTGTCCAGTAAAGATGATGTCATACGCAGTTTGATTATTTTTAAGTGCTTTTTGTCTGCTCCGAACACAGGCATTATTCTTTGAAGCAAATGAGTGTTTAAAACCGAGTACATCAATGGAAAGCTACTGATATCATAACACATAAAATGCTACACGTATTTTTTTTCTTATTTTATTTATTCCCCTGCCTCTTGTGTTCGTCTTCTCCGTTTGTTCAGGGTGAAGTTTTGGTGCTGATCATGCTGAAATCCAAACTTGCCTCGTTTTAACAACACTTGATTCTAACACACTGACCCAACTACAAGCCTGTTCAGAGCTCCAGGAGCCAAATATGACGATAGCTGTAACCTTTGGAGCCTGTTTAGCGTGCTGTACAATCAGAGGGCCTAATTCTGGTTTTTGGACCTTCAAGCACACTGTGCCTGTTTTGTTAGTGCCAACACACTACTGATCTTTCCCTTTGGTGGGCTGCAAGCCAAGACCTGTCTGCTGTCACACTGTTGCAGCATGCTTTAATGATTCTTTAAAAGTGATCCACAGAGAAATTGTCTCATCCCCCTGCTTAGGAAGGTCAGTCTCAGCTACAGAGCCCTTAGCGGAGACTCGGTGTCTTGCTCAAAGGCACTGCAGTATTAATGGCTGCTTGTTTTGGGAAGGGATGGAACCATCTGTTTATGCTGCTCACTGCAACCATCCTGCATTGCAAATGTTCCGACTGTATCAGAGACGAGCTTTCATCCATCATCCTTTGTGCGGTGTTTTACTTTGGCTCAGTATTTGTTTGCAAAGCTCTCGACGCAAAGTGCTCCAAACCAAATTTTGGCACCGAATCTCACATAAACCACGAAATGAAATGAAATGAGGTAATGCATCAAACACTAAGTTAATCAGAACACAACAATATTGAATGTGTTGGTCTCTGAATTTTAACAATGCTGTCAAACGGTAATTAAATTAATCAAAACGGAGTACGCAGGGATGTTTTTCAAGGTTTTAAGAGGGGAAAAAAAGCTATTTATGCTGAAGACGGTACTCAAAATGATGTATTAATGGTGGAGTCATCAATGCTAATCCAATATATTTGTTGTCATATTGAGGGGATATTTCTTTGTGATCTGCTGGCTGGAAAAAAATCAGATGTTTGACTTTGAAAAGGGGGAAAAAAACAACGTGGCTCTGATCGATTTACCACTGCGAGTTTTGTTTGCGCTCGTGCACAGAACGGAAGCAAAGGGAGCAGTGGGAACGAAAGATAGTAAATCTGACACGTGCTAAAATCAACAATCCTCCTCCAGAACTCAGCCTTTTATAACAAATTAAAATCGTTATTTATAAGATGCTTCCCGCACTCCAAATTTACAATCACTGGATTCCAATAAATAGATGAATTCAGTTTTACTTTAATGCTAAGATAAATGAAAATATAGATAAATGTAGATAATGTGTGTTAAAGCCCGATCAGATAACGGCTAGTTTTCTCCTCTAAATCACAAAACACTACAGAAAACATTTGAATTCATCACGCTGCTGTGACACACGCTGAACATGTTGTAAGATTTGCTCCGTGATGTCCGATGAGGAGAGATGTTTGCAAACAAGCGTCGCACTGGTTTATTCATCTCGTATAATAAGTGACCAATTCTGAAGATTCATTCGAGAGTTTTGCACATTAAATCTGAGCCAAAGCAGAAAAAAAAAACAACTCTACGGTTTATTGTTTTGATCATATCTATTCCACTACTGATCCGAGCTGGTGCAGCGATGATGTGGGTTGGGTTTTTTTTTTTTTTTAACTGTAATTTATCCTTTTTTTAAAAATTCCTTTATTCCTCATTATAGTTGCATTTCTTCCAGTTGAGACCGGAGTTGTTGGGTCTGTGTGCCTTTTGGTTGTATTTTTGTTCATTTGTTGGTATTTATTAGTGTCATTGCTTTTTCCAAACATGCCGAGCAAATTTTGCTGGTGGAAGATAATGAAAGAACACAACCACTTTTCTACACGTATGTATTTCTAATTTGTCCCCCTGGTTTATCTTCAGTCTTTGTTCATTTTTACTGAATCAGCTCTAAAGGCTGTCTGAAGGAATCTGTTTCTTTCCCCGCTAACAAACACTTCCTCTGAATTTTGTTCAGTTCACTTTTGATTTCACAAAGGCCCTTTAAATGTGACTCCCGGGTTAAAAAAAAAACTTTCTCGCCCAAATCTAATGTTTACAAGGGAATTAAACACTGCCTGCTGTGATGAGATATGATTTGGTGCTTTGGGGACTGAAATGATCACAATGGAATGTTTTGATCGTACTTTTAAGGCAAACAAATGTAAGAACAAAGTCTGATTCAGCTCATAATACTCATAATTGATAGTTTTAGGCTTATTTAAAGTGTGAGATCTGAAGTGAGAAACCCTGAAACGACAGCTTTTCCTCAACTGTGAAGGTGCTGAGCAGACAGTCGGTGCTGGATGTAATATTTCACGAAGCCTGTTGAGAAACATTTCAGACTTTGAGGAATTTAACTGGTGAGACGGTAAAAACATTCAATCTGGAGTCTTTATTTTGCACAAGCATGCTGTTAACGGGCAACATGTGGCGGAACAGTGGTTTTATTATTTCTTTTTTATTATTATTATTATTATTATTTTATTTGGAATTGGACTGACGAATCAAATGAATGGTTTTGTGCCATTTTATACTCCACACATAATGTTTTATAATTTATTGCACCCTCAACCAACACCTTCAGAATTCAGAAAAAAAAAAAAAAAAGAAATTGCACTCTCATAGATTATACTTGATACATTCCCAGCCGGGTAACAGAAAGGTTTGATGTGTGGCCAAAACTATAAATGAAAGTGTCAGTGCAAAGTTTACTCTCAATAAAAAGAACGGAAAGTGTGTCGCTGTGAGATTTTTTTTTTGTTGTTTTTTTTGTAAGTGTCCTGATTCCTAAACCTCCCTCAGATGAAAACAGGCTGCTTTGATCTCATGTGCAGAGTAACACAGGCTGTGAGTGGATGACTGACAGAGACTCAGCTGGTATTCATGTCTGCAGTCTGCTACTCCACCCTCAGGATTGGGTTTTCTAGAAGTTCTTTTAAAAACATTAAAAATCATTGTCTTTGATAGGAAAATGTAACATCCACAATTACATAAATAATATCAATAAACTTTATTGACATTAAAAGCTTAACACAGCTGCCACATTCTGAAACACATTTTATTTTTATTTTTTTAATATTGTCACTTTAAGAGGAGACACTGCAGGTGAACAAGGCAACACCTTTAATCGGTGTTGTTGATCCGCGCTGGTGGACCCATGTGACAGGGTCCAGCTCTCCATTTCTAGGGTTAGGTTCAACCTGCCTACAGGCCCTTGACCTATTAGGATTCTGTAAAACTGCTTAAGATGGGAGCTGCAAGGTGGCTCGGTGGTTAGCATCGTTGCTAGAAAGTCGCCGATTTGCATCCCGGTAAGGACACCCGGGATCTTTCTGTGTGGAGTCTCCATGTTCTCCCCGTGCAGCGTGGGTTCTCTCCGGGTTCTCCGGCTTCCTCCCACACAGTCCAAAAACATGTTGAGGTTAATTGGTGATTCTAAATTGTCCGTAGGTGTGAATGTGAGTGTGCTTGGTTGTCTGTCTCTAAGTGTAGCCCTGTGATAGACTGGTGACCTGTCCAGGGTGTCCCCTGCCTTCACCCTGAGTCAGCTGGGATAGACTCCAGCCCCCCATGACCCTAGTGAGGATTAATGGATGGATGCTTAAGATGGTGTCGAGGAAACTTGCCTAGCTTCTAACTGCCTTAATCCAAACGCCTACCCCATTTCTTCTGATAGTTGACCCAACAAAGCAGCCTCAAATCACTCTACCAGACACGTTTGTTGATGGCAGCTTTCCTCTTAAATGGATCAAGCACTTGGTAATTGCTAGGTTAGAATTTAGAGGTTTGGGACAACCAACCCCAGGGATATGTTTAAAAATACTGTTTTTCTCATGACTAGAATAACCTTTAAGAACCACTATGAAGATGTCATGCACACGACTGTCTAGCTTTTTACGACCATCAGATACTTATGAATGATCCAGTAAAGTTTCAACCCACAATCTTTAAACACAGGATAGATTATTTATTTCAAACTTTTAGCAAGGGCAAAGCAACAGCTCTTGATTATTCATTCAAGACATTTTGAAATACAATGTAATCAATTGATTTGAGATAAAAATGATAAAAACTGAGCTTTTCTAAAATAGAAACCTAGTAAATAATTTAGGGAGGGAGAGAGCCAGAGAGGTAGACCTATGCTGGCCAGCTCAGCCCTGTTGAGCCTGGAGGAGTCCTCTTCCAGCGATGCAGCAACCCAGTACAGAGTCCTGATCCCCGGACAGAACCCTCCTGAATCAGGGGGAGATGAGAAGTCCAGACTCTGATCAGATCTGCAGTTCTTTAGCGTCCATTTGGGGAAGGAAAGGAATACTTCTTCATGCAGAACACAAAAAGGGGTTCTGCTGCTCGTCTTGAGTACAGTTTGCTGACTCATTGGGACTTCTTTAATCAGTGGAAGAGTGTTCAGCTCCAACGATGCCCCGTGAAGAACTCCACGATACACAATTTATCCTTAGCACATACCTCTGACTACACACTTCTAATAGACGCTTCACCTTTATCCCATACATCTGATGAGTCTGACATTAGCTTGGCATCTGATCACTTGTTTGGTAACAGCAAAGCGCCCAGTTTGGCAACCACAGGACACATGCTGGTAAAAAGAGGAACCATTAACTGCTTTAGCAACGAGTTCATTCTGCAAACATCCTGCGGACAGCAGCAGGATGTCCGGACACAACCTGTTATAGGGACACTAACCTTTCTTGCTCTCTTGACATTTTCACCCCTTCTCTCATCTTTAATTGTGCAGCTTCAATTCAATGGTTACACAAAATCCCCTTAAATTCACTGCAATGTTAAAATAACCATTTCATATTTAAACACTTAATCGTAGAGTCTTTTATATTGCTTATGCCGGGCCAGTGTTGTTTGTTAGCGGCTAGTTAGTTGTCTAAAATGTTTTGTTTAAATATGCAAATTGGATGGTGCATATCTTAAAATGTCCCAAGTTGGAAGTCTGACCATTGAATTAAGCCAAGTGCAAAACATTTTTATTGCATTTTCGTTCACATATGAGAGTCAAAGGTTTTTACAGAGGGAATGTTTATTTTCATTTCTAAGTAAAATATGATTTTATTTTTATATAAAATGAATTTAGCTGTAAGTCAACATAAATTAGATTCATTCCAAGGCACACAGTTTGAGAACCACTGGTCTATGTAGCCTGCACTGATATTATTGTGAAACATGGACTCAGTATAGAAACAATGTGGGATGACCTTACTTTGCCTTCAACACATTATAACACATTTTCATTTCACGCTGAAATAACTTGAAAATGGTGTCAGGTTAATATCTATAAACGCTTGGCCTGGACTGAGCCTCCATTGTGTCAGTATCCTAAGAATGCCTCTTCGATAAATCATATTTATTTATAAAGCCCCTAGTTTTTATCCATCCATCCATCATCTATACACCGCTTAATCCTCACTGGGGACACCTGGACAGGTCACCAGTCTGTCACAGGGCTACACTTAGAGACAGACAACCAAGCACATTCACATTCACACCTACGGACAATTTAGAATCACCAGTTAACCTCAACATGTTATTTGGACTGTGTGGGAGGAAGCTGGAGAACCCGGAGAGAACCCACGCTGCACGGGGAGAACATGCAAACTCCACGCAGAAGGATCCCGGGTGTCCTCACTGGGATGTGAACTGGCGACCTTTTTGCTGCGAGGCAAAAGTGATAACCACGGATCCACCTTGCAGCTCCACTAGTTTTTATGAACTGTATATTTATTTATTTATATTTTGTTGTGTGTGCATCCCCTTTGTCTATTACCGTTCTCCTATTCTACAGAGTTCAATAAAACTAAATGGTTAAGGAGGACAGAAGAATTACAATTTTTAAAAATGGCATAAAAATTCTAGGACCGGGCACTCACTTTGGGTTTGAAAAGTGGAAAAAGTACTTCAGTGAGTTAGAGACACTGAACACTGACGCCTGGTGGCTTGTGCCTTCTACAGACTGTGGACAGTCATCACAAGTGTGCAACTCCGGGCACCTGCATCACTGTCCCTCTCTGGCCTCTAGAGGTTTCAGACAGCAAATACAACACAGGAAATACTAAACCAAGGCTGTTAAAAATGCATTTGTGTCTGTTTCTAAGTAGGTCTGTACAAAAGGACACTTAGGGACAGAATGGCCGGACACACAGGGAATTTGAACTGTCCTGTGGCCAAACAGTGCACGGAAGCACAACATGAGAGTGAGAGTGTCAGGTATTGAAGGTATTAGCTTTAATAAAATCAAACGCCTCAGACAAAGATATATAGCTTTGACCTTTGACCTTTCCAATGGGGGTCATTCCATCTCAAAGCATCAATTTTTAAAAACTATTTCTGCTCAACCATCTCTGATTTGCTTGAATTTTTTATGGCATGAAATATAGATGTTTCTAAATAAATAAATACATTTGTTGAAATTTTACCTTGACATACCAAACACTTTCCCTTGTAATGTGTACTTTTCATGTCACTTTCATTTTTTTTTAAAAATACCTTAACTCACCCATAATCAGAGACTGTTTGATCAACTTGTAAAATATTTCAGATTTTAAATCGATGGTCTAATAACAAAATACAGCGAAAATCCCAGGCTTTTATGTTTGAAAGTTACTGAGACATTATCGTTCAAACATGGCCTCAAAGTTCGATGTGCTGAGAAAATGTGCAGAAAGTGGGTCGCGGATAATTTTAAATCAATTCTGAAGCTTTACAGAAACCATTTTGAATATCCATAGCTTAAAATAATAATAAAAAAAATCCAAACAAATCAAAAATGTTCAAGCAGAAATCCCCTAACGATTCAAAGTGAAATAACCCAGCTTATTTTATCTATAAATTAAAAACAAACATGTTCCTCCTTCCACCGACAGGCGGCAGTGTTATTCTCCCGTGTCGCTTTTGCTCTCTGTTGTCGCTCCTTTAATGACGTCGTATCCGCGCGACTCAAACGTACCTGGTACATCAGCGGCCTGTTTTCAGAGCATCGCTGTAATTTTTCTCTCCGGTGGAGGATTTCTCTCTGCAGTCCATCACCATCATGAAACTAGTCAGGTGAGCGGCAGCGGGAAGTCACCGTTTACCGACTGTGTGAATATTTAGATGATAAAATGGAGGCGCTGCAGCTGGATGGATGTAGATTTAATAAAGCGGAGCGGCGGGAGGCGGGAAGCGCTGCTCGGATGAATGGAGGCTGTCCGGTGTTACAATGAGCCACCGGGCTCCGCTCCCTGATTTAACCTCCAATAGTCACACATTTGTACTGTGGTTTAAGTTAATGTGCATCTGAGTTAGTTGCAGTTATTTGTGTTTTTAGAAACAAGCTTTAATTCACGTATTTAAGCTACATGGACGTTAGTTTAGCCTCAGGCCCCGTGTCTGTTTAGCTAACCTTTTTATTTAATCTTAACATTGAGCAACACCTGCACCCAGAAAGCTACTTGTGCATTTAATATTCTTTTAGCTCTCAAAGTGAGAGGGTTTGCAGTGTTTAGCTCGCTTCCTCCTCGTCCCTTTGTTTTGGTGCTGAAAGCTACAGAGCTAGCAGCTAGCATCAGTGCTGTACTATTAGCAATTATCTTCATGTGTCTTGTTTTACCTGCTCTGGTCTCTACATTTGTTGTTTTGTCTGCTTAAATCGTTTTAAAAGACCCCATTTATTTGATATAATGTAGTTTGCACTTGTCAAAAAGATATTACTACCCCTACATTGTGACTAAATTGCTAATAATGCATCAAAATGACTGCAGTTCATTCCTTAGGGTTGTATTTTAACAATTGTAGGCCCTGAGATAACTGGAAATGGGATCATTTCTTTATTTTTATAATTTGAATCCACCTGCATACTGTGGTAACTACAGTTTAAACATGAGAACTGATAATAAAGTATTACCTGCAATTATCCTTAATAGCCTGATTGTGCTCTGCAAACTTTGGGAGCTAATTTCTGACTAATTTCTTTGTCGAGTTTTCAGTGAGACATATATAAAGCTGAGCCCAGAAGTTGGTGTACTCACGCTATAATCTTGTTTTAATGATGCTTTCAGGTTTTTGATGAAGCTCAGCCATGAGACGGTTACCATTGAACTGAAGAATGGCACCCAGGTCCATGGCACCATCACAGGTAAGAGCTGGCTGGGCCGAGTTCAGACTCTATGACTTGAGGTTTCATTTCATTGCAAATACAGTGTTAAATAAAAGCTGTGTGGTCAGTTTATTTGGCTCACCCAGCTCCAGAGAATGTATATTTAATACAATAGCTGTGCACTGAATCCAACCTTGATGAGGCTCATATTTCCAGTATTAATTTAGGATAATAACCACTTTCTAAGGCTGCAGCTTGTCCTATGTTTGTATTGTCCTGTTCTCTATCATGTAATGCTTCTTTCAAGCCAGATGATTTTTCTACGCCGTCACTCACAATGAAGCACCTGCTCAATAGGAAAAAACGCTGAATTACTTCTTCCTTCTCCTCTTACAATTTTCACTCAACAAAGCTGTGTCAAGGCCCACATTTGGGAAGGAATAAGATTGTCCTACTCACTGATCACTGCTAGTTATGGCTGCAACTAACTGTTATTAATCCGTCGATTGTTTTCTCAATTGAGCGATTAGTTGTTTGGTTTGTAACGTGCTAGAAAACAGTGAAAAATGTTGATCAGTATTTCAAGATGATGTCTTCAAATGAGCTGCTTTGTCCACAAACCAGAGATACCCAGTTTACACCATAGTCGAGTAAAGAAAGAAGGAATATTGTTAAAATGTAAGAAGTTGGCATTCTTGTTCAAACTATCACATTTAATTTATAGTTGACAATGAACCATTTAAGCACTACTTAATGTGTTTTATTACTGCTGACCTAACAGTTTATATGTTTGGATATACATAGTTTACATTTTCTGTTCTTGGACAGCTGGATGAGAACAAAACGGTAATTAGTCTGTAAGTCATTGTGGCTACTTTGCAAAGACGAGTCGTGTGCTGAGTAGATATTTAAATGATTGTGTATTTATTATACAGTCGTCACACAGTTTGTCAAATTGTTGTGCTCTTGTTCAGAGTTCCTGCTCTCTGGTCTGATGCAGTTACTTCCCTCCTGGTTTTGTTCAGTCAGCTGCAGGGTGGCTAACTGGTGGTGACTGTTGATTTTAAGGTTTTTCATCCCTCTTTCTGTTTTTTGTAGGTGTTGATGTGAGCATGAACACCCACTTGAAGGCGGTGAAAATGACCCTGAAGAACAGGGAGCCCACTCAGCTGGAGTCTCTCAGCATCCGTGGCAACAACATCCGCTACTTTATCCTGCCGGACAGCCTCCCACTGGACACCCTCCTGGTCGACATCGAGCCAAAGATCAAGTCCAAGAAGAGAGAAGCAGGTGAGAAATATTTTTTAAAAAATGAGCATCATCCAGTATATGCTTTATTCTTGTGTTGTTGCCCCACTTGGGCTGATTTATCAGTGGGAGGATTCAGGCCCCTGTTTCAACTTGTGATTGCCATATTCCATTAGAGTGCTCTGCTTGGTATTACCCACAGACTTAGTCCACAAATAATGGTCTGTTTGCTCAAATTGTGTCAGTGAAGCTTTCCTTTCAATAAAACAGACACTCAGTTCAATGCCTTCAGCGTAAATACCGTTCAAGAAACCTTGAACCTGAAACTTATTCCCTGAGGTCATTGAGGATGTAGACCACATGTCTGAAACATGTACTTCATCCATTTAACCTCTCAGCTTCCTGATTTCTCTCAAAATATTTGTTTTTAAAGACTGTTGTGGTGTCAGAGTTAGAAATGATCGAGGTGTTTGAGGCAAGTTGGAAATATGTGATCAGGGTGGTTTGTCTGGCGTTTTGTCAGCAAGAATACACAACTACCACCAAGCTGAATTTTATTAACCTTTGTGGCGAGCTGGAGTTTGGACACGAGACCAATCTGTTAAATGTTGGTAGAAACTGTGAGATACAGCATTGTCCTTGGTGGAGGATGGGATCTACGGGTGTTCCTCTAGGTTTTCTATTGTTCATGTCTAAATAGGGCAGTTTAGATCGTTTTTTATATTTATTTTTTATCACATGCTGCAGGATGAGAAGTGGTAGAGGCTGTTGTCGTCCTACTGTGTCACTGTAGTGCAGTCAACACATAAAGGCACGACAATGAAGAAGCTTTTCTTCTTTTCTTTTTTTTTTTTTCATTAAACATTATCGTAGTAATGTCATGGGCAACACATGGTTCAGCATTTTCTTCACAAGGATGTGACTTTATTTAATGATTACTGTGCTAATTAGTTTGGGTTTAGTTGTTATAACACTGAGAGGTCAAGTGGAGAAGCAACAAATACCCCAAAATGATTCATAAGGGCATGATGCCAAACTAGTTGATGTATAATTGCTGATGGATGACTCTGCCAGTCATTAGTCTCTTCTTCATGTTGTTCTGTAATTCATTTATTCCTCTCACCTTAGTAGAATAGTCGTAGCATAAATTGTACTTCAACAGCACAGAATAAATGCATCTTCCTGCCATAATATCTTTCATTAATTCAGTCTTGCACATTGAGCTGAAGGTGATGTGCACTGCTCTTCTTTTATGAAGATTTATTCGGGTTGTCATTAAAAGCAGCAAGCTAGAAACATTCTGCCTCTCTAGGAGGAAGACAAATGTTGATTTTAGTGCAGAATGGTTATGTATGTGATTAATTTTTCGTCTTAAGACTGTTTTTTATGTGTCAAATTGGATCTGTGGCACTTTAATTCAGTTCAGGACTAAATGTTTAATCTTCCTCACCGCTTTTCTTTACTACTTGATCTGCCGACGAATGTTTGACCATTGTTCTTGTCTCATTCAGTTGCTGGACGGGGACGAGGCAGAGGACGAGGGCGTGGCAGAGGAAGGGGACGAGGACGAGGTGGCCCAAGGAGATGATCACACAGTTGTACAGCTGTTTCTCACCACCTCACTGTTTGTACAGGATTTTTTTTTTTCTTTTGCTCAGAGGAAACGATTTGTGAATTTCTGCGTGCTTTTCGTTTTTTTTCTTATTTTGTACATTAAAATGCTCCTTATCAAGAGGATAAACTTGACTCTGTGCATTCTTGCAGCATTGATGACTTGGTTTCAGTTTCCTTTTATTTTCTTAGATTGTTTTACGAGGTGTGTCGGAAAAGTTTTAGGACTGGTGTCACAAAAGATATATTTCAAATCCAAACTAAGCTTTCCCCTTCGAAGTAATCCCCCCTGGAGTCTAACACACTTTCCCAGCCTTCTCTGCCACTGCCACGATTTTTCTGGGATCCTCCGCAGCTCTATTGTCACAGCCATCTTGATGTTGTCCACGTCTTTAAAACGGGTCCCCTTGATGACCCCCTTGAGCTTGGGGAAGAGAAAAAAAAATCCATGGAGCCAGGTGGGGTGAGTAGGGAGGTTGCTCCAGCACGGCGATGTTCTTCTCATACAGGAACTGTGGGATGCTCAGGGCGTTGTGAGCAGGCGCGTTGTCATGGTGAAGCAGCCACCACTTGTCCTGACACAACTCTCGCCTCTTCTTGTGCACTGGAGGAAGCAAACGCTGCAGGATCTCTTTGTAGACGTGCTGGTTGATTGTTGGAAGGGGAAAACTTGTAGTTTGTACTTCGGGTCTTTTGTGACACCAGTCCTGGAACTTTTCTGACACAGCTCGTATTACAAGGTTGAATTAAGTGTCTTTGCATGGAATTGTCTTCTAAACACCGACAGCCAATTATTGGCTTCAAATAGTGTCAAACGGAGTTAAGTTTAAAAAGTCAGTTTCCTTCCACAAATTTTTTTTTTTTCTCAACAAATATGTCATGAAGCCCTTTGGTACATTTGTTGACAGTCATTTAGGAAATTGCGATATTCATGGGACTTAAAGGTTTACACAAGGCGTTGGTGTTTGCTCTTCAATCCAGGACTGATCAGTTTTGAACATTTTGAGCTTGTTTAAAGAAGAACCTGTGATTTCTCTACAGCCCTGCAGTCATGCTGTATTTGTGGCTGAGGAGTTCTACCAACAAGTTGATGTTGCATCAGTACTTTTTGCACAAGTTTCCCAACATTAGTCCATGTGTGGTCTACAGACTGTATATCAACATTCATTCTTTAATATTTACTGCATTATTATTTGTTCAACACTGAATTACTATTGTGTTTTCTTTATATGCAGTCTTGATGGGGCCCACAACAAATAAATTACACTATCTGATATTTGTTTTGGTTCTGCACCCATTCTCATGAATGCTGGCAAAATGTCCGTGCATTTATCTCTCACTCTGTGTTACCCTTTTGTTATGAACTAGTATTGCTTTGGTTTACTGGGTCTCCTCCTACTGAAGTCAATCAACACTACTTCATGAATGTATGTTTATTAATCTCAAACATAATCATGATGAAAAGCAAGTTTCTATCATATTTTTCAGTCACAAAGTGCTTTACTTGGTGCGTTAACATGTTTTTAAAGAAGAAAAAAATGTGTAACAGCATGCAAGTTAAAATATTCAACAGAATAAAAGTACAAACACCTTTACATATACATATACAGAATGCATACAAGTCGCACAATAATTAAAAGCAGTGAAATAAAAAAACAGTCTTTAGGTTAGTTTTAAAATGGCTACAGTTGGGGTAGGTTATACAGGGGGCTGCATCCAGCAGTGGGCAGCAGAATGACAAAAAGCTATTTCACCATGTTTAGTTTGAACTCTGAGCATGACCAGATTATTACTGCTGCAGATCAAAGAATAGAAATGAAGTCTATGGATCTGAGAATATTATGAAGCAGTGAACATTCAACATCATGTATTTTAGGTTTAGATCACTGAGAGGCTTCTAGAGAATAACTTGAGCTTTTAATTTTTACTGGAAGTCAGTGTGAAGACCTAAGATTTGCATAATTTTACTTTTTGATTTTTATTATTTCTTTATTATTATTATAAATAATAATAATGTTTACTATATATGTAATAGTATTATTTGTAATTATTTTATATTCACTTATAAGCATTATTTCTCTATATATTACAGTATTTTGAAATAATTTTAGTCCAAAAAAAGAAAAAAAGATATTGACTGTATGTGCTTCTTTCCTATTTCTGTCCACTCAGACTGTTTTCTGGCGGAGTGATATAGCTTAGCATTTGAACCGGAACTACTTAAAAACGACGCTAACCCGCCTAATAAATAACAATAATAAAACAGAGCCGTAGATTTTGTGTGTTTCCACAGTCTGTGTGTACGGTAATTATTCTAAGCAGGGTGTTAAATTAATATTATTACCATTTAATTACACGCCGTGTGTGTGTTTATCATGCTAACAACCCTGTAGCCAATAGCCGCTTCCAGCCGTCACTCACGAACCGCTGGTGCATCGACTAACCGGTCCGCCTCTGCACGGCGCCGGGTGGAAGTCAGCCTCCGGTCCCGGTAGATGGTTTAGGTGCTCCGAATACCAAGAGGAAGATGTCCGCTGCTGCTGCCACCGGTCGCTTCATGTATTTCGCATTTGGAAGCAACTTGTTGAGGGAGAGACTGCAGCTGGCGAACCCGTCAGCGGTGTTCCGCACCACGGGTCGACTGAAGGTTCGTACAGAAAACAGCAGCAGTCACAACGCGTTCAGGCCGGGTGGAAATTACCACAAACACAAGTGCTTTAACTACATTTGGGTTCTGTGTCAGATAACATCACCGATATTCCGCATTGGGGTGTCTGTATTCAATCGGTGTGACACACTTGTAATTGTTAACATTATTTTGTTTGTTTGTTTTACCTGTTTTGTTTTACTTCTCCTTTCATTTTTCCCATAACATGAGCGGTTACAGTTTGATTTGTGTTGCTTCGTTCACGACGCCACGTGAACGCAGCATCGCCCCAGGCTGTGTGTGGTGTAGCAGACAGTGTTGGACCGGACTGACTGAGGGAAAACATTTAGCATGGGGTAGATTTGATTTGATCATTGAGGAACAATGGCAAACACTTAATTTCCTGCATTGTGATGTTTTTTTATGCATCAATTTGTACCTCACTGCATCCATTTGTTGTGGAAATGTGAAGGAAACAATGTGCAGGTAGCAACCAGGTGACAACTCAAAATATCATGGAATTATGATGGCACTATGTATTGTTGACAAATAGTTAATCTCCTTTGGATTAACCTTTCTCATGTAACATGATCCCTGCTGAGTCAACACACACATATACTCTTCTGTGTTGTTAAATGGTGCATATGGCACCTTTTCACATCAGTGGTAGATTAATTGATTTTAATTTAGTTATAAACCCATCTAGTTGTTCATAATCAAAACTTTCTGCACTGTCACAAAATATGTGACACACCTGTGTTTGATACGCTGAAGAAAAAAGACCCGCCCTGTTGAAGGCTTTGTTGTTAATGTGGTGGCCATGGATCACACTGTTTCTGACTGACTTGACATATGCTTGATTAACTTACCTTAAATAGTGCAGGTAATTTAGCCAACTGCTGTTCTAAATAGGTGTGCAACGCCTCTCCCTCTGGGTAAAGTAATCATCAGACCAGAGTGCTGCAACCAGCCTGTGTGTTTAAAAGCCATTTTTCTCCACAATATGCTGTTTAGGACTCAAACAATAATTTTTAAGTTGCTTGAGTGAGATGTAATGAAATGGTGCTTTTGATGCTGTCAAAAAATCCAGCTTTTAACTGTTTTCTAAACTTCACTCTTTATGGTGTGAAAATCGGCAGCTGTATTCAAAATTGCCTTCAGGCTGCCTTTCACAGAGTAAGAAACGCCTAAAATGCAGGTCTTTAGACAGTCAAAATTGCCAGTTTTTACTGTGCTCCAGTAAGATGTAATACAATTCTGATTTTTATGCTGTCAAAAGGTGGAAACAAATTAAGTTGCAATTAAAACATCGCTTTTCACGCACTCACAATCATCTAAGATGTGGTTTTTTATCCACTTTTTCTTTTGTATGACAATGAGCCCTTCCTTTTGGTGTACACAGTCAATAGGTTTAGAGTTTGTGTGACCAGTCAGTGAAGAGCGAAGCCAGACCAAAGTGCCTGCCAGTACTAAACTGTAGATGATTTGTTGTCTTTGTACGGTAGTACAAGGTTCAGAGAATTAAATATTAATTGAAACTGTGCTTTTTTTTCTTCTTATTTTTTTTTTTAAAGCACATTTGAGAAGTGATAATTTATGGGTAGTATGGGTATGTAGTAGTTGTAGTAACCCTGCCTCTCACATCTCTCATGTTCCAGTGGCAACACGCAGCTTGTAATTATCTGAGTATTTCCAATTTGTTCATTTATACTCCAATAATGACCAAATATATGAATATCTTATTACTCATTACTCTTAATGGAGGCATATAAATGGACTGGACATTTTGATGCATGACTACATGTAGTTTGATGGGCAGCCTGGAAGAACAAATACATTTAATATATATATATATATACATATAATACAGCTGTCTATGTGTGTCTGCTGCTAAGCTAATAAGATTTTTCTGTATTCAATTCCATCCCTCCTTTTTTCCATAAGTGGCTCCAGAGCGCCAGAGTTATTATTACTTTAGGACATGGAGAACATATAGAGAACAGTGACTTGGCCACCTTGCTGTACCACCTCCACAGATGAAGCAGCTGCAACAACAGGGTCTGGGTTTATGGCAGTGCAGCCGTGCTGTTTTGACCAACAGGCTCACTGGGGACTCTGCTGAAACCACAAACAGCACCGCTCATTACATCACAGTCAAATAAAAGACATTTTGTTCGACATACACAATGCCTCATCACTGTTCAGTGTTTTGTCCCGTAGCCCCGACAGCCAACACCACCTCCTGTCTGTGTGTGTTTCTGTATGTGCAGGACTACATGCTGAACTTTGGCCTGTGGGAGAAACATGTGGACAATGCGTGGCACGGTGGAGTGGCCACCATTGAGTTCTGTCCAGGTGCAGAGGTGTGGGGAGTGATCTGGACACTGAGCAACGAAAACCTCACGAGCCTGGACAAGTGAGAGACACACACCAACGAAAAACACACTCTGCCGTTCAGAGGTTATTGTCTCTTGTTTTAACACAGTGCGTTTTTTTTTCTTTTCTTTCTGTGTCCTTAGCCAGGAAGGAGTGAGCCTGGGAATGTACTCTCCTCTGGAAGTCTCAGTGGAGACTGATGAAGGACTGATGCTCTGCAGGACGTATCAGATGAACAACTTCCACGCCTGTCCTCCCTCTCCTCAGTACAAACAGGTGTGAGCTTGACAACACACCCCGGTCCTAAGATAGTACACTCCACTTAAATGTCCCATATTGTGTTTCTGCCTGTTTCCGCCCATTTCAGGAAGAACACGCTGTCTGCCGCTATGATTGACAGTTTGATCTGGATGACTGTTAGTTAGGCGTCACATAGCAGCTGAGTGTAATGACAGAAGAAGTGAAAGTATAGTCATCTTAGGGAGACCAGATAGGAGAGCATTACAGTAATCCATTTGGCATGTAATACAAGCATGTACTAGTTTCTCTCTCTTTACTTGACTAATTGCAATCTGGTAATGTTTTTCAAATTATAAAATGCCATCTTAGTTTTTTTTAATGTGGGGCTCAAAACTGAGGGCAGCTGTCCTGGTTGAGCTGTAGAAAGTTCTCTGCTAACCATGACTTAATATCTAAAACACAGTTAAAAAGGGCATTGATTGGTCAACAGATGACACGCTGATGTACAGCTATGTGTCATCAGTGTAACTGCCGACGCCGTGCCTCCTCATGACATTTCCAAGTAGTAACACGTCCAAAATAAAAAGTGTAGGACCTAAAATAGAACCCTGAGGAACACCATAAATAATTTTGTAGCTTTTGAATTAGCAGTCATCCGTGCTTACTACAAATTCTCGGTGAGATTGGATTTGAACCAGTTAAAAACAGAACCAGAGGAGCAAATGAAACGGGAAAGCCGGCCAAAAAAAAAGAGTGGTCTACAGTGTCAAAGGCAGCAATTATTTAAAGCTTTTATTGTACACCTATAAATTTACAACAACCACAAAACACAATCAAAATGGACTTTCACCATTTGGGACCTTCAAGCTGTAAAACCGTCTGCATTGACTAACACATTAAAAATTAATTGTTAACTAAACCAGTGTTTTTGTTACTTAAGTGGAATATCAATATTTGTGTTTCCTATCAGGTGGTGTGTCTGGGTGCAGAGCAGAACGGACTCCCGGATGAGTACCTGAAGAGGCTGGAGGCCATTGAAACCAATGCCTACAGTGGCCCCTCGATCCTCGATCAAATCAAATCAGTCATGAAGTAGACATTACGGTTTCATTGTAGGCTCTTGAACTTGAAGTTGACAAAAAACATTTTAGTTGTTCTAAGAATGGCACAAAACAGAGAACAGCTAATGAGCAGGACATGCGGTGAGATTGTTTTTGTCCGGTTATGAAGAAGTGTGACCAAAAAATAACCTCAAAGTTCACTTTTGTGCAGATTTTGGAGCCTTCAACTGCATCTCCATCTTCTTCACCCCAGTGATCATGTTACAGTGGCACACAGATGTTTCTGTTACTGTGAATAACTGAGCAAGTTAAAGATGAGCTGATTTCCAAATTGCCAGTCACAGATGACACATTTCTGTTGTATTTAAAGCAACTTTTATTTCCCTCTTTCATAGTCTCAAATGGACAAAAAAAAAGGAAAAGAGCCTGAAACATGCACGCATCCTGCATAGTCAGTACTCAGCAGCAGCTTCTGTGGGAGTGTCACAGCTTGTAAACACTTCGTAGAGTCTGTCACTGCTTGTTTGGCAGATTTTTGCTCATTCTTCCTGCAAGAATGGATGAAAATATGCCAAACAAGCACTTCTCCTTCTAGTTCTGTGAGGTTCTTGGGCCGTCTTCCATGCATCTTGCATCTTTTGAGCTACATCCACAGATTTCCCATGATGCTTGATTTAAGGTCGGGGGACTGTGAGGGCCTTGGCAAAATCTTCAGCTTGCACCTCTTGAGGTAGTCCATTGTGATTTCTGAGGTGTGTTTGGATTCTTGCCCTCATCATGTCTTGTTTGCTGCCAGAGTTTGCTGCTGTTTAACTGAATTCATTCTTCCCTCTACCAGCGAAATAATCTGGCTGCAACAGAGACCGAACACACAATCGATGCACCCACATGCTGAACAGTTGGACATGTGTTCTGTTCAAACGATGCTTCGTGTTTTTGTTCCAAAATGCATTCGGCCTGTTTTGATGCTCATGTGCAAACTTCTAATGAGGACAGAGGAAAGGTTTTCCATGAAGGTCATACTTGTGCAGGTGTCACTGTAGTATCGTCTGCTAAATCTTCCTGGAGGTCTTGTGCAGTCAAACGCAGGTTTTGATTTGCCTTTCCAGTAATCTTACGAGCAGTTTTCTCTGAAAGTTTTCTCAGTATTTCAGACCTCAACTGATCCAGTTAGCCGTCGCTCTTAATTACATTCTAAACTGAGGACACAGCTACCTGGAAGCTGCTTCTTGTTGCCTTCTCCTGCTTCAATTATTTAAATTTTCAGAGTGCGAGGCAGCGGCTTAGAGACTGCTGCTTGTTGGGATAAGGTTTGGTGTGTTTACAAAGCTTTGAAATGCTTATTGTGAGCAAACCCTAACAAGCTAATTAAGGGTGACACCATCGTACAAGTTATCTAAGAGCCTGAATCTCTTTGGGTGCACTAACATTTGCTTGGTGCTCGTTTCTTTTGTTTTACTTTAGAATTGTACAAGAGGAAAAAAAATAAAACACTAAATGTGCCGAAAGTGTTGAAAACAATGTTTCCTCATCATGGCTTTTGGAGATCAGTTCGTTTTCTACTCACTTAACATTTCACAGTAACAGAAATTTCGACTCAAACATTTGCGTGCCACTGTAATAATAACGATAGTATAATAATGAGAATATGTAATGATGAAGATGATGATGGTGAACAGAAATGGGAAAACCTAGTAAGTGGACTGTTTTGTTTTTTTTTTGCAAACTAACTTGAAGGCTGACAGTCAGTTCTGAAGCAGAGCTGGCACCACTGTGTGGCCACGACACAATAATGCATGCATTTAATGATGAGACGTTTGGCTGGGCCCAACACCTTGTCTTAATTATTATTGCATAATTAAACTGTTGACAAATGTATCTAATTTACAGATGTGCCAGGCGGGGGAAAAAAAAAAAAGCTCATTATTTCTCAGGGTAATATTAAACGCTGATGACACACTCTTCAGACTTTCCACTTGTCAGCCTTTTATTGCACATAATGCACCTCCGTTGTCATGACTCGATTCGTATCGTTGTGTTCCGCGGATTGAGGAATAAAGTGGCCTCAAGTTTCCAGTTGCACATGAAAGAAAATACCTTTGGATGCTTTAACATAGCTTAATTAAAAATGACAGTTTTTATTACAAAATTAAAATAAAAATGAACCATTTATGTAAAAGGATACCACTTTATTTTACACAACACAGTGGCCTTGGACAGAATGATGCTTAGTTTTGACCTCTCCCAACATTTTTCATACTCTAGGAATTATAGAAAATACAAGTATTGTACAAAAAAAAAAAAAAACTGCCGTCAGGAGAACAGAAGCTAAGTGGGGAACACCCAGTATAACGTTTGATGTTTTTGTTGAGTCTCTAGGTAAAATTTCCACAAGTCTATGCAAATATGTCGACTCCACAATGGCACAAATTAGAATTTCATCCGACAACAAAACAGAGGCTCATGCAAGCAACATGGTCAACGAGGAGTTCTTTAACTGTGGGAATTCAACGGTCACGCAACTTCTTTTTTTTTTTTTTACATTCTTTAGAATTTGGCTTCAAAACTGCAGGATGAACATTCACCTCATTATATCTCAACGGTGTGCAGGAGTTGGGAAGCAACGAATGTAAAAACAGAATCCCCCTTTTAAAAAAAACGTAGAACTGCGGAGGGGCAAGTGGTGCGAATGATCCCAAAGATGAACTAAAACGGGGAAAAAATCAAAAAGAAGGAGCTGTGCACATGGCAGACTTAGGTTCAGATCTGTGAAGGAAAGCTTTGACATAATAAAATCAACTCTATAACATGGTGTTCACTACAAAATAATAATAATAAAAAAAAAAAAACAACTTTGTACAAACAGGCATAAATAAAGGGTGCAAAAAGCAGCTACCAGGGGAGAAATCAGTACGTAAGTCTGCAGCCATTGTTGAATGGGAACTTGTATATAGCTAAATAGTTGCATCATAATAATTCAGACGATACATCTGTGTACTGATTATCATGTTCCAAAGGAGCATCAACAACAAGGCTTTGCATTAATGTGGAAATCAGGATGTGGACCACTGCAACCTACTGAAGTCAAATGAAGCACTATTAATGAAGGCTACATTAACAAACTGCCTCAGTTACTGGTGAACTTTTAAGGAAATACATCATTGTTTACGCTGTGTGATAAACTTCTCTAATGTCTGTCAACAGAAAAGGCCATCATTGATTTTTTTTTTTTTTAGTCAGTTTTTAAATCATACATTTGTATTATTTGCTGTTTTTAGGTTCCATCTTCACACGTTTCTGAACTCACTCCATCGCCTGCACCTGTTCCTCCTCTGCAGCTTTATCATTTCCGCTTTCATCCATCGGCTCAGGTCCGTCCTCACCGCTGCTTTCCATCGGCTCCATTGCGTCGGCGTCCGTCAGCTCGGCCGTCTCGGCGGGCTGCTGCTCCGGGATGAGGAGGTTGTGCTTAACTTTGTTCACTTCGTTCATGTTGAAGCCGAGCAGAACTGCAGTCGTGTTCCTCTTGAGACTCTTCATGCACTTGCTGCGCTTCTTGCTGAAAAGCGCCGCCAGCTCTGCTTTGGTGAGCGACAGCCTCCTGCACAGCTCGTCGGTCTCGGCTTTGGTCGCGTAAGGGTTCACGTTGAAGTATTTCGATATGAAGTCTCTGCGCTCCTCGCTGCAGCGGCGCTCCATCGGTGTCGGCTCCAGCATCAGCTTGACTGCAGGGTCGGTCTGAACCTCAAGCTCCGGTGGAGGCTGCAGCTTTTCCTGCTCCCGCTTCCTGCGCATGGCCGCCCTTTGTTCTCGCTCTCGTTTGTTGGTCTCCATGACCTCCCTCCATGCGGCCTCCAGTCTCTTCTTAGACTGCATCTCCGCTTCTGTTTCTGGAGGGTCCGGAGCGCGTGTGGCCGAAATCACACGAGCCGGAGCTAAAGTCTGTTTCATAGTCAGCCCCTGGGGCATCTGCAGAAAGTAGAGTCCAGACGCCTGACTGAGCTGCGGCGCTGCTCGCAGTGGATGTTGCGTTACAACTGCAGGCGGTTTGGGTGGCGGTGGCGGTTTGGGTGAACACCTGCACCGTTGAATGTGGAGCATCACAGCTTGCTGGGTGACCTTTCCTGTGTAAACGCCGTTGCAGTATATGCACTTGAAAGCCTCCGTCTTGAGGATGGCATGAATGGTGGGTGCTACAAAGTGCTTCTGCTTCAGGTGCTGCAGGTGGTCCGATTCGTGCTGAAACTTCTCGTCACAGAAGGGACAGTACGCACTGTTGATTTTTGCAGGAGCTGCACAGATTTCTGGCTGGCTGCTGGGCTGCAACTTAAAGAAGATCAGGTCGAGGGAATTTGTGACCAGAGCGAGATTGACCTCTGTGTCTCCGAGGACCTCTTTTGGTGCAGTGGTGTGGACGTCGAAGTAAGGGAACAGGATCCCTCCAACACCTTTAGAATAAACCCTGTATTTCTGCCTCAGGAAATCACAGTAGGCTTTGCTTGTGGGATTGTGCTGCTTTACATGCTCAGCAAGCTGTTTGATTGAAAAGAACAAAGCTGAGCAGTATAAACAATTGAGGCCGTGCAGCAGGTGTTGGAAGACGCTCTTTTCTGAGAGTAAAATTTTGCATGTTAAACATTTAACAGTTTTGTCAGGCATTTTCTTCAGGAACGCTGCTCTTGCTGCCACACTTTCTGACTTTGAGGAAGCAGATTTAGTCTGGTGTGCGACCTCTGTATGCATGTCAAACACATTGGAAGGGAAAAGTTCGTTACAGAGGGGACATGTAATCCATTTCTTAGTTTGTGGTACAGCATGACTTTGTTGCTCAACAGTCTTATGAGGAGTACTTGTGCTCTGAGAGACAGGCATCGCTACTTGCAGCGGAGCAAAAGTGTACGTGGGCATGCCGTTCACTTTGTTGCCGGTCGGGATTAGGTGACTCAGCAGAGACTGTGAAGTCAGCATGGTACCTTGAAGGGCCATTTGGTTTGTTGATGCATTTTTTGCAGCCACAGCAGGTTTAGGTACAGTCCCGGTTCCAGCTGCCATGTTGGCGTGCAGCCCTGATGGAAGGAGGATCTGCTGCGGTTGTGGAGTCGGTTGTGGTGGAGCAGAGATGGGAGCTAAAGTCACTGGTGCCTGTTTCAGAGACACGTTGGACATTGTGGGAAGCTGGACCATAGACGGCCCTGGGGGCAAAGCACTTCGGAGAGCTATCGTGGCACCGGGCTGGAGCAAACCTTTAGCCTCAGCGCTAGCTAGCTGCACTAGCGCTGACGCTTGAGGAGGCAGAAAAGCTTGGTTGGTTCCAGGGGCACAGATCAGAGTAGTACTGTTTGTAGTTCCTTGTAGCTGCTGTAACGCCACTACAGTCCCAGCAGGTTGGCCATTACTCGGTAAGACCAACGACTTACTGTTGAACATTTGAGGTTGCTGTGGTTTAGGAGCGATACTTGGAAATGTCACAAACAGGCCATTCCCGTTAGGTGTTGGTTTAATGGTGTAGTTCTTATTCTCATAAATCAGGCTCTGCACTTGTGTGCTGACCGAATAGTGCGATGGCTCAACGAGCATGTGATGCAACATTTGGTCTAGGTTTCCAGTGTTCACCTTGCACACCTTGCAGCAGTAGACCTTTATAGACGAACCCCCCTGCAGGTGTAATCTGTAACCGATGTACTGCTCCGCCAAACTGTCCAAGTGCTTGAGGATGATGTGCTTCTTCATCGCGAAGATAGAAGACGACGGATATCCACATCTTCGACACTGATACCGCTCGTTTCCCCGGTGGGTGGTTAAGGACCCTTCCCTTGGCAGTTGTATGTGGGTGTTCGGCACGGGGAGCTTGGCGTGGAAGAACAGCATGTGCTTCTTGACAACCTTGGGGTGGCCGATGAAGAGGCACTGGGAGCAGGGTGCCAGCGCACAGAAGGACTGAACGTATCCGTGGCAGCGAGACACGTGGCTCCGGAAGTTGTAGATGTTATGTGACGAGTACTTGCACAGGTTACAGCACAGAGATCGAGACCGATACGGCCACTGTGGAGTGAGAAAAAAATAAATAAAAAAAGATCATTTCAGACAAAGCATGAACAAGCTAAAATGAAAGTGCGCACAGATTTGTAACTTACGACAACAGATGGTAACATTTTTAATTATTTAACAAACAGTCTAATGTGGGTTAATTCACCTTCTTCTGCAGTCTGCCATTGTATCCATCTGTGATATCAACCCACTCAGTTTCTCGAAAGGCCTCATCTTCTTCTTCTTTTTTCTCTGAGTTTTCATTGAGAGTCTGCACAGGACACAAACAAACAAACAAAGCTGTATTTTATAAGAAACAGTGAACACCTTCCTTCAAAGTCCTACATTCAAGGTGGTTTCTCAGTAAATGAGGATTAGCATAATCACGGATGCGTTTGCCAGTTTATTAGCCACATCTAGCTAATGCAGTGTAACAAAACAAGCTTCCAAGGTTATAATGTTTTGTTGAAACTGGATATTTTTACACAGTCTGAATAACGCAAATTAGGTAGTGAAGTGTTTAATTTGTCCAAACAAACTGAGCGGTGCTGCTGTCAGTGGAGCATCTGTTTCCCACCGTGTTGCTGTGTGATCTGGGTAAAATACTCTGTTACATGTTGCTACCATCATATTGATGGACAAATCCTGTAATTCAGCACTATCCATATTAGCCCAATACCACAGACGATCTGTAACAGCGAACAGGTGACGCCATATGGTCCCAACCTGTTGCCATAACAACCCCCCTCTATAAACACAACAAAACCCAGAAGAGCTTTCTCCCAGTGCAACCATCATGGTATCAAATTCAAGCATGTTTTAAAATGATCATAATCTTTTCATTAATTTCAAACTTCACTTCCCCTTAACACACTAGAGGTTGTCGATATATCAGATATCATTCACTGCATTCATGCTTTCATGCATGATTTATGACAGCAAGAATCAGATTTCTTATTTTGAACAATGACCAAAATTTAGTTTTATTTTATTGCTTTCAAACATTTTTTTTGTTGATGTAATTTATTATATTTTGCTCATTCTTGGCAATGAAAAAAAAACAAACTACAGCACTTCTACTGCATGTGCACATTTGCCTTTTCTGTTTACTGTTTAGCTCAGTCTGTCTGTTCACAAAAATGAGTCTAATACTGAACATGATTTTCTGATATTGTCAAAATAAAATCAGCAATTTACTCGAATAAAAATCAGTAATCATCAGTTCCAGGTCCAGAGAAATTAAATTAAAATTAAATTATGATGGTCAAAATGCTAGTTGTGTATATGTGCGGAATACTGCCTTGTTGCAAACACAATTCATTTAGCATAAAAATAACAACAAAGAAGGAAACATGACAACAACCAAATAATTACTAACATGTTATTATAAACTGTAATTCGACATCAATGCATATTTTATACTACATGACTATAATTAGTGCATGGTTTCCATTTCAGTGGACACAAATGTATGTTTTACTTTTAGAATATCAAGAGTTAAAAATAAAACAAAAATGTTCTGTAAATATTTCTTAACCTCACCATGTGTTTAAACCACAAGGCTCTTATTGTGTAGAGGTACTTCCTGAAACGCTTGAAATAACTGACAACATGTCGGCCATGTTGGACGTTTGAATTTCTCCCTGCACTTACACTGGGCTGACACTAGGCGACTACCTGTTGTCCTTTGTGCTGTTCACTGCCGTGGCTGATGTGCAGCATGTACCAAGTGTGGCTTTTAAATAGTCAGACTAATGCTGGAATACAATTTTATGTATTTCAAGTGTATTTAATTTGAATGCTCGTCCATTGGTCAATGCACATTATGCGGTTTGTGCTGTGGTTCAGTTGCATTGTTTAATAGCCACATCCCATGCATAAAAAACAAAAGCTTCTGAATAGCTGTCCAGTGTAGTGACCACTATACACGTAGACCTTTACAAAACAATACAGAGCTGAAACACGACTGATATTATCACCCACAAGGCGCATTAGTTAGCAATGCCTAACCTGCTTTATACTCAGCTGGCATATAACATTTCTCTTTGGCGTTATCAGACTGGGTGGCAGACAGCAGGTCAATAAATGGCAAACAGCTATTTCGACATTTGTAACTTAAACCTACTAACAAACTCTCCAGTTACTGTTTAAGACGTCAGATTCTTAATTAAACGATGCTTTAGACTTATTATCGTTGCATCCTTAAGCATAGAGCGGAAACTCTTAAACAGAAATGCGAAAAACATACATCGCCACTAACAGCAACAAAATGAGGCAGCAAGCAGAGTCACGACTTGAGCTATCCTGACAAAAAGCTAATAACAGAGAAATTAGCTATTTCACGCTGTAAGTCTACTCGACCCTCAGACTGCACCCAAATCTCATCTTTTGCTCAGCTGTGCCTGAACAGCATGAACAGCACAAATCACATGGACTCCTTTTAATTATGACTTGGACCACTTCCATATGTGCATGTAAGTCAAATACAGGTCGGATTTTTTGTTGTTTTTTTGCATCTTCAGTCTGAACAATCATGTTGGAGTTCATGCAGCTTCTATGTCACCCCTGACCAACGTCATATTTCCACACCGGTGGGGGGGTCACTGAGTGAACACCAACATGGAAGAAGGCTGCAAACGTACCAGCTGTCAAGCCTGCTAACCTCGCGATCGTTGCCAAATCGTTATCAGTTAATCTGATGGTAGCTGACAACTAGCTGATGCTTCATCGGATTGCAAAAAAGGTGTGAATGGATGTATCCAGGGCTCCATCTGATTGGCCAAATGTTCGCAGAGTGTGACTGCATGACCCTAAATAGATATTTTTATTCACTGCACTTCAGGCTGCCGTGTCCTTATTGCGCATCTTGTAGTTCAGGACCACTTCACGCTGGAGTCTAATTTTGGCCACATTTAAAGAATAATGTAAACAGCTAAACAAACAAAAATGTTAATTAAATTAAAAAATGGATCCAAGCAAATAAAAGCAGACTTAAACACCTAATTTTGCAGCGTGAACCTCACTGAAGTCAAACGTATGATCACATTCCAAGAAAACGTACCTTCAGCAGGTTCTGACAGTCTTCCAGGCCAATCTCACTCAGGATGCTCTTCACTGCTTTGCGTGCCTTTCTGATCTTCTCAATATTTCCAACCGGAGGCTGATACATGATTCTTCAGCAGCTTTATGTAGGAAAAGAAGCTTGAATTTGTTATGTAGCTCAAAGTTAAATATTCAACAACTAGAAAAAAAAACAGTTGATTTTATTATATGCCACATATTTAGATTCAATTAGGCACCATAGCAGCGTCTAGGGATGCACGATGAATTAATTTCATACAAAACCATTTGAAACAATGAAATTGCAAATGTGCCGACTGAGGATATACACTATGCAGCACATCTAATCCAGAGCTGACACAGTTGTGTCAATAGTTTTACAAATTCATGTCCTTGTCAGACGGTCACGCTGATGATGGTGTCTCGTGTAGTAAAACCCCATCACATGTTCCTACATCTATTGCACAGTGAATGCTAGGAAATCAAATTGCATTATTTGTCAGAAAACTGCGATTAGCTATGTTCCCTAAATCACCAGCCCTGAATGTGTCATAACATTTACATGTCAGATTTTAGACAGCAACCACCATTTCCACTACCTCCATGCAATATACACATGCTTATTATTTAATTTCATCTTTATATATAGTTTTTTAAACTATATAAATATATTTTATATTATGTTGTATATAGTTGTTTACAAAGTTTTTAGATATTTTTTGCACTGAAAGGCCTGCACCTTACTTTTCGTTGTACTCATTGCAGTGACAATAAAGCAAATCTAAATCTTTTTTTCCACTTTTTCCTGCTGCTACAAATCCAACGTTTGTTAAAGCAAACATAAACTAGCACATAATGACAGAGGTCAGGTGATTTATATATGTAGTGTCTCTATCAACCATGCTGCAGAAATATCAACACTTCATGATATAATGTCAAAATGCACCAAAAAAAAGACGTACATAAAAACTGAAAAATGCAGTTCTTGAAAAATGCAAATGGTAATAATGATGTAGTTAATTATTCAACTGCAGCATGAACACAACATGTGTCTGTTCAACAGTAGTTAGCGATAAATGTAACAGGATGAAAGTCAGCATGGCTGAACATGGATATTATGTGTGCACATGCGTTGAGGTAAAAACAAATAGAAACATAACAGCTACTGTGCAACAGCTGATTTCACTCTGCGTATAAATACCAGCCATTCACTGTAGGGGTAGCACGGTTATTTTCAGTCAGATAAAAGTGTGGGATTTAGATCACCTGCAAACTCAAAGCTGCTCGCTCATACTACTGTCCCCATGCTAACACCACACTGTGTGTGTCTGCCTCACTGAAGTCATTAAACAGCCTCTGGTAGCACGCTGACAGCAACAAGCCGGGTCACTAAGCCGGCGACGGCGCATCTTCCTACTTGAGGATGCCCACAGCCTCCTCTCACATATTTACCTCGTCCAATTTTCAGCGTAGATTAACGTTAGTCGTCGCTGTGCCTCCTCCAGCAGAGCTAACGTCTCCCACTTCCACCGGCCCGCAACTGTGTGTGTCGGTGAGCTGCGTCTGCTGCCAGCGCTGCACACACGCACTCACCCGAGCCGCATCCTCGGTCCGCACACACCGCGGCACGAAGACCGTAGTCAGATATGAAAGGTGATATTTGCGAACGCACTCACGAGATAAGTTATTTTTGGTCCAGCTTTTGTCCCTTTCTTCCCCTATTGAGGAAAAAATGGCGCTCAAGTTCAGGATCTGACGTAGCTGTCTCATTTGCATACAGCACAAACTGACCAATGGGAGACTTGTCATTCTAAAAACTTAATAACTTTTTATTCCCTCACTAAGGGCGCCAGCGTGGCTCCGGGGTGTCCAGGTGGTGCAGTTTGGGATCCACTTTCTGAATTTCATGTAATATCTGACCTATTAAGTGGATTTTTGTGATTCTACAACAAATAGCTAGGTAGGGGGCGTGGCTAATGGGACCCCCACTGGAAGTCACGTGGTACATGACTAAGCCTAACCAATAGGCTGTCGAGAAAATGAGCTAAATGGGTGGTCCTTAAGTTGTGACGTCATATCATGCAACTTTTTTTAGCCAATTACATTGAACCACCATTTTTGTTAGCAAAGGAAGGGGAATTGATAGGGTACATGCCTTTTAGCTAGCATAGCATAAAGTAGCAAGACTTTTCAATATGTTTAGCATTATCTGAAAAACAAAATGGCTAGCTACTGTCGCATAGTAATTAATACCAATTGCGAAACTTTATTTTATATTTTTATGTATAATTAGACCTACTCGTAAAAGTAGATTCAAATATTTTTCTGATCTTAAGTTTGGCCTACCCAGCTAACAAATCGTAAACATGCTAATTATCGTGCAAGTTGACCACAGGGCTAGCCACCTGTCTGACTGCGGCCTATGAGTTAACCTTTACAAATAAAGGTCACACTATTAGACAAATCGACAATTTATTTCAGTCCACAGCTTTTTCATAGTGGAATCGTGATCTGTACCTTTTTGTGTTAGCAGTGTATGGCACCATTTTTGGTAACTAAAATTATTTTATTAGCTTAACACAGGACCACAAGCCAAATGTTGATACATTTTCTTATCAATTGTTGTGGTAATTAGCCATGTCAGATGTTAACTGGAGCATTGTGGCATGAAGCAGTTTGGTGTTCGAATGATGTATCGACCTAATTAAAATTAATGAGGTCACATTTAGCTTTTTGCCCTTTAGTCAGGCAATGCCAACCAGGAGGATTTCGCTTTCTGGGCAAACAGAGGGGCAACATAGAGCGCCACATAAGTGTCAAATGATGGCTGTGCTGCAGTGGATTACACTGCAGCAGTTCTCACGTAGGCAGAGCAGCCAAATCTCAGACTGCTGAGGGACAACCGAGTTAGATGACATCATCTCTAAATCCAAATTAGTGAAGACAAGTGAAGGGATTTTTTAAATATATTTTTTTATTTTTTTACCTTTGTCATATCAGTACAATGGTATTCAGCTAGACCCACCAGAGATCCACCTTTCAGAGTCTGCTACAGAGTTCATTGGTACTTGTTTAGTCAAAGTGTTTCCTCGAGCATGTAATTTCACATCTATCGCCTGTGTGGCAACCTTGTGATCAAAAAGTCTTTTTGTTTGTCTGCTGTGTTCTGTTGTGTGTGCAGGAGTGTGCACACGTTCCCCCTTGCAGACAAATAAGCTTTTATTATTATTATTATCATATTATCACTATCAGAATCGTTCCTATCATGTCCATTTCATCAACGTGCACTCTAAACCCGAAAGAAAGCACGATATGTGAACGCTCCGCCGATCTAGTCGTCTTATAATCTAATTAACATGCAGTCATCACTTCTAATGAACACTTGAGACACATGAGACACTTGAAAGGAGCAGTAATGGCTCCTCCTTAGATAAATGTATCCTACAGATGTTACCATTTCTTACATACAATATCTAGAAGTGTTTCTCTGGCTGTAGTTCGTTTTAAAGCGAATCTCTCAAAAGAAAATCAATGGCTTCACTTCAAACACATGATGTTGTGGCTCTGCAGTAGCCAGGCCTACTGACTACAGTATTCAGCACTGGTAATAAATGAATATCAATACTACATCATGCTACATACGAAGATCTCACTGAGAGCCTCTTAAGGAGCTGAGAATCTTGTTCAGGGACACACTGTCAGGGCATGGAAGGTAGTTTCCACTCCGTGATGGGAATTAACAAAATTTCCCTTTTTCTCCCTGGACAACTGGCAGCCATAATCTCCTGATCTGAATTTTCACCTCTAAATTTCTTCACTGGATGAGTTTAAAGACGGTTTGAAAAATGCTACAGGTCAACATATATAAACAGATGCTGTAATGGGAGTTGGCAGGCTGGGGAAAGATCATACTATAAACACTTGACTCTTTAATAATTAAGCTGTAATTGAAGTGTTTAACATATATTGTATTTGTCATCAAAGCCCTTGAGCGTACTGGTTTTCATTACAACAGAATACAGCAGCAGCTGATTTCACTGATTAAATGTTACTTTCCCGGCCTAAAGTGCAATCGACAGCCTGAGCCCTTTGTCTTTTAGGACACAGGGGAAACCTCTAAATAAAACCAGTGCCTAGTTTTTTTTTTGTTCTTTTTTTTTACCCTTCCTTTTAAATATATATATTTTTGGACGTGTTAGTTAACAATCAAGTGGTGGTTTGTACAGTATGAACTGATACTGTGAGGTGAGGCTGTAAATTCACAGCCTACAACTTGAGTTTCATTTTCTCAGGACACTAGAGAAACATAATAGTTAATGGATATCAAACACTACCAGTGTACTTTTAGGATGAATACACCTTTATGCCAGCTTAAGGAAACTTTTTATGCTGGTGTGACAAACTTAGTATCCAGGCATGGACCATCACTATGAACATTTTTAGATTTTTCTCACCGAGAGTCTTTCACATGAATTTACTGGTTACAGCAAGAAGGAAGAACTCATTTGTAGCTGAAAATAAGGGAGACCAATCTGGACCTGGATTAAATATTGCTTCCAGAAAATCTAACACAAACTAGATCTGTGAGTGATCGAAAACATGTTTTAGATTGTGCTGGCCTACTCTGAGTGTAATCCAGAAAATGTGTAGGAATCGATGCCCCCCCACATCAAAGACCACACATGCACAAGATGAATGATTTCAGTCAGAAATGTATTAAATTAATCACTTTCATTACTTTAACAAGCACAATTTACAGTCAAAAACAGGCTATGGTCCATTAGTGCCGTAGACAAGCAAGTAATTAATACATTAGTCACTTGTAACACACAAGGGCAGGATTCTTTAAAAACTGCAGTTAAGTCAGGTCATCTTTAATATTATTAAACATGTAGCTGTACAAGAGACTGTGCATTATGTCCCCCCATAACTTCAGAGAGGCATGAGGAAAGGTCTGGCATATTTTCATTTGCACTGCCTCAGAGAGGTTTGTGTACAACTTGCATGTCTTTCATTTTAAAGATACAGACGTGTACATCAATATCTGCCACATACAGATAAACTTATGCTTGAACCCTCTTCAGAAAAAGTTCCTTTTCTGACTTTTCAGATCCTGGGAGAACAAGGACCAATCCATTGACAAGAGACACCAATATGAAGATCTGAAAAATCAGGGCTGCGATGTTAAACGTCACAGTATTCTTTTAACCTACAAAAGATTTTTGTGCATTTTGAACCAGATTAACCTCTCCGGGTTAGAGGCAAGGAGTGCGACTTCTCTGTATTCAAGCTATAGCTCAGCATAGAGAGAATCTCCCACAGCAATTCCATCATGCGTTTCAGGTAAAGGGAAACCACTGAGGTCACGAATGGCAATCACAGCACACATAATCCATGTAGCGTTAAAAAAAACACAAAAAAAACACATCAATATCTTATCAGGAAAACACTGTTAGATGGGCCACAGCATAATACCTGGGCAAAACACACTTAAAGATGGAGCTTTAAATATGCCCCAGTAATATCTGAATCCAATAAATAAAAATGCATTGAGGTGATCTGCAATAAAGAAATAGGTTACATCATTGTCATAATTTCATTTAAACGATGCAAAGTGAGGGGTCTGAAGTACAGAATCCACACGAGGCATTGATTCTTTTAAACACTTCAAAAATCATCTACAGACAAAATGTGTTGGTGTTGAACAGACACATAATTTACACGACTGTCAACAGGTAATCAATAGAGAACATTTGATTTTAATCAATTGTACATTTTGTAAACTGAATTTGATTAAGGAAACAAACCGCCCCAAAACATGTTGGGGAGGTCCCATCTCCAAAAAGTCATCCATTTTGTTGCATAATGTCATTTGAGCTTGGGCTAGAGTTCTTTTAGCTGACAGACTTTGAGTCCTTCAGAGAGAGGAGCAAAACCAGGACTACCTTCCAGGAAAAAAATTTAAAACAATTGAGGTATCGAACAACCAACTGTTTCCCATTTCTGGAGGTAAAAAAAAAGTCAGATTCTGGAAGAAATAACGGGACACTGCATTTTCCAAGGTGGCTGGAATGTTGACCACATTTTTTGCCCCATGTCCCAAATACCACGCTGACCTCTCTTCTCACATGGTGAAAGCAGAGGTAAGGGGGATCTGTGCAATACAATACGGGACAGGGGCTGAGGGTAGTTACGCACTGTACTGGAGCATGGAGAAATTCTTCATGGCACCGTCCAGTGCCACACCGGCCTCCTGCATTTCGTACCTGAGGGCGACATCAAGTGTGATGGTCAGCTCTCTATACGCCTCATATTTTTACTTTAGTTGTGGTAAACCATTGGTATGGTAATCCATGCCATACTCACCAGTCAGAGGTGGAGACAGTGTAGTAGACAGGCAGCTGGGGGGAGCTGGAGAGACAGCTGAACTCTTCCAGGCCGCACACCCCCATGTTGGAGAACAGAAGCCAGTCTCCCACACTGAGCTCAGGCAGCAGGCAACGCTCCACCACCTGGTCCAACTGGTCCAGTGTCGGGCCCCACAGGCTGCTGGGATACACCGCCTCCCCAGCGCACAACACATGCTGCAGAGAGGAACAAGGTGTCATCAAAACAGGCAAACTTAGCAAAGTAACCTAATTGCTCTTCCTTAATTAATCTAATCTGCCACAGTTATTGACATCTCTAGTGTAAATGTAACATTGTACTGGGCATGCCAAATGTTAAGCAAAAGATCAATATCAATGCAATTACAGTTGGCCGCTGAAGATAGCTAAAAGCTGGGTTATGTGACATTCCAGCCTCTATTGTTTTCATTCCATGAGTGTGAGGTTAACAGAGCATGGAGCTGTGAATGTATCATTAATGTTATGGTATGCCTGATAAGCTGCTTTGTTTACAACTCTGGATACGTGCATAACCCAAACACAGCAAGTGACGTGAGTGCAAGTAAAGGAAGGCTTCAATTACTAGTATTTTTGAGCATGTTTCTGTTCACTGACATGGCAGTTTGGACTTAATCTGGTAACGGTAAGGTAACGTTAGTAATCATGTCACTAATACAGTGTCTCTTTTATAACCTCTCTGTGGTGGATTTTTATTTTTAAGGAACTACAATGTGTCCTATTTGCACTCCTGTGTTTCCTTGATCTCACTGTGTTTGGTAAATGTGTGTCGTAGCTGTAGAGCAGCTGTGTAGTCACAAGCTGAGGCGCACTTATTTAGACAGAGCAAAATTCCTTAAAAAACACACAACTGAACTATTCTCAAGGGTAAGTGTTGTAATGTCCCTCTGAGCTTTGTAGAGCAGCGTAACTTACAGAGGGCCAGCAGACAGGAGAACTGAACTTCAGCCATGTCATGCAGGTGATGTAATAATTATAAATAGTTGTAAAGTCACTCAAACAGTCATATGCTATAGATGGACATTACTGCTGCATGTTGTTGTGTGGAGAGGTTTGAATTGTGGGTCAGTGTTTCTGGGGGAATATGTATTTAAAAACAGTTCTTCTTGAAATAGATACACACAAGTTTTAGCTTTTCTAGAGAGGTTCTGGATCAGGTTGACTTACAAAAGGACACTAATGTGCACTGCTTGTGTTTTACCCTGTAAAAAATCTATAACTTTGTATATAAGCCAAACATTTTCTACACTTATGAATAAGGCATGAAGAAGGCAGGAAATATAAAATTTAAGGATTTATATAATTACTATTTTTAGAGGTTCACTGTGTAACAACAGAAAAATCAACCGAGTTTTAAATAAAAACTGTGTATCCCCCATTTTCTTTAAAATAAATGTAAACAGTGCATACTTATTGTTTTCATGTTTACATTAAATCAAGCATTACATAGTTATGTAAAAACAAACAAACAAACAAAAAAACAGGTGCTGGTTTCATACTGTTGCTTTGTATAGATAACCTAGAACCAATGTGGGGTCTGTGGGTCAATATAGTTAACCATCTAAAGAAACTGTGATCCCACTTCCTTATATGCTCATAATGCATGACCCCCTTTTTCCTTATTCAACTAGAGCTGCTGTCACATGCTTCATTCAGTCCTGAATAGGGTTAGCTCTCTTGGGTGGAGGCCTACTAACCTTGTGCACTGACGGGGCAGCGATGGAGTTTCCCAGCAGCTTGCGGCTGAATGGGCCATAAACACCCTCATTCATGTAGTACAGGAACTTGGTATCCTCGTTGTTCTCACCTGCATCAATACACGAGGTCACCATGTCAGAAAAAGAACACAGTGCAATATCTACAAACTGCAGGTACTTTACTTCTAGGTGGTTTTGTTACAACAAAAATAAGAACACAGCCTCAGAGAATCAAGGAACTCACCTTGATCTAGGCTGTCCCAGTGGCGAGCGACCACCTTTTTGCCGATGACACTGACAGCCAGGCTGAAAGCTGAGGCCACGTAGAAGCTGCCCGGCTGGGCCAACACTTGCACACCAGACAGTTGGGGAAAGTAGGCATCTAGCAGCGGCCTGACAGCAGACTCAACCTGCATACAGAAAATAGGCATTCTGATTATATTTTCAGACAACACAAACTAAAACCTGGATGTTGGTTCTGGGTAGTAAAAGCTTTTAGATCTGAGAACTATAACACTCAGCATGTTGCTCGTGAAAGTTGAGTGAAATGATGTCTGAGCTACAAAAACTTTTCAGAGAAACTAGCACTGAACATTTTTGTATTTAAACAGTGGTCTAGCTAGATAACTGAAAATGTCCTTCAGGAAACAGATCACAGCTTCAGTAATTTGTGGTTCAAAGTCATTTCAAACTGAAACACATTCATGTCTTTCTGATAACTATTAAAAAACAGCTGCATTTCCAGGTGTGTGCTTGTGCATGTGTTTTGAGGCAAACCTTTGCAGAACGTGTACATTGTTTATAATTTAACAGGTTAATTAGAGATTTCAGTAAGAAGTGAGGAAAAGTTGGAACAAATAGTGACAAACTTCAAATCTGAAATCTGTCTGAAGCGTCTCATCACATCACAGCTGCTCACTACTGACCTGTTTGAGCTGAAACTCTGAGCCAGTAAATCCACCACCAATGTCCAGGATGTTCATGTTGAAGCCCAGATCGATCTGAACAACAAACAGTCGGTTGTTACCATTAATTTAAAAGAAAGTCAGAAAGGTTAAAAAAAATAAAATAAAATACAGAATATGGATAAAAAATATTTTGCTATATTATACACAGCTCGTACCCCCATGTCAAACACACAGCGTGCATCTGACAGTGCATGGGTGTAGGCCTGCTGCAGGTCTTGGCAGGAGCTGGGGATGTGGAAGGTTACCCCCACCACCTGGACTCCCAGCTCCTTGGCTGCCTCCAGCAGGTGCCGACAGCTCTTCAGAGAGGAGCCGAAGACCATGCTGGTTTCAGCCGCGTGGGCCTCAGTGGTCAACTGAAGCAGCAACCTAGAATGAAGGCAAAAAATATGTCAGCCAGGCAGAAAGTATCCTGGAAGTTTTTTTTTTACTTTGACAAAGCAAAAAAACAACAAAAAATGATGCACTTCCTAATTAAAACAGCAATTACATTAGCACAGTGTTGAGTGTATGAGGATTAAAAGTAGCTGGAGAAAAAGATTAGCTCATTTACTTTGCATGAGGGTGCAGACGGGAAATCTTGGACAACTCTGCCTCATTTTCACACACAAGATGCTGGATGTTGTTCTTGGCAGCATGCTTAATGTGTGCCAGTTGCTTGCAAACACTTGACAGAATGATGTTTTCTGGTGGCACGCCGTGCTCCAACACCAAGCTCACTTCAGCCTGGAGGCAAGACAACACACAAGTTAAGACACAAGTTGAGACATTAATGCAAATCCCCTTCAAAACAATCAAAAAGGTACCAAGTGTGCTGCACAAGTTGAAAGGATAACTGTCATCAGCTGACTAGTAATCACTTGAGTGCTTATAATGTAATTGCCCTAAAACATCAAGTGCTTTCATAAGAGGATGAAGCACTGCGCAGTTTAAAAATGAATTTACCAACCAAAGCTACCTGAATTAGGATCTGCTAAACTGAAAGCTTACCTTGTTGGCACAAACGAAACCTAGGCCCAAGGAGGCCAGCACCTCGATGACAGCAGGGCTGCTGTTGCACTTGACTGGGTAGTAGGGCTGCAGCTGTGGCACTACACTCTGCCAGCACACATGCTGTCGCATCAGGGCACCGAGGTCGCCCACCACAAACGCACTCTTCTCCACCTGGAAATACAGAACAGTGATTTCTAGATTTTGGTGGAGTTTATTTATGTCAACAAGGACTACTTGTATCAAATATCAACAAGATATTTATCAAATTAAAAGTGCTAATTCCAGCAGGTGTCATGAAAGCTATTTAAAGCATTTTGGGATTGCATTTAAAACGCCTGGACGCTGAACTGACCAGAGCCTGTTCACAGACATGTCCATCGATTACGTCTTCCAGGGTCACTCCTCCCTCCAGAAGTTCAATGATGTAGCTGGGTTTGTCAGCGAGTCCTTTCATCTCAACCGTATTCCGCTAAGCCGACAATCATAAAGAACAGATAAACAAGTCAAGGGGTCACGACTGAGCCAATGGGTCCTGCCGGTATGCAACAAACTGGAAAAGAGAGAGAGAGAGAGAGAGAGAAATCATTAACAATAACGTCACAACAATCCAGTTTTTTTAACAGTAATTTAGTTATATAAATGAGAAACCCAGGTCAACTCAACAGCTCGTCCCACCAAACACACATACTTGGTTTAATATGTTATTCTTTATCACTCATTTATTAACTTTTCAGAATCCTTCCTTTACAAAGAATTACAGGACATTTCGTAATTGTGTACACCTCAGTAAGCATGTCATTAAAGCTGCTCACTTGCAATGAACTTGAAAAACAGCTTTAGAAATCAACAAAGTGTATAAGTGAGCATGCATAAATGTTTGTATAACAGACAGAGACACTTACATGGACAAGTCAGGAGATGGACCTGTCCCGCTATCAGCTAGGATCCCAAGGCGGCTCAGCGTTGAAGTCAAAGCGCTCCCGGTAAAGAGCCGCCCCTAGGCCCTCTGGGTAGCGGTCATACACCTGTGCAGAGACAGGGGAGCCCTGTGGGACAAACAACACATATTAAATGTACGCATAAGAAAGACATTTTAAAAGTTAAACATGTAGCATGTGTTTATCACAAGAGAAATCACGTGAAATGTAGTGCTCTTTAAAAGACCTCTTAGTCCTTTTAGTGTTTACGTTTTGATGTTTGGCTGGAGTGTACCTCACATTCACTGTCTGAGGTCAGAATGTCCCAGACACAATCAATATATTAAGCAACTTTTGTATCCCTTCACTTTACTTGTTTTTATGACACCAATAAACACTATGTGTATTATTTCTGACAGATCTAATATATTTGCTGCCAACGGTTTCTCATCAATACACATAAAAATTGTCTAAATCAAACGCGCATGCGTTGTGAGTGAAAACAGTGTCACAACTTGACAAATGAGAGATTACAGCAGTACGTGACCAACGCATGAAACCACGGAACTATGCCACACAAATGTCACAAATGTTACATTTTACGGATATAATTACAGCAGCATTAATCATATAACACGCCATTACGTGAAAACGCGCTGCTGAGAGACTGAACGAGAGAGCCGCTACCGTTGAGCTGGCTGTCGACTAGCCGTCGACTGAAGACGCTCATGTTAGCACTCTATTTTGTTACTAACCCAGAAACAAATCACAACAGTGACACATTACACGAATAAACACTAGACTGTGGTGATAAGATCGCGTCATAACTTATTAATAACTATAAATATAACAGGAAGACATCCCAAAAACACAGTATTCAATGAATCGGTCTGTCATGTGTAGCAAGAAGGCAGAAAGAGCAGCCCGCCATGTTACGTCCGCCTGCTGAATCCAAGGAACTCAAGCTACTTTACTTACGTGAGATAACGGCCAAAAGGTTTTGGAAAATCGTCTTCTCTTTTTCGGCGGAATTTTTAAAGAGTAGTGGGCACAACGATATAAGAAAGAAAGAGGGCTGTTTTTGCCATATGTTTAGACGAGGAACGCGCGTCGCTGAGCGGTCTCTTCTCTCTCGGCTGGTGGGTGGAGAACTACTGGAACCGAGCAGGGGAAGTGGAAAAGGTAATCAACGGCCCGTGGGCGGGGCCTCTCCTTCAGTTCCGCCAATCAGTGCTCTGCATTTTTGATAACATACCAAATATGTATTTCCGAATATCTTAGAGGCCGCAGTAGATCTGTGATGTTTATTCAGGTTACATAACCGTAAACTTTCCATAGATGGCAGTCAATCAGTACAAGACCTCTGCTGCTGTTTTTATGGGACAGTTCAGATACAGTTGTTGCAGAATTGCAGCTGCTCTAATTTATGTACAGGACAGAAATCATTTGTAAAAACACTCTGTTCACATAAAAACTCCTACAAGTAAACCATAATCATAAACAGAATTGGCATAACATTAATACTCTAAAAGTTCGTCAGATGCTCTTTTTTTATTTGACAGTACATTAAACTAATCAGAGAAATCTGTCATCATATTTTATTATAGGTTCTAGCAAAAAATTACATACACTTGTCTAAGTATTCTTTTAAAATGGCCACAATCGCACACCCTAGTTATAGACATATTATTGACTTTCTATTAGATCATAAAACAGTAATATGCTCTAGATACGAGGATGCGGTTGAGACTTTGCAACCCTGTTTGAAAGTTCATGAGGTTATTTGTTTTTCTTGGGGTCATTGTTGTTTGAGCTATCTATATTTAGCAATGTACGGTAGAAAGCAATGCAAACAAAATTTAAATGCTTTATTTACTGAACTTCTGTTAAATGAAATATATCCATATGCAGAAATATGAAGAAAATACAATATGGGACATGGCATTAATACTGGGTTAAAGTAAACTAGAGTAAAAAAATGTCATAATGAAGCTTTACTCACTCACCCTGCCTTGGAACCCCTTAACACAGTCACCTAAATCTGTCTGAGACTGCAAAACATGGCCTTATTTTAGGTCACATGATGGCAACAAATGTTTCCTCTGTGATAATGTTGCCCAACTACACCCACCATAAAGTTAGATATATGAGTTATTTCTTCTATTTTTTTTTATTTTCAGACAGCATTCATGACCCTTGAAGACATTTAGAAGTGCATACAAAGGAGCTGGGAAAGTTATGAGAAAGTCAGTGGGCCAAAAGCCCTCTTATCGCAACAGTCTCAGTCAATTACAGGTTATTACAGTTTTCAAAACCTTGTACAAATCAGTTGTGCACCTTTCTCTGGGGTCTGTATGGACACTTAATTTTAAAACACTGATGTACAACTGACACACTTTAATGACACAGAAAATACAAGACATAAAAATATGCCTCTGTCTGGGCAGTGGATGTGTTGATACTGAAAGTGTGCCTGCTTGTGTCTCATGGAATGTGGGGGATTAAGATTCAGGGGCTTATTGAATTTATTTGTTGATAAGTCCTTAAGCCTTTGTCTGACTCACTTCTAGCCTTGTTTTAGCTGTGATAATCTTGTTTTGTATGCAATTTTTAAAATTTTGCTTTTTTAAAAATTATTTTAAATTTTTTAAATTCTTATCAAGGATGGAGGTTAGTACAACCCTAAGTTATTGGCAAGATAAGCACAAAAAGTCAGCCTGCAGCCACCTGAGTCCTATGACTTTTATTTCTGTAGCACTGGAGCCACGCTGCATGGCTTCATCTGTGTGTTTGTTGCTGTGTGGCAGTCCTATACTTCTTATCTTTGTTTTATGACACTGCAACGAACTCTGTGTTCACAAAACAACATGGCCTAGAACTGCAAGATACCAAAAAACAAGGGAAGTCATGTATTGAAGCACTGCTATGAAAATATTTCTCTCTTCTGATTTGCCTCATTAACTGTATTTAGAGATTAAGTTAATGGATTTAATGTTTGGATTCATACTGTCTAGTCATGTGAATAGCCCAGAGGCACATATTACAGAAAGAACTAATCACATTGGGCCATATACGTCTCATTTCAAGAAAATATGATAAAATTAGATTTCTCCCATAGCTGGCTTCTAGATCTGTTTTGGTATGCAAAGTGCAAAGTAAAATATTTGCTTCAAAGTTCACACTAGGGTCCATGAGGACAGGAGCAAATTAAATTTTATGCTTCAGTTCCGCTGAGTTCAGTAAAATGTCTTCACTGTCCTCGGGAAAGAAATTTAATTTACAGCCGGAGGTCATACATATAAACAAGAACAGCATAAATAATCAATCATACTCCTAGCAAACCCATAAATATAAAATAAATGGTTTTTCCAAAAATCCAAACCGGGGGGGACTGATAGAGGCAGATTAGTGTAGATGAAGACGTGATCATGTTCAACCAGAAACAGCTTCTTTCTTTATTCTTGCATAATAGTTCTGTTTTGTCATAGAAAACCAGGAAGACATGACAGAAAAGACCGTGTAATATGTGCAGTTGATGATCAACAAATGAGAGCAATGTACAAAGTGCAGTTACCTGTTGATAGACATTTACTGCCACCTAAAGGCACTAGCTGTTAAGTAATGTAATAGTTGCATCTTACCAGAAGAGGTCGACATTGACGAGAAGGCACAGACTGAGCTTTTAAAACAAAAACAGTATTGCTGCATTCAAGTCCTCTCGGAAATATTGAAATTATGCACAGGTAATTGAGGAGATGAACACTATTAATCCCATAAATTCGGTCTCATGAGAGTATTTTCTCTTCTTCATGCTGCAGTTTCAGATTAATGTCATTACTTTTTTATACAAGCCAAAAATTAAGTATTATTTATTCGCACTGCTACTCCTCGGTGTGGCAGACGTTGGATGTTTCAACATTTTATTAGTTGTCAATTAGTTAATTATAGTTATTAGCGAATTTCAACCCCTTTTTTCGCTACGTTTATTAACATTAACTACTTATACATTACTTGTAGCTGTCCACCATTTGCCTACTACTTGTATCTAAGTTTTTTTTTTACACTTTACTTTTAGCTACCTCGTTTTATCAATTATGTTAAAATATTTCATCCATTACTTTCAGCGAACTGTTTCAAGTGCTTCTCTGCTTACCTGTGAACTATCTTCAACGTACATGTGTTCAGGTGCTGTAGCAGAAATGCAGTACAACACGTCTGGAGGACACAGTCCGTGGCGTTTTAAATGAAATCTCTGTTTTAAACATACTTCACGTTCAGACCCTGAACCTCGCAAGGAATGGAGGATCACGTGACGGCAGCAGTGCGCAGCAGCCTTTGCGCAGGCGCAGAGCTGCTCCTCTGATCAGCTGACTGTGAGTGAGATGCTCTGTTGAAGGACCTCTGTGTCGAAAACCTGCTGTTATCTGCGCTATGTATGGGAAGCTGCGACTCTTAAACTGAACTACACCGTGCGGACCGAACGCTGAAGCCGTTAAAAACACCGGTAAGTACCGAAAAGCACCGAATATCGGTGTCGTGACAGCGCGAGGCTGCAGTGACAAACAAGCTCGTGGCAACAGCAAGCTAACACTGAACATAATCACATATGTTTTGCTGCCAGTCACTGATTGTTTTTCTGGTTCACAAACCAAACAGCCGCTTTTCTTTGTCATGTGATGTCCTTGGTGTTTAATTAGGAGGAGGTTCAGTATTTAGCAGCACTCCATAGCCACAAGCTGATCATATGACAGTCAATCAGCAGACATGGGACCTGTCTGACTCTGCTGTGATGACTGTGATGCAATCAGCCACTTCTATGTACTTCTGTAGTCATATCATAACCACTGAGAAATGTGAGGAAGTTCATGAATCTGAAGAAAAACTGAAGTAAGAAGAGGAAGAAGGAGCTTAATAATGTGACTTTGATTCATGTAGGGATAATTACATTGCTGTGTCTCTTTCTTAATCCCCCCCCTTTCAGAATAAGCAGCATTTTTAATGTTCCCAGTTTCACCTAGTACTGTATGTATGTGATATGGCATTTTTATAAGTTGATTGCGTATTGTTGCTTAAAAAATATCAGTTAGTGTACTTAAGCACAAAACTGAAGTACTTTAAGCATTTTCTTTTCATGCAACATTCTACGTCTACTCCACCACATCTTAGAGGTTAATAAAATACTGTACTTTTCACTTAACAATCTTTATCTGACAGAATTAGTTATGCAAATTAAGACTTTTTTCACCAAAAAATGCTAAATCTATAAAATATGATTTTAAAAATAACAACAAAAAAACAGCATCCAGCAGTTATTTCATATTTTTGTGATGCAGTAATAGTTTTTGAAAAAAAATCATTGGAGAAACCCTTTATTGGTAAAATAACCAGACAAATTCTAAAGGTACTTATATAAAAATCTAAAATGACAGTGAAGCTTTTTCAGTAATATGCAACATTGGTCATAAAGTGCTCCTACACCCTGAGATATTAAAAGAATAGCTGACACATTTATGCCATATCATCCTTTCCCACCCCAAATATGACAATGTAGCCTTCCAAGAAAGAAAAATAAAATGATTTCACTTGCTGTTTGAGACCTTTATTCATAATCTCCCTCGTCTGTTTCCCTCAGTGACTTCCTCACATCAGCGGCCCAGTGTGCAAACTTCCTGCCAGCAGCCATGACAGAATTCTGGTTGATCTCTGCTCCGGGGGAGAAAACCTGTCAGCAGACCTGGGACAAGCTGATGCAGGCCACAACGCGCACCAACAACCTCTCGAATAACAACAAGTTCAACATCCCTGACCTCAAGGTAAAAAACCAAAAACAAAAACCAACACTCCTCTGTAGGTGTGAACGCATTATAGCATATTGTTTATATTTTGTGTTCTGCCTTCAACAGGTTGGAACACTAGACGTCTTAGTGGGTCTGTCGGATGAGCTGGCCAAGCTAGACACTTTTGTGGAGACGTAAGTTTTGTTTTCTTACATGAAAGACCTTCTGTATTTGTAGGAAACTCATCAGTTCAGTATTAAAAAGGAAGACGCTTGGACAGAATTGAGCCACTGGTGTTATTATTGACCGTTGTATTTCTCTGGGCTGGTCTGCATCCTGTGTTGGGCTTCAGTGTGGTGAAGAAGGTGGCTCAGTAC